AGAGCCTGCGTCGTAGCCGTGATCCCAGGGCCCGAAGGCACAATCAACAGGGGGCAACCGATCGTGCGAAGGTGAGGTGTAAGGACGTTCCTCAGGGAGGCTCTCACCAGGTGTAGTGAACTCGTGGCATTCTTCCTTCAAGAACAAATTCCCTAAATCCCGTCCATTCACGTCCTCGTCTTGCGATTCGTCCTTGAGCGCGTAGTATCCGGGAGAGCCTGCCTCGCAATCGTCGCGTTGGGGCCCGAAGGCAAAATCAACAGGAGGCAACCGATCGGGAGATGGTGAGGTGTAAGGACGTTCCTCAGGGAGGCTCTCACCGTGTGTAGTGAATCCGTGGCGTTCTCCATCAAAGAACATATCCTCCAACTCATTCTCCTTGACCTGATCCTCGGGCGATCCCTCCTTGACTTCCCACAAGCGTGACAACGAATCGGCAAGGGAGTTGTTCTTGCCCGCAATGAATTCGAATTCGAAGTCGAAACGGCTGAGTTCGAGACACATGCGGATGTGCCGGGGTGTTTGGCGTAACTTCTGCGTTTTAATCGTGCGAAGGGCTTGGTGGTCGGTGACGATGACGAAGGGGTAACCGATCAAGTGCTGCTCGAACGCCCGACACGCCGAAACGACGGCTAAGAACTCCTTATCAGTGACGTGATAATTGAGCTGAGCGCCATTGAACTTAGCGGAGAAGAATCGCGTAGGAATGGCCTGCGAACGAGTGGGGCCCGAGGCCAGGCAAGCGCCAATGCCAACACGACTGGCATCGGTGAACAAGTAGATTTTGTGCTCGCCGGAGGTGACCTTAGCGCCGTCGATCGGTCGCAGTGTTGCTGGCACGAGGGACTTGACGGTGTCGAAGGCCTGCTGCTCGCGCTCGTTCCAACGCCACGACGTCGATTGCGCTAATAATGCGGTGATGGGCTCCAAGGTGATCGAGAGGTGGGGCAGGTGATCTCGCATCCAATTCACGGTGCCGAGGAAACGCTGAACGTCGGTCTTGTTGTGTGGAGTCGGCCACTGTCGGATACGCTCCCACTTGGCCGGGTCGACCTCGATGCCGTCGTCGGAGATGATCGCGCCCAAGGAATCTAACGACTTTGAGAACCACTCGGATTTGTTGGATCCTAAGTAGAACCGATAATGTCGCAGTGTCATCAGCAAAATCTCGATGTGTCTTAAGTGCGCGCGACGAGTATCGGAATGGACGTGAACATCGTCGAAAAAGATCTTGGCAAACGAGAGGCACGGCTGAAACATCGCCGATGTCAACAAGTTCAGGGTGTTGGGCGCATTGGTGTCCCCAAACTGCATCACCCGCGACGTGTACGTGCCCGTGACCGTGGCGAAGCCGGTGCGATCGACGTGCTCGGGTATGACCCGCACCTGCTCAAACGCTGCGGCCACGTCGAATTTGGACCGGTAGCGCGAACGTGCCACTTCGTAGCGAACACTGGTCATGTCGGGGATAGGTGAAAAACGCTTGGCGGTGTTGCTGTTGCGAGCGCGGAGGTCGATCACAAAGCGAGCGGTCTGGGAGTTCTTTTTCGGAATGGCGAAGACCGGAGCCGCAGAGTCGATCGGACCAGAAACCCAGAAGCGACCGCGAGTGTACTTAGCTGAATGCTCCGCCCACTGGCTACGATATTTGTCGGCAAGGGGATAGACCCTCGGCTTGACCTTCTCGTTGGGGTCGATCAAAGGGATTTCGTGATTGACGGGTCGATAAGGCGGGAGTCGGTCCATTGGGAGCGAATCTACGAACACATCAGAGTATTTCTCGAGTAAGGCAGCCAATCGTGTTCGTGCTTCGGACTCAGACAAATCCTCGAGCGCCGGGTCGTCGACGACATCCAGCAGAGGGTTGTGCGGCTCGAGGCCAATGATCTCGTCGTCAGGAAGCAACCCTGGGTGATCGTAGCCAATGGCAGAGCCGGAGCAGATGGGCGCCACCGTGACTGCGCGATCCCACTCGTGAGTGCCCTTGGCGACCGGCTGCGAAGGGCCCGGCCGTGCGACGGTGAAGACGCCCCAGCCTACCAGCATGCCGGTGTCCTTCAGAAACGGCAAACCCAGGATAGCATCATATGCCGTCACACGGCAAATGAAAAACGCCCGCAAGCCGAGGTCGAGGGAACCGGACGTGAAGAGGGCGTTGGCAAACACGGCGCAGCGGTCAGATTTGTCGCGAGTGCCGAGGCGCAAGTGCAGCGGCGCGGTAAGGCGGGACGTCGTGAAACTCGGGTCTGTTCGCACGACATCCTGATCCACCAAGTCCACTTCCGAACCAGAGTCGACGAGGCAACGCAGCGTTCGCCCAGACGGCAACGTCCACGCAATAATATTGCGGGCGCGCACAATCGCGGGCTCGGCGGGTCGGGCGAAGTCGTCGACGTCGATCAGGGGCGTGTCGGACTCCAAGAGAGAAACCCCCAACGGCACCGGAACACGAACAGAGCTCACCGATGCAGTCCTCTCCGCTTTGCGCGACGACACCACCTCCGGCCCCCAGTATCGCCGCATTCGCGACGCGGCATCAGCATAAGAGGGGACGTCTTCCACCGCGTCAAACGCAGAGTCGGTCGAGTCATCGGCAAGACGACGTAGATCTGCATCACTTGCCGGCGCGGTTGGCTGCGGATTACTTGATGAGACTTCGACGTCGACTGAAGAAGAAGCCCCTTCTTTCATTCGGCCAACGGGGTCTGCGGGAGGGCAAGAAGGGCGCGTCATTGAAGCGGAAACGGAACTCAAAGGTCGAGTCTGAACACGCTCGAGTGAAATGGGGACTCTCACCTCGGGATCCTCGTCACCACCTGCGACCGAGGACCACTCTTCGTCATCCAAGTCGGCCACAGCGACCGCTGAGAGTTGGACGGCGACCGGGGATTGACGCTCCGCGGTGCAGTGCTGCGAGAAATGACCGCCTCGTCCGCAGTTGAAGCAAGCCATGCTGGTGGGTACCCCGCTGGGCGCCGGGGAAAACCAGGTGGAGCGGTCCTTCCACAAGTGCGATTGCTGCCACTTAGTAGCGCGGTCGACCCATCGAGCTCGTCGGATCTGGAACCTCTCGTCGACGGTGGGCGTGTTGGTCGCAGGTGGGCTCACTCGGGGAGCTTTGACGATCGCGCCATAGGTCGCGGTGCGGCTTGGTGGGGTCGGAACCGAAGGCGGAGGAGAAATGTCGTCGGCGATAGCGGCCCACTCGGTAATCTCGTCGATGGACGGGACCTTCAGTCCGAATCGCCCAATTGTCACCAGCGAGTTGTCGTGGTATTCACGTAACATTCCCGCCCGCACTTCCCGCTTGGAGGAGTCACTGAGCGATTGGTAGAAGGTCGTGGCGAGCTGAAGCGGCGACAGGGTGAAACTATCGTTGTCGTGCACGAAGGCACGGTACCGCGCCCGCCACTCCCCGACATGGTCGTAAGCCCGAGACGACGACTGGCGACATCCGTGGAAGTCTTGAGCCACTCTATCGGCGAACCCGGGGTCGGGCCAACGACGTCCCACTGCCTTCATGAGCGACGTCCAACAATGAGGGCGCCCTTCTCCAAGCGCGTCCCTCATCGCCTCGACGACCCAATCGAGCGGGGATTGGCGGCGCTGTCGGGTTGTCGTACGAAAAAATAGCGTCGCCACAAGCTGGATCACTCGGCTCGTGTCGAAAAGGTCGGAGGTGGAGATGTCGCACAAGAGAGAAAGATACGACTCCCCAAACGCAGTGAAAATCACCAACCTTTCCGGATGATCTCCGGTCCATAACCCTTCCCGGTCCGGCAATGTCCCTCTCCAACGAGAGCTAATCACCGCCGAGGAAGGGCCGTCCCTAATTCCGCTGTGAGATTCCCCCCCAGGGGTACGAGCAAGGGGGTCAGCGGCAGCTCCCGGGCGTCCCAAAAATGTGTGCGGGGGGACGTCCAGGGGGACCGGTCTCACCGGCAGAGCCTCCCCGACCTGCGCCCCAGCAGGTGCGGTGGATTCTCTCATCAATCGTTCCACCATCTGCTCCAATTTGCGGATGCGTGTCTCCGAGTCGCGGCGCAGGGCTTCCGATTCTGCGAGGCGGGATTCAAGGGACGTGATGACGGCGGCGGCCTGGAGCGGGTGCGGCGAATGCGTCGGCGGGGACTTAGGCGGATTCGCGCGCGAGGGGTCTTCGCGGACGGGGGCGGTGGTGTCTCGCGACGTGTCGGTGGGTTCGGCCATGGCGAGTTCGCGGCGTAGCGGTTGGCGGTTGTGGGGAGAACGGATGCGAGCTCGAGAAGGATGGAAGAAGGGGTACGAAGGGATGACGCGTTCGTCGTCGGACTCAGTGAATGAGGTGGCGAATGACCACGACGCGTCAGCGGGGGATGAGTTCGGCAACGGGGAGGAAGCTGACGACTCAGGGGTAGTGGACGATTGCTCGTCCAGGATGCAGGATAGAGCAAGGGCAAGCGAGATCGAAGGTTGGCGGTGCCGGACTTGAAAAAAGTGGCAGGCAACGTCCTCTTCAGAAGACGTTGACTACACGCGGAGGAGGGGATCAGGCCGAAGGAAGGTCGACTGGGCGGGGGCAGGCGACCGAGGGACAACCGAGGAGGGGACGCGGTTGTGAGGCTCGCAGCAAGTCAAGTATATCGGACTTTATTGCCAACGAGATCGAAAACGAAGGATGAAGGTGAAGGGATCTTGGGAGATGTGGCGGACCAGGCTGAGTGGGAAGGTGCTAAAAACAAAAGGGAGGCACTCAGGCGCAGAGGGGACTTAGCCAATTCAGCTACTCCAAGAGGTCGCCTCAGGGGGAAAAAGGATTGCTCGCGGGAGCACCGGTAAAAACCCTGAGGCCGCGCCTCAGCTAACAAAAAGAACAAAAACCGAGAGAAGATTGCGCTCTGCGCGCCTTGAACCCGCGACCATTAAGTGCGCGCCCGCGCGCCGAACGACTACGCCATCACGCCCACAATGCTTGAATGGAGGGAAGCATTTGGTGACCTCAACTCTACCTGCACATTACCTCAGGGACTTCCTTCGAGTGTTGCTGTCAGTGTATCGCTGTTTGCCTGACAGCGCCGACTTTGGTTCCGCCGATCGACTTCTGGGCGCGGGCAGTCGTTGAGATCGCCGCCAAGGAGTCGGAGGTGGGATTTCTGTGTTTTGTGGAGGATCAGTTTGTCGAAGAATTTTGCTCGTTGTTTTGGGTCAACGGGCGCGTAGAGGTTATTGATTTCTAGAATTTTGATGTCGCCCCGCAGACGAAAGGAGGTGACGAGGAGCCGGCCGTCGAGTGCCGAGTGGGTGCACAAGAGCTCGGTGTCGATCAGGGGCGAGTCGGCCGGGATCAGGGTCAGGCAGTGCTGGTTGATGAAGAGCTTGCCCTCGTACTCGTCCTTGATGAGCTGCCAGAATTGTGGTCTGATGAAATGCTCTTGTAAGAGAATCGCGGAAGCTTTGAATGTGGAAAGGTAGGTGTAGATATTACGTCGTTTTTCCGGGACCCCCATGCCCCTTCTTACGTTCCAGGTGATGATGGTGTGCTTGATCATTAATGGGTAGTCGAGGTCGAGGCGCTCTTGGCGGTGGTGACGTCCTCAAAGAGGGGAAGGGCGGGCAGGACATCGTCCTCGGGCTCGTGGTCGGACCATCGTTTTTCCTCAGCTACCCCTCTTTCTTTCCCTCTGTCCACCTTCGTCACCTCGACCTGCATCGCCGCTGCCGCCGACATCGACCTCGTCACCCTCCGCCCCTCTATTCCATCCTTCACCACGACGCGGCTCTTCCCTTTGATGATGACTCGCTTGGCGTCGGTCGGTTCGTCACTTGGGTCACTGAGGTCCGCCGCAGTCTGCGACCTCTTCATCACCTGCTTCTTGAACTTCGCAGCGGTCCCCCTGATGTTGATGGAGCGTATCTCACCGTCCTCGTCCCACGTGGCAAAGTTGTGACGCACCAAAGGGGTTTCAGCGTTGAGCCTCCTCTCGATGCTTTGGTCCCGCTCAAGTCGTGCCTGCTCAACCCAGTTAGCTCTGATCCTGTCCCACTCCTCCCCCTCGTGTAGCGACTTGGCGAGAGTTTCGGGTGACAGAGGTGGGGTTGGTTCATGCGGTGTCGATTCGCGGGAAGCGGTGGCGGCGGTTGCTGTGGCGTCGCTGTCGTCGTCATTGTCCAGCCTGTTCGTTTCCCCTAAGTCCGTCGCTTCCGCATTCTCCGCTTTCGTCGATCCCCTCGCTTCGTCCACATCGCCCACCTCCGTCGCCACCTCCTCTTCCTCCATCTCCGTAGCCACCTCTCCTTCCGTTTCACCTCTTTCATCCGCCATCACCTCATTCTCATCAATCACCTCTCCATCGGATCCGCTGCAGTCCTCCAAGACCGACTCGTCCTCGCTTTCAATTTTGATGACCTCCATTTTCGCGGCCGCCTCCGATTCCATCTCCGAGTCCTCCGAGTCCTCGTCATCCGCCTTATCACCAGCGTCTTCCTCCCCCGATTCCTCCGGTCCCTGTTCGCCCTGGCCAGTTACCTCTTCCTCCTGTCCCTCCTCGACCTCGAGCCCGGCGAAGTGATTCTGTGATGCGATCCTGTTAACAACCAGCACAGGAATGGGGGCCTCGGCCTCCGCGATGTTGGTGTTGTGGGTGATGGTGTTTTTGTTGCTGTTGATGATGCCGTTGTGAGCCTCCTTCCGCTTCCTCTCCTGATCCAGTCCGCAGGTTCCCACGTGACCCACAAAGTGGCACCTACCGCAAGCCGCCTCCTTCTCATAGTCATGGCGAAGGGCGGTAACCGGGATGCCTCGAGTGGGAAGGTAGAATCTCCTTCAAGGTCGTGTTGGGGCGTTGGAATAGGGAGTCGTCATCGAAGTGTAGGAAAGCCGAGTAGTCTCCGGCAACGTGGGCGAAGGCCGAGGCGTTGTCCACGCTGATAACGCGCAGAACCTGCACAAGTTGGCATGAATGTCCCTTGCCTGACAGGTCTTGCACAAGTGATTGGAACGATTTGATGATGGCATCCATGGAGGGCACTCCTTGAACACCGACGTTGATTCGAAGCTCAACCTGTTGAACTTCGCTCCATCTCACTTCTAGGACAATATGCGCTCACTGAAGTAGAGGTGCCTCGCCTTTTGGTGCAGTACGCTCCATCTCACTTCTAGGACAATATGCGCTCACTGAAGTAGAGGTGCCTCGCCTTTTGGTGCAGTGGTATATTGTTCCTTCATAGGTTATGAGCCCAGAGCAACCAGCAGGTCATGAGTTCAATCCCCCCTGGGGTCAGGCAATTTTGCGCGCATACACTCAGCGTCCCGGCCCCCGCACTTGCCCAGCAGCGTGCCAAGCACCCTGGCGCATCGACAGTGCTCACAGTGCCCAAGCTGCACTTGCCCAAGCGACCTGATCAACATGCCCAGTTGCCTCACAGCCGCACCCACTGCCACAAGCTCTTCAGCTTCGCGCACAGGGGGGTGTTGAACTTCGCTCCATCTCACTTCTAGGACAATATGCGCTCACTGAAGTAGAGGTGCCTCGCCTTTTGGTGCAGTGGTATATTGTTCTTTCATACGACCATGTTATGGTGGAACCTGTGAGACTTCGCGAAGCGGGCCTTCGCCGATCGCCAAGTGAGAGCGGGGGGCGTCGTGAGCGCCGCGTCACGTGCCTCGCCGGTGACGAACCCAACCGTAACGTGATGGTGAGCCGCCCCATTACGCAGGATTGATGAATGTTGTACGCCTAAGATCTGTGGTTGATAAGCCGCAAGATGGTCCGGCAGAGGAACTCCAGGCTCAAAGCAGATAGGAGAGATGGGCGATAGCAGCCTCGTGACGCAGGCCACGAGATCGATCTTGTCGGCATGAGTTGCTCGCGAGGCGCTCTGGTGAGACAGAGTCACTTCAAGGGCGTAATCGAAGATGTTCTCGACGGACCGGTTCGCGTTCAAGGCCGAAAATTTCAGCGATGTGGCGGTGGCGACGGGGTAGAGTTCGGCGAAGTAGATGGCCTGGACCCAGCGATCCATGCGGTTTCCGGGTACAGCACCCATGGCTTGTAGGAGGCTGCCCAGAGCCTTGGCACGCTGTTGTTGTTGTTGCTGTTGTTCAGGTGTTTGAGTCGCCATCTGACTCGCAGCGGCAGCATAGTTGGGTGCGGCGGTGGCGGGGCCCGTGACTTGCGTCTTCTTCGAGCTTATCGGGATCCGGTCGCGGGGGGGCTGGACGCTGGTGGCGGATACCGGTGGTGGCGGTGCCGGCAGTGGGGACCCAGGGTCTCCGGTAGACATCTTGTCGGTGTATCACTTGTGAACTCGAGTATCGAAGGCTGCAGTAGGGCGATTGTGAAGTGAAGTGAAATTTTTTTTTTTTTGTAGAAACCGTTCATCATATTGCCCCCAATTCCTTTTTTTTTTTTTTTTACTGGGGCTCATAAATTGCAATCCTTCGGGTTGGCTGGGACCGCTACAAAAAGAGCTAAAAGAGGTTATAAAGCAACGACGGCAAGCAATTGGGTGAAAGTCAAACCCCTGCGCGCAAAGAGCGCTGCGCAGATCAAAACCCGCCGAGCACCTAACGCGGACTCCAACGGGCGGTGAGTACTGCTGCCGCTTCACGTCCCAAGAGCGGGAGCGAAGATACTCGAAAACCAGGCAAGAGCGCCTAGAGAAAGAAAAGGGGAGAATATACAAACATTCACGACTGGAAACACGGAGAACCAGGAATACTAAGACAGAGAGGAGGGGAGGAGGAGGGGAACACACCCGAGGGGCCAAGGGAGGGGGTCGAAGCCAGAGCTAGAGGTCCCCAGGGACTGACAGGCCGCAGCCAAGCCCCAGCTACTCGTCACCCCGACAGCGCCTGATGTCCTCCCTTGGCTGAGTCTCGAGTGCTGGCTGTTGAGCCGTCGGGGCCGAGCGAAAACGATCCAATACAACGAAACGAGCCTCGCCTTGACGCGAGGATATTGACCAAAAAAACGAGCGACCTTTCTTCCCGATCCATGCCGTAGATCTTGACCAACGCGAACGAACGATCTATTCGACGGAATCCAACACACGGCTTAGGAATAAAAGGAGAAGTGGCTGAAGCGTAGTCAACAACCGAGCAACAGGAACGAGATGAGGAAGAGAAGGGAGAAAGGGGGGGAAAGAGAGGGGAGAACTTCACAAAGCCTCCAACGCAACGACGATCGACCCGGCTTGCCGATCCATCCAAGAACGAAAACCGCTACTGCACAAAGTAGAGAGAGGGATATTCGATCAACTCTACTACGTCAGCGATGTAGTTATAGCCAAGAGTGATGAATGCATTTCAACATACCTATTCGATCAACTCTACTACGTCAGCGATGTAGTTATAGCCAAGAGTGATGAATAGGAAGCTAACAATAAGAGACCCGCGCGCCCCAAGTCCACAGCCAGCGAGCCTGGGGCTGAGCCAATGGCCCAGGCTCGCTCCGCGCGCCTAAGTCCTGGGCCGGGGCGCCCGGCTCACTCCGCGCGCCTAAGTCCGCGCCCGGTTCGCTCCGCGCGCCTAAGTCCTGAGCCGAGCGGAGAGTGGATTCCTCACACCCCCCCCCACGCGAACGCGAGGTAGACTTGAGCCGTGGATGTCGCGTCCGGAGGCCTAGAGCATAGCAATGTGTACCAAAAATCTTGGGGCCTAGCGCTTTGGTGAATACGTCCGCAACCATGTCTGCTGTGCCAACGTGTGAGAGAGAGATATCACCTCGATTGACCATGTCACGGACAAAATGCTCGCGGAGGCGAATGTGCCGGGTGCCGGAGGTGCGAACGGGGTCGTGAGCGACGGCGGCCGCGGCCTCGTTGTCGGTGAAGATGTGAGCTGCAGCGATTGGGCAAACGTGGAGCTCGGAGAGGAGTTGGTTAAGGTAGATCGCTTCCTTACCCGCGTGCGACAAGGCCAGGTACTCGGCATCAGTGGTGGAATCCGCTACCCGAGTCTGACGCTTCGACGACCAAGAGACAGCGGCGCCTGCCAAGTAAAATACGTAGCCCATCGTTGAAATGGATGTGTCGACGCAGGCGCCCCAGTTCGCATCAGAATAACCAACCACACCCGTGACTTTTGCTGGGCCGCGGGCATAGAGAAGCTCATCGCGGTACGTGGCGCGAAGGTAGCGAAGGACGTGTTTGACGGCAATCCAATGGCGGCGGCCGGGGTTGTTGGCGAACCGGGACAGGTACGAGACGGCGAAGGCAATGTCGGGTCGAGTGCCAAGGGAGATGTAGAGGAGGGAGCCGATGGCCTGTAGGTACCACGAACGAATGCGCTCCGTTCCCTGACCCGGAATTGCCGTGAGCGAGAGGCCGGGCGTCATCGGCACCGTAGTGCCGCGTGTCGTGGTGTCGAAGTGGAAACGGGCCAGCACGTCCATGATGTAGCGCTCCTGGGATAGAGCAATGGAACCGTCGTCCAGGCGGCGTATTTGGATTCCGAGGATGTACTCCGCGGGGCCGAGTCGTTTGACGCCGTACCGCTGTTCAAGGCCGGAGATGACACGTTCGATCTCGTCGAGGGCTGGACTGACAATGAGGAGGTCGTCGACATACAAGGCGATATAGTGAGGCCGCTGCTGATCGTCAATGCGAGAGTAAATGCAGTGATCAGTGCCTGTTGCCTTGTACCCCAGATTCCTGAGTGATGTGTCAATGTGACGATTCCAGATGCGACCGGCCTGCTTGAGACCGTAGATTGAGCGTCGCAGCCGGAGAACCTTATCGCCCGGGAAGTCGAAACCGCGTGGTGTCGTCATCCAGATATCATGATCGAGCTCGCCGTGGAGGTAAGCCTTGTCGATGTCGGCCTGATGAACGTGGTAGCCATTGGCAGCGGCAAGAGCCAGGAGGCAGCGAATGGAGGAGAAACGGGCGACGGGTGCGAAGGTTTCTGAGAAGTCGATGCCGTCGCGCTGTCGGTTACCCTGCGCTACAAGACGTGCCTTCCGCCCCGTGACTTCACCGCTTGCGTTGCGCTTGGTCTTCCAGACGAATTTGGAGGTGACGATGGTGGCGCCCGGCGGTACAGATGAGCGAGGCTCGATGGTGAACACCTTGAAGTCGTCGCGCATGGCGGTGAACTCGGCGGCGGCGGCCTCAGCCCAGATGTTGTGCTCGTCGCTGGACATTGCTTCGCGCCAGGTCTGGGGGTCGCTAGTGATCGATTTGACGGGCTCGATGGCGTCGAGGGTGGGGTCGTCGTCGTCTGTGGCGATGAAGGCGCGGTGGTGTTGGGTGAGGAAATCGATTTCATCCGGCGATTCATCGCGCGAGTGACGCCCAATGATGTCGAGTTCGTCGGGCGACTCCTCAGCCGATGCGGGCTCACGGTACGTGCTGAAGTCTGGGCGGTGCACGTCCGGTGGGCCAAGGCGAGTCGGGGTCTGTGAGCCGATGAGGTCCAGAGGGTCGGCGGAGTAGTCAGAGTCGGTCGGTGAGACCGAGGGTGACGATGACGCTGCCAACGACGGTGACAGCGCAGGCGACGGTGACAAAGGGTTTGTGGGCGACGGTGACGAGGACGGCTCAGGAGACAGTGACGAGGACGATTCGGTATCTGTGGAATTAAGTAAGGTTCCGCCAGTGTACCCTGGGGCCACGTCAACGGCGCTCATGGCAGAATCATCAAGGGAGGATGAGACGTCCATGTGCGCCGACCTTACTAGTGGGGTCCTCGTCTTGACGGCAGGGGCGGGCGTGTCGGCGGGAACGACGAACTGACGGTCGGTGTCGTCTACATCGACGGGCGTGGTGACTGGCAGGCCGGGGAAGTCGTCGTCGAGGAAGGTGGCATTGCGACCAAGTACAATCTTGTTGATGGAATGGTCAAAGAAACGGAAAGCTTTGGAGGCGAGGTCGTAACCTGTGAAGATCACGCGCGCGGCCTTGGGGTCGAGCTTGCTGCGAAGGTCCGGGGCGACCGTGAGCCAGGCTGTGCAGCCGAACGGGTGGAGGGCGGTGGCGGTGGTGCGTTGGCCGTTCCAAACGGATTCTGGAGTCTGTTTGGCCAAAGCTGAGTGTGAGCACCTGTTTTTGCAATAAACGAAATACGCAGCCGCTTCATCCCAAAAGGTGGCCGGCAGACGGGCGTCCGCAAGGAGAGCGAGGACGCCCTCGACGATGGAGAGGTTGACACGTTCGGCGCGACCGTTTTGTTGAGGCGTGTAAGGGATAGAGTATTGACGACGAATGCCCTTGGATTTGCAGAACTCCGTGAATGCGTTTGATCGGTACTCCCCGCCATTGTCGGTTCGAAGGATCCTCAACCGCGCGTTCGTCTCTAACTCCACTTCGGCGAGCCAAGTCTGGAAGGTCGGGAAAACATCGCTTTTGTGATCGATCGCATATGCCCAGAGTTTGCGAGAGTGGTCGTCTAGAAACGTGACAAGGTAGCGCTTCCCGGTCAAGGACGGAGTGGGGAACGACAGGACGTCGCTGTGCACGAGGCCAAGTCTCTCGGCGGAATGCGACTCAGAGTCGGGAAAGGGAAGGCGGTGACCTTTGGAACCAAGGCAAGCATTGCAAACAAACTCCTCTACGTCTTTGTCACTGTACCCGGCCCCAAACCCGTCCAGCAAACCTGCAGCAATCATCTTCTGTATAGAGGATGGGGCAAGATGGCCGAGGCAGCGGTGTAGGGTAAGCAGGGGCACGGGAGACTCAGAGCGTGAGAGGAAGGCAAGATGCTGACACTTGGTGTGATCCGCGTCCAAAAGGTAAAGACCGTCGTTGACCCTGGTACCGTGAGCAATGGCCCGGCCGTCCTTGGCGATGTCGATGCCGTCGCTGGTGAAGGCGAGACGAACGCGGTCGGTGTCGCAGAGGCGAGAGACAGAGAGGAGGTTGACGTGTAGGCCAGGCGTGTGAAGAACACCACGGAGCGTGATCGGGTGTCCAGTCTTGGCGACGAATGCCACGTCCCCCATGCCGATAGCCGTGATGCCGCCCGCGATGCCGCCGATCTTGGTGTGTGCCGTCTGACGATAAGTCGTGAATAGAGATCGGTCGGCGACCATGTGTGTCGTGGCACCCGAATCGACTACAAAGGCGTCAGTTGGGAGTTGGCGACGAGCGAAGAGGCAGGAGGCGAAATAGCCGACGTTCGGTTGCGAGGCCGCGGAGGAAGACGTGTCGTCCTGGGTGTCGTCGCTGCTACGTGCCTGTTCACCCCGGTTCTTGCAGTCGAGTGCCCAGTGACCTTTCTTGTGGCATCGGCGGCAGGGGCCGGTGGGCGGGTGCTTCGCACGTGAAGTGCAGTCGCGCAGGCGGTGACCGGGAGCGCGGCAGGCGGGGCAGGGGGAGCTGGTGGCAAGCATGGCCGAATGCGAGGTCGAGAGTCCTGCCGAACGAAGCTGGATGCGAATGCGGTCCGTAAGCGTCGTGAGTTCGGGAAGGTCGCGTCGGTTTCGCTGCTCGTCCGTGAACGTGAGTCGGAAGCTGTCGAGGCAAGACGGGACCATGGCGAGCACGTGGGTGGCGAGCACGTCGTTGAGCGATGTTTTGGCGTCGCGTATTTCCTGAGCAATCGACATGTACTCGCGTAGCCAAGTGTCGTAGGCCTCGACGGAGGCAGGCATCTTCCTGAAGTCCCAAAGGCGAGCGAACAACTCGAGAGTGCGTGTAGCGTCGTCCGGTGCAAAACGAGCCTTGAGAGCGGCAAAGATGCGCGGTGCCGACAGGTCGTCGCTGGGGATGGCGTCGAGGGTGGCCGATACGTCGGCGGAGTCGATAGAGCCAACGATGATTTCCCGGGCGGCGTCGTCACGTGCGGCAAGCTGGTCGGCGGTCCAGGTCGGGGGAACGACACCGTCGAGAACGTAACCACGAACCTGGTTCGGGAGTGCAAGACGGAGTTGACGCAACCAGTTGGTGAACGACTTGGGGCCGTCCAGACGAGCGTGCTTGGGAAACATGACCTTGGATGCGGTGGCGGCGTTCCCCGGCACGACGGTGACGGCCGGGGGTGCGGCGGCTGCGGCGGCGGCGGGTTGCGAGGCCTGCAGAGCGGCAAGCTGGGCCTGTAGAGTGGCGATTTGTTCGCCGATCGAAGATTCAGGGGAGCTGGGATCCCTGGGGGCCAAAGGCGAGGCGGGAGAGCTGTCCATGATGTGATGGTGCGATGGACGTGTGCGGCTCGAGTGGCTGGGCTCGAGCGAAAAAGCCTCAAGCGGCGGGTGGCAGGCAACGTCCTCTTCAGAAGACGTTGACTACACGCGGAGGAGGGGATCAGGCCGAAGGAAGGTCGACTGGGCGGGGGCAGGCGACCGAGGGACAACCGAGGAGGGGACGCGGTTGTGAGGCTCGCAGCAAGTCAAGTATATCGGACTTTATTGCCAACGAGATCGAAAACGAAGGATGAAGGTGAAGGGATCTTGGGAGATGTAGCGGACCAGGCTGAGTGGGAAGGTGCTAAAAACAAAAGGGAGGCACTCAGGCGCAGAGGGGACTTAGCCAATTCAGCTACTCCAAGAGGTCGCCTCAGGGGGAAAAAGGATTGCTCGCGGGAGCACCGGTAAAAACCCTGAGGCCGCGCCTCAGCTAACAAAAAGAACAAAAACCGAGAGAAGATTGCGCTCTGCGCGCCTTGAACCCGCGACCATTAAGTGCGCGCCCGCGCGCCGAACGACTACGCCATCACGCCCACAATGCTTGAATGGAGGGAAGCATTTGGTGACCTCAACTCTACCTGCACATTACCTCAGGGACTTCCTTCGAGTGTTGCTGTCAGTGTATCGCTGTTTGCCTGACAGCGGGGCTGGTAGCTCGTGGGCTTATAACCTATTCGATCAACTCTACTACGTCAGCGATGTAGTTATAGCCAAGAGTGATGAATGCATTTCAACATACCTATTCGATCAACTCTACTACGTCAGCGATGTAGTTATAGCCAAGAGTGATGAATAGGAAGCTAACAATAAGAGACCCGCGCGCCCCAAGTCCACAGCCAGCGAGCCTGGGGCTGAGCCAATGGCCCAGGCTCGCTCCGCGCGCCTAAGTCCCAGGCTCGCTTCGCGCGCCTAAGTCCTGGGCCGGGGCGCCCGGCTCACTCCGCGCGCCTAAGTCCGCGCCCGGTTCGCTCCGCGCGCCTAAGTCCTGAGCCGAGCGGAGAGTGGATTCCTCACAGCTTGGACTCCTGTATCGCACTGGCAGACCTTGCTGTCAAAGATCGCGTTCAAGGCACTCGACACGGTCCGACATGTCCATCCTTGCACCCCTGCATTCACTCGTCCTCACTACCGTGGTAGAGGGGAAGAGCGAAAGATTTGCTCGTGGTCGCGGATCGACTATATTCTTGTCCAATGCAGTTGGGCGAACCGGTTGTTGAGCGCTTCTACGCTCTTCGATGCGCCCTGTTCGGACCACAGACCTGTAGTTGCGACTTTCGCTTTGCCTACATCGAACGCTGATGCCGAACCCCCCCTTTCTCTTCCCTCCACGAGCGATTTCATTTCGAGGCTCAACCCAATGGTCTTTGACGATCAAGACTTTGTCGCATCGATTCCCGGGGTCGTCGACGAGGTCTATCGAAGGCTCGAGGGGACCGCTCCGCTCGGCGACGTCTATGACGCCGCTCTGCGGGCGGTTGCAGTCGCTGGCCATGCACGATACCGCTCGACTCGTGCCGACATGCGCCGACTGCGGGCCGAGAGCCAATCCGTCATGGAGGCTTTGGAGGCACGCGGTGAGCACATGAATGAGGCCGAGCGCGATGCGTATGCTCTTGCCAAGTCGCGGTTGGACCAGTTGGCGGTAAAGGAGGCTCAGTGGCTGCGCATTCGTGCGCATGTGCCGTCAGTCGACTCGAGGGAAGGTCAATCGGCAAGCATTCGCACGCGCCTCAACCGCCGGAGTCGCCAGACGAGCATCGTCTCGCTGGAGGATGTGGATGGCACCGAGACCGTTGACATGCAGGAGGCGCTGGGTATTGCTTCACGGCACGCGCAGTCGCTCTTCACGCCGGACCCAGCTCGTGGCGACCCGACGAACGCACGCCGGTCCCTGCTCGACCCTATTCGCGCAGCGAAATGCTACGATGACGACCGCTCGGACCCTACGTTCGGTCGTCGGCTGCCTCGTCAAGCGAGAGTGGCGCTTGACGAGCCCTTCACCCTCCTCGAGGTTGAAGCGGCGTTGAAGAAGACGGATTCGGGGCGATCACCGGGGCCCTCGGGCATTCCGTACGAGCTCTTCAAGGCGCTGCCAACCTACTTTGCTCCCAAGCTGTTGGACTTGTTCAACTCGATTTGGGAGGGCGGCAAAATGACGGCGTCCTTGGCAGAGGGGCTGGTGCGGCTCTTGCCCAAGAATAAACCGGGGGCCAATCTGAAATCACTGGGGGCATACCGACCGATCACATTGCGCGAGACGACCTACAAGGTCCTCAGCAAGGTCTTGGTGGCGCGACTCAATGGGGTGCTCGGCGAGCTTTTACCGCCGGCGCAACACGGTTTCATGCCATCAAGACGTTCAGCGGACGCGGGAAGTCATCTCACTCTCCTTCTCGAAAAACTCAAGTCGCTAGGCACTGATGTTTTCCCCGAGGGCGCCCTCTTGTCTTTGGATCAGCAGAGCGCGTACGATCGGGTCGATCACGCCTGGATCTTCGAGGTCTTTGAGGCCTTTGGGTTCGGTGAGCGTTTCATCTCGCTGCTGCGCGCTCTCTACGATCCCGAGACTCTGGGGGTGCGCTACCTTGTCAATGGGTTCCCCACGGACTTGGTGCGGTTGCTGTGTGGTCTCGGTCAAGGGGATCCCCTCTCGTGCCCGGTTTGGAACATCACGTTCCAGCCCTTCCTCGACGCCCTCGTTCGGCGCGGGATCGCGCTCGACCTGCAGAAGGTGTGGCCAGGGGGGCCGCGTGCGCAGCTTACGCATCTGGCGTTTGCCGACGATGCTGTGGTGGTGGTGGAGTCACCGGCGGCATTGTCGAAGCTGCAAACGCTGTTGCAGACGTGGTACGAGGCTACCAACGGGAAGACCAACACGGACAAGACGCTGGTGCTACCACTCGGACCGAACTGGCTTCGGGACGAGACTGCGCAGGCGCTGCCAACGGTGCAGGAGGGGGAGAGCTTCAAGTGGTGCGGTTATGCCTTCTTTCGCCACGGTGACTCGAAACTGTTTTGGACCCATGTTCTTGACAGGATCAAGGCCAAGACCCGCGCCGCTCGAGACCGGACACTTTCGCCGAGTGGGAAGGTTTTCTATGCCAACGCTCACATCATCTCGACGGTCCTCCACGTGCTGTCCTTCGACATACCGCCTCAATGGTTCATTAAGGCGGCGGAGACGGCACTTACGGACTTTGTCTGGGGAGGAGCAGGGCGAAATACCGTCGCTCGCGATTTCGTGTTCCAGGCTCGGGAGGACGGTGGCTTGGGTTTGATTTCGATTGGCGACATCGTTCATTCGGTGGCGCTTCGATTTTGGGATGCTGTGGCGGGCTCGGACGAGGCGATCTGGGCGCCCCTAGCTCGCGAGAGCTGGAGGTGCCTCGTCGCTGCGACCCGCGATTTCAGTCCGTGGAGGTTCTTCAGCAGCACGGCTCGGGTCGAGAAGCTGTATCGCGACTCGACACGCTGGGGGGCAGTCGTTGCAGCGGCCAGGGTCACAGTTCCAACCATCAAGTCCGAACTCCTTACGCTTCCCGAATTGCTCTCGCTTCCGCCTCGCCTCCCTTCACTCTATGCTGAAGGTGCCCAGCACGCATATGACGATGCGGACGCGGTGGCGAAGTTTGCGCAGATCGCGGACCTGTACTGGAGGGACGAAGGGAAGGGATGGGCTCTGGTTGGTCATCGACGCGGGTTCTGGCAGCACTCTAAGGAATCCGCCCTACAGCACGAGCACGTGTGGTCGCGCGTGGGTCAGTTGCTCAAGGCGAAAGCGTTGCTGCCCAAGACCGCGTTGCGACCTGCTCGGATACCTCTCAAGGAGGCTCCCCGTCCTCGGTGCTTCAACTTCTTTGGGCTCTCCCGACCTTTTACGATTCGCAAGCTTCGTCGGCTTGTGAACAAGGTGCGGTTCCCAGGGAGGGAGGACCGTGTCAAGCGTTTCCCTGATGGGACTTCTCAGAGCGATAGGAAGCGCTTCTGGAGATGGCTTCGTGACCGGTTCGCGTCTGCTGTCGAGCAGGACACCCACTGGCGGCTCATGTACGACGTGACGCCGACGCGCAAGAGGCAGCATACTCAGGGTCATGCCTCTTCGCCGACGTGTCTGTTCTGTGGCAACGATGCAGCGGTCATCGAGACGGTGTCCCACTACTTTTTCGAGTGCGCGTACTCGACCAGCTTCTGGGGTGGGGTGCTACGCATTCTGCTTGACAAGCTCGGCATCGAGGATACCGACGTCGATCCGTCGACGTTCACTCCGGAGCAGCTGACTATGGGGCTCCCCCTTTTGCGGGGTCGTGGGAGAACGACCTCGAAATGGATGTGGGTTCGGCTGGCCTGCGCGATCGGCTTCCAGCGGCTGCACCTGCTCCGCTGGCGCGTTCATCAGCGGTTCGAGCTGGACAAAGTCATGGCCTCTCCCTCGCTTCCCAGTGCGCTCAGAGCGTTCGAGCGAGATTTTCTCTCTCGAGCGGGCTTTGTGCCTGGGGCTCGAGATTGGGAGGTGTGATGACCGAGTTAAGTCCTTCCTTCCCATTTTCCTCCCCTGCTCTCTCTCCCCTCCTTTCCTCCCTTCCTTTTCGGAGGTCGACTTTTCTTTCAGAAGCTGACTGTCTTGAAACTTGTTGTGCAGTGGAAGGCTGCGCACCTCTCCCTTGTGAGGAATCCACTCTCCGCTCGGCTCAGGACTTAGGCGCGCGGAGCGAACCGGGCGCGGACTTAGGCGCGCGGAGTGAGCCGGGCGCCCCGGCCCAGGACTTAGGCGCGCGAAGCGAGCCTGGGACTTAGGCGCGCGGAGCGAGCCTGGGCCATTGGCTCAGCCCCAGGCTCGCTGGCTGTGGACTTGGGGCGCGCGGGTCTCTTATTGTTAGCTTCCTATTCATCACTCTTGGCTATAACTACATCGCTGACGTAGTAGAGTTGATCGAATAGGTATGTTGAAATGCATTCATCACTCTTGGCTATAACTACATCGCTGACGTAGTAGAGTTGATCGAATAGGTATGTTGAAATGCATTCATCACTCTTGGCTATAACTACATCGCTGACGTAGTAGAGTTGATCGAATAGGTTATAAGCCCACGAGCTACCAGCCCCGCCGCTTGAGGCTTTTTCGCTCGAGCCCAGCCACTCGAGCCGCACACGTCCATCGCACCATCACATCATGGACAGCTCTCCCGCCTCGCCTTTGGCCCCCAGGGATCCCAGCTCCCCTGAATCTTCGATCGGCGAACAAATCGCCACTCTATGTTGAACTTCGCTCCATCTCACTTCTAGGACAATATGCGCTCACTGAAGTAGAGGTGCCTCGCCTTTTGGTGCAGTGGTATATTGTTCCTTCATAGGTTATGAGCCCAGAGCAACCAGCAGGTCATGAGTTCAATCCCCCCTGGGGTCAGGCAATTTTGCGCGCATACACTCAGCGTCCCGGCCCCCGCACTTGCCCAGCAGCGTGCCAAGCACCCTGGCGCATCGACAGTGCTCACAGTGCCCAAGCTGCACTTGCCCAAGCGACCTGATCAACATGCCCAGTTGCCTCACAGCCGCACCCACTGCCACAAGCTCTTCAGCTTCGCGCACAGGGGGGTGTTGAACTTCGCTCCATCTCACTTCTAGGACAATATGCGCTCACTGAAGTAGAGGTGCCTCGCCTTTTGGTGCAGTGGTATATTGTTCCTTCATACTCTACAGGCCCAGCTTGCCGCTCTGCAGGCCTCGCAACCCGCCGCCGCCGCAGCCGCCGCACCCCCGGCCGTCACCGTCGTGCCGGGGAACGCCGCCACCGCATCCAAGGTCGTGTTTCCCAAGCACGCTCGTCTGGACGGCCCCAAGTCGTTCACCAACTGGTTGCGTCAACTCCGTCTTGCACTCCCGAACCAGGTTCGTGGTTACGTTCTCGACGGTGTCGTTCCCCCGACCTGGACCGCCGACCAGCTTGCCGCACGTGACGACGCCGCCCGGGAAATCATCGTTGGCTCTATCGACTCCGCCGACGTATCGGCCACCCTCGACGCCATCCCCAGCGACGACCTGTCGGCACCGCGCATCTTTGCCGCTCTCAAGGCTCGTTTTGCACCGGACGACGCTACACGCACTCTCGAGTTGTTCGCTCGCCTTTGGGACTTCAGGAAGATGCCTGCCTCCGTCGAGGCCTACGACACTTGGCTACGCGAGTACATGTCGATTGCTCAGGAAATACGCGACGCCAAAACATCGCTCAACGACGTGCTCGCCACCCACGTGCTCGCCATGGTCCCGTCTTGCCTCGACAGCTTCCGACTCACGTTCACGGACGAGCAGCGAAACCGACGCGACCTTCCCGAACTCACGACGCTTACGGACCGCATTCGCATCCAGCTTCGTTCGGCAGGACTCTCGACCTCGCATTCGGCCATGCTTGCCACCAGCTCCCCCTGCCCCGCCTGCCGCGCTCCCGGTCACCGCCTGCGCGACTGCACTTCACGTGCGAAGCACCCGCCCACCGGCCCCTGCCGCCGATGCCACAAGAAAGGTCACTGGGCACTCGACTGCAAGAACCGGGGTGAACAGGCACGTAGCAGCGACGACACCCAGGACGACACGTCTTCCTCCGCGGCCTCGCAACCGAACGTCGGCTATTTCGCCTCCTGCCTCTTCGCTCGTCGCCAACTCCCAACTGACGCCTTTGTAGTCGATTCGGGTGCCACGACACACATGGTCGCCGACCGATCTCTATTCACGACTTATCGTCAGACGGCACACACCAAGATCGGCGGCATCGCGGGCGGCATCACGGCTATCGGCATGGGGGACGTGGCATTCGTCGCCAAGACTGGACACCCGATCACGCTCCGTGGTGTTCTTCACACGCCTGGCCTACACGTCAACCTCCTCTCTGTCTCTCGCCTCTGCGACACCGACCGCGTTCGTCTCGCCTTCACCAGCGACGGCATCGACATCGCCAAGGACGGCCGGGCCATTGCTCACGGTACCAGGGTCAACGACGGTCTTTACCTTTTGGACGCGGATCACACCAAGTGTCAGCATCTTGCCTTCCTCTCACGCTCTGAGTCTCCCGTGCCCCTGCTTACCCTACACCGCTGCCTCGGCCATCTTGCCCCATCCTCTATACAGAAGATGATTGCTGCAGGTTTGCTGGACGGGTTTGGGGCCGGGTACAGTGACAAAGACGTAGAGGAGTTTGTTTGCAATGCTTGCCTTGGTTCCAAAGGTCACCGCCTTCCCTTTCCCGACTCTGAGTCGCATTCCGCCGAGAGACTTGGCCTCGTGCACAGCGACGTCCTGTCGTTCCCCACTCCGTCCTTGACCGGGAAGCGCTACCTTGTCACGTTTCTAGACGACCACTCTCGCAAACTCTGGGCATATGCGATCGATCACAAAAGCGATGTTTTCCCGACCTTCCAGACTTGGCTCGCCGAAGTGGAGTTAGAGACGAACGCGCGGTTGAGGATCCTTCGAACCGACAATGGCGGGGAGTACCGATCAAACGCATTCACGGAGTTCTGCAAATCCAAGGGCATTCGTCGTCAATACTCTATCCCTTACACGCCTCAACAAAACGGTCGCGCCGAACGTGTCAACCTCTCCATCGTCGAGGGCGTCCTCGCTCTCCTTGCGGACGCCCGTCTGCCGGCCACCTTTTGGGATGAAGCGGCTGCGTATTTCGTTTATTGCAAAAACAGGTGCTCACACTCAGCTTTGGCCAAACAGACTCCAGAATCCGTTTGGAACGGCCAACGCACCACCGCCACCGCCCTCCACCCGTTCGGCTGCACAGCCTGGCTCACGGTCGCCCCGGACCTTCGCAGCAAGCTCGACCCCAAGGCCGCGCGCGTGATCTTCACAGGTTACGACCTCGCCTCCAAAGCTTTCCGTTTCTTTGACCATTCCATCAACAAGATTGTACTTGGTCGCAATGCCACCTTCCTCGACGACGACTTCCCCGGCCTGCCAGTCACCACGCCCGTCGATGCAGACGACACCGACCGTCAGTTCGTCGTTCCCGCCGACACGCCCGCCCCTGCCGTCAAGACGAGGACCCCACTAGTAAGGTCGGCGCACATGGACGTCTCATCCTCCCTTGATGATTCTGCCATGAGCGCCGTTGACGTGGCCCCAGGGTACACTGGCGGAACCTTACTTAATTCCACAGATACCGAATCGTCCTCGTCACCGTCTCCTGAGCCGTCCTCGTCACCGTCGCCCACAAACCCTTTGTCACCGTCGCCTGCGCTGTCACCGTCGTTGGCAGCGTCATCGTCACCCTCGGTCTCACCGACCGACTCTGACTACTCCGCCGACCCTCTGGACCTCATCGGCTCACAGACCCCGACTCGCCTTGGCCCACCGGACGTGCACCGCCCAGACTTCAGCACGTACCGTGAGCCCGCATCGGCTGAGGAGTCGCCCGACGAACTCGACATCATTGGGCGTCACTCGCGCGATGAATCGCCGGATGAAATCGATTTCCTCACCCAACACCACCGCGCCTTCATCGCCACAGACGACGACGACCCCACCCTCGACGCCATCGAGCCCGTCAAATCGATCACTAGCGACCCCCAGACCTGGCGCGAAGCAATGTCCAGCGACGAGCACAACATCTGGGCTGAGGCCGCCGCCGCCGAGTTCACCGCCATGCGCGACGACTTCAAGGTGTTCACCATCGAGCCTCGCTCATCTGTACCGCCGGGCGCCACCATCGTCACCTCCAAATTCGTCTGGAAGACCAAGCGCAACGCAAGCGGTGAAGTCACGGGGCGGAAGGCACGTCTTGTAGCGCAGGGTAACCGACAGCGCGACGGCATCGACTTCTCAGAAACCTTCGCACCCGTCGCCCGTTTCTCCTCCATTCGCTGCCTCCTGGCTCTTGCCGCTGCCAATGGCTACCACGTTCATCAGGCCGACATCGACAAGGCTTACCTCCACGGCGAGCTCGATCATGATATCTGGATGACGACACCACGCGGTTTCGACTTCCCGAGCGATAAGGTTCTCCGGCTGCGACGCTCAATCTACGGTCTCAAGCAGGCCGGTCGCATCTGGAATCGTCACATTGACACATCACTCAGGAATCTGGGGTACAAGGCAACAGGCACTGATCACTGCATTTACTCTCGCATTGACGATCAGCAGCGGCCTCACTATATCGCCTTGTATGTCGACGACCTCCTCATTGTCAGTCCAGCCCTCGACGAGATCGAACGTGTCATCTCCGGCCTTGAACAGCGGTACGGCGTCAAACGACTCGGCCCCGCGGAGTACATCCTCGGAATCCAAATACGCCGCCTGGACGACGGTTCCATTGCTCTATCCCAGGAGCGCTACATCATGGACGTGCTGGCCCGTTTCCACTTCGACACCACGACACGCGGCACTACGGTGCCGATGACGCCCGGCCTCTCGCTCACGGCAATTCCGGGTCAGGGAACGGAGCGCATTCGTTCGTGGTACCTACAGGCCATCGGCTCCCTCCTCTACATCTCCCTTGGCACTCGACCCGACATTGCCTTCGCCGTCTCGTACCTGTCCCGGTTCGCCAACAACCCCGGCCGCCGCCATTGGATTGCCGTCAAACACGTCCTTCGCTACCTTCGCGCCACGTACCGCGATGAGCTTCTCTATGCCCGCGGCCCAGCAAAAGTCACGGGTGTGGTTGGTTATTCTGATGCGAACTGGGGCGCCTGCGTCGACACATCCATTTCAACGATGGGCTACGTATTTTACTTGGCAGGCGCCGCTGTCTCTTGGTCGTCGAAGCGTCAGACTCGGGTAGCGGATTCCACCACTGATGCCGAGTACCTGGCCTTGTCGCACGCGGGTAAGGAAGCGATCTACCTTAACCAACTCCTCTCCGAGCTCCACGTTTGCCCAATCGCTGCAGCTCACATCTTCACCGACAACGAGGCCGCGGCCGCCGTTGCTCACGACCCCGTTCGCACCTCCGGCACCCGGCACATTCGCCTCCGCGAGCATTTTGTCCGTGACATGGTCAATCGAGGTGATATCTCTCTCTCACACGTTGGCACAGCAGACATGGTTGCGGACGTATTCACCAAAGCGCTAGGCCCCAAGATTTTTGGTACACATTGCTATGCTCTAGGCCTCCGGACGCGACATCCACGGCTCAAGTCTACCTCGCGTTCGCGTGGGGGGGGGTGTGAGGAATCCACTCTCCGCTCGGCTCAGGACTTAGGCGCGCGGAGCGAACCGGGCGCGGACTTAGGCGCGCGGAGTGAGCCGGGCGCCCCGGCCCAGGACTTAGGCGCGCGAAGCGAGCCTGGGACTTAGGCGCGCGGAGCGAGCCTGGGCCATTGGCTCAGCCCCAGGCTCGCTGGCTGTGGACTTGGGGCGCGCGGGTCTCTTATTGTTAGCTTCCTATTCATCACTCTTGGCTATAACTACATCGCTGACGTAGTAGAGTTGATCGAATAGGTATGTTGAAATGCATTCATCACTCTTGGCTATAACTACATCGCTGACGTAGTAGAGTTGATCGAATACAAGCGCGATCGGTGATGGACACTCGGTCGACCGATACATCCGGACAATCGTTGAGATCGCCGGCCAAGATCCGAAGAATCTTGGGTCTCGGGGCGTTGAAGTGCAGAAGCCCGAAAAAGTCGCGACGATCGTCCTCCTGCACCGGCGCGTACATGTTGATGATCTCGACATCGAGCTCCTCAAGACGAAACACCGAGCGCAGAATCCGACCGTCGAAACGAGGAGCTCCTGCAAAGACGACCGGGGTAGAGGAAAGGAGATGGCCCACCAAAGGTGAGCCATCGGGTATGAGGGTAAGGACATGAGGAGTGAAACGAATAGAAGCCCCCGGCCAAGCACTCTCGAAGCCTTCGCGCGACGCGTTGTAGCTGAGGTGGTGCTCTTGCAGGAGGATGGCCGCAGGGGCCGGCCGAAGGGTTTTGAGATAACGGATGATTTTGACTTGGTTGACTGCGTTCTTCATCGATCGGACGTTGAACGTCAACACGGTGAGTGACTCAATCATGATTAAATCAGTTCAGCGCCGCCCCCCTCGAATTCGGTCACCTCGGACCTGTGACGCCCTGAACTGTTGCCCCCTGAGCCATCACCCCCTGATGCACCGAGGATCATGGCGGATCCCGCCCGGGTGACACGTCGGTTGCCGGGTGCCGAGCTCGAACGAAGGCGTCGAGGACTCGTCGAGGCTATCGAGGTTGTCGAGGTTGCCGATGATCCCGACGTGCCACCGGACAAAGGCGAAGGAGAGGTCGGGGTCGAAACGGGCGCCGCCGTCGTCGTCTGCGTCTCCTTTGTTGAGCCCAGGGTCGCACGCGTCAACGTCTCTTCCCCAGTGTCGCCGCCCTCCGGTTCGGTCGAAACGACCGACTCGTCATCGCCGTCGTTCACGTCGTCCTTGTTGGCGGTTACTGCACCTGCGGGGTTAGCACGAGGTCCCAGCTGGATCATGTTCGCGCCAGAGACACGAGAGTTCAATGCGGCAGGCCCACCGTGCTTCCCATTCTTTCCAGCAACTCGGAAGCCGGTGGTCGAAGTCGAAGTCGAGGTCGAGGCCCCCGGAACAGGGGCGGCGGTGGCCGGAGTCGAAACCGGCTTCCTGCAAGCGCCCCACTGGTGTCCGGCACGATCGCACACCGCGCAGTAGTGCGTCTCGAATTCGTGTCGCAAGCCGTACTTGGCGCCCAGGATCTCGATCTCTTGTGGCAAAGCGGCGTTGAGCGCACCCTTCTGCGTCTCGATGGAGCCTTGGAAAAGATCAGCATGTAAGCGAAGGTACGCGCAGTGGAACCCGTCTTCGGTCATGGCCATCGGATCGCCATTCGGATCGACCGCGAGGCCCCGCTGTAATTGCATCAGGGTATAACCTTGCGTGCGACCTGCGCGGCCGAACGAAAGGGTGATAGCATCATCGAGAGATTTTCGGAGCACGGAAGCGGGGATCGCGCTGGAGGAGGAGGGCAAGGTGAATCGCACCTGCACAACGTGGTTAAGGGGAGAGGCGCTGGGGAGCTCGGTAACCATCTCCTTGCCGTGGTAGGGGAATGGGCCCGCTGAAGCGGCTTCAAGACAAGCTTGCTCGGATTCGAATACAAGCTCGTACATGTGACGAGCGATCGGGAACCTCTTCGTGGCTTTCGTCACAATCGGGTTCAGCTTCACGCATTTCGAGAAAAGCTTCTCGACCTCGGGGTCAAGCACGACGCCCTCGGGCCGCGCGAACATGAACGGCGTCTCGGCCAATCCAAAGTGCTTGCGCAGCGCGGTCTGTACAGGACCTCTGGGTGATCCAGGACCATCCATAATGACTCGAATCACATTGGAGGCCGGGGCTGCGTCGTTTCGCACCGCTCTTTGGGCGGCTCGTGCGAGCGCTGGCGCCTGCGAAGGCGGGGTCGAGGCGTCGTGCATCAGGACCATCAGTCGGCGGGTCGACTTGCTGGAGGGAACAATCCCGAGCACTTGGAAGGTCTTCTTCATCAGCTTCTCATGGTCCAACCGGACCTGAGTTGCCTCGGGCGACCAAGCTGGAGGATTCGCGGTTCCTCCAGTGACCGCTTCACACGTTTGCGTGTTGAGTGATGAATCACTCGCGCCATTACCACCCAATAGGTCCTCGGGCGGGGGCGCATCGGCGCCGGGCGGATCCGGCATCGCGTGTTTGTGTTGACCTGTAAAGCTTAACGGGCTTGGAGGTCAACTACTCACTCTACACCACAGAAACTCACTTGTGTGTGTGTGTGTGTGTGTGTGTGTGTGTGCTATGTTTTTTTTTTTTTTGTAGAAACCGTTCATCATATTGCCCCCAATTCCTGTTCCCCCTGTTTCGGCCTACGGAAAAACTAGATGGAAGACTACGATGATAACACAAACCGCCCGCAAAAGTGCGAGAAACGAGCCAAGTCCACCAATCCGAGATTCGGATTCAAATGCCCTAGCCAAGCGGTTGCTCCCCCCCAGGAGACGAATGAGAGAGAGAAAGAGAAAGAGAAAGAAAAGAAATGTACTAACGACAGAAGGCCCACCCCACAGCCACTTCCCACTCGGTCGAGACGAAGACAAGTGTCAGGCAAACAGCGATACACTGACAGCAACACTCGAAGGAAGTCCCTGAGGTAATGTGCAGGTAGAGTTGAGGTCACCAAATGCTTCCCTCCATTCAAGCATTGTGGGCGTGATGGCGTAGTCGTTCGGCGCGCGGGCGCGCACTTAATGGTCGCGGGTTCAAGGCGCGCAGAGCGCAATCTTCTCTCGGTTTTTGTTCTTTTTGTTAGCTGAGGCGCGGCCTCAGGGTTTTTACCGGTGCTCCCGCGAGCAATCCTTTTTCCCCCTGAGGCGACCTCTTGGAGTAGCTGAATTGGCTAAGTCCCCTCTGCGCCTGAGTGCCTCCCTTTTGTTTTTAGCACCTTCCCACTCAGCCTGGTCCGCTACATCTCCCAAGATCCCTTCACCTTCATCCTTCGTTTTCGATCTCGTTGGCAATAAAGTCCGATATACTTGACTTGCTGCGAGCCTCACAACCGCGTCCCCTCCTCGGTTGTCCCTCGGTCGCCTGCCCCCGCCCAGTCGACCTTCCTTCGGCCTGATCCCCTCCTCCGCGTGTAGTCAACGTCTTCTGAAGAGGACGTTGCCTGCCACTTTTTTCAAGTCCGGCACCGCCAACCTTCGATCTCGCTTGCCCTTGCTCTATCCTGCATCCTGGACGAGCAATCGTCCACTACCCCTGAGTCGTCAGCTTCCTCCCCGTTGCCGAACTCATCCCCCGCTGACGCGTCGTGGTCATTCGCCACCTCATTCACTGAGTCCGACGACGAACGCGTCATCCCTTCGTACCCCTTCTTCCATCCTTCTCGAGCTCGCATCCGTTCTCCCCACAACCGCCAACCGCTACGCCGCGAACTCGCCATGGCCGAACCCACCGACACGTCGCGAGACACCACCGCCCCCGTCCGCGAAGACCCCTCGCGCGCGAATCCGCCTAAGTCCCCGCCGACGCATTCGCCGCACCCGCTCCAGGCCGCCGCCGTCATCACGTCCCTTGAATCCCGCCTCGCAGAATCGGAAGCCCTGCGCCGCGACTCGGAGACACGCATCCGCAAATTGGAGCAGATGGTGGAACGATTGATGAGAGAATCCACCGCACCTGCTGGGGCGCAGGTCGGGGAGGCTCTGCCGGTGAGACCGGTCCCCCTGGACGTCCCCCCGCACACATTTTTGGGACGCCCGGGAGCTGCCGCTGACCCCCTTGCTCGTACCCCTGGGGGGGAATCTCACAGCGGAATTAGGGACGGCCCTTCCTCGGCGGTGATTAGCTCTCGTTGGAGAGGGACATTGCCGGACCGGGAAGGGTTATGGACCGGAGATCATCCGGAAAGGTTGGTGATTTTCACTGCGTTTGGGGAGTCGTATCTTTCTCTCTTGTGCGACATCTCCACCTCCGACCTTTTCGACACGAGCCGAGTGATCCAGCTTGTGGCGACGCTATTTTTTCGTACGACAACCCGACAGCGCCGCCAATCCCCGCTCGATTGGGCCGTCGAGGCGATGAGGGACGCGCTTGGAGAAGGGCGCCCTCATTGTTGGACGTCGCTCATGAAGGCAGTGGGACGTCGTTGGCCCGACCCCGGGTTCGCCGATAGAGTGGCTCAAGACTTCCACGGATGTCGCCAGTCGTCGTCTCGGGCTTACGACCATGTCGGGGAGTGGCGGGCGCGGTACCGTGCCTTCGTGCACGACAACGATAGTTTCACCCTGTCGCCGCTTCAGCTCGCCACGACCTTCTACCAATCGCTCAGTGACTCCTCCAAGCGGGAAGTGCGGGCGGGAATGTTACGTGAATACCACGACAACTCGCTGGTGACAATTGGGCGATTCGGACTGAAGGTCCCGTCCATCGACGAGATTACCGAGTGGGCCGCTATCGCCGACGACATTTCTCCTCCGCCTTCGGTTCCGACCCCACCAAGCCGCACCGCGACCTATGGCGCGATCGTCAAAGCTCCCCGAGTGAGCCCACCTGCGACCAACACGCCCACCGTCGACGAGAGGTTCCCGATCCGACGAGCTCGATGGGTCGACCGCGCTACTAAGTGGCAGCAATCGCACTTGTGGAAGGACCGCTCCACCTGGTTTTCCCCGGCGCCCAGCGGGGTACCCACCAGCATGGCTTGCTTCAACTGCGGACGAGGCGGTCATTTCTCGCAGCACTGCACCGCGGAGCGTCAATCCCCGGTCGCCGTCCAACTCTCAGCGGTCGCTGTGGCCGACTTGGATGACGAAGATTGGTCCTCGGTCGCAGGTGGTGACGAGTATGAGACGTTCACCACTACTGTCAGGAGAGGTTGAGAGTCGAACAGAAGTGATCTATTTCAGCGTACCTATGAGACGTTCACCACTACTGTCAGGAGAGGTTGAGAGTCGAACAGAAGTGATGAGAAGGAAGCTAAGAAACAGAAAGGGGGGGGCCACGCTGGGATAGTCCCAGGCGCGTGACAATGTACATCCCTAAGTCAGCCGCGGGTGAAATCGCCGGCGCGCCTAAGTCCCCACCGCAAGGGGGCGGGCTAGCGGGCGCGCGCATGAATCCGCCGGCGCTGGCGCGCTGAGGCAGTCGCGCGCGTCTAAGTCCCCACCGCCGGGGGCGGGCTAGCAAGTGCGCGCAACGACCGAGGCGCCCCTGTCGAGCTGAGAGTGGACTCTTCACACCCCCCCCACGCGAATGCGAGGCAGACCCAAGCCGCGGGTGTCGAGTGCGAAGGCCGAGGGCGTAGCAGTGCGTTGAGAAGACCTTTGGGCCGAGAGCCTTGGTGAAGATGTCGGCCACCATGTCGCTGGTACCCACATGCGAGAGAGAGATGTCGCCCCGATTCACCATGTCCCGAACGAAGTGCTCACGCAAGCGTATGTGCCGAGTGCCAGAGACGCGGACAGGATCGTGAGCAACTGCAGCAGCGGCTTCGTTGTCAGTAAAGATGTGAGCCGGTGCAACAGGTTGTACATGGAGCTCTTCGAGCAGCTGACTGAGGTAAATCCCTTCCTTGCCAGCATGCGAGAGGGCGAGGTATTCAGCGTCGGTGGTCGAATCGGCAACTCGAGACTGGCGTTTGGACGACCAGGACACGGCCGAGCCAGCGATGTAGAAGACGTAGCCCATGGTGGACACCGATGTGTCGATGCAGGCCCCCCAGTTCGCGTCGGAGTAGCCTACCACACCCGTGATGCGAGCCTGGCCGCGAGCATACACGAGTTCGTTGCGATACGTGGCCCGGAGATAGCGTAGGATGTGCTTGACCGCAATCCAATGACGACGACCGGGGTTGTTGGCGAAGCGGGCCAGGTAGGACACGGCGAAGGCGATGTCAGGGCGGGTACCGAGCGAAATGTAGAGGAGCGAGCCGATAGCCTGCAGATACCATGACCTGATCCGTTCGGTGCCTTGACCCGGGATAGCAGTGAGCGAAAGGCCGGGAGTCATCGGAACTGTAGTGCCGCGAGTCGTGGTGTCGAAGTGGAACCGAGCGAGCACGTCCATGATGTACCGTTCCTGGGATAGGGCGATAGAGCCGTCGTCGAACCGCCTGATCTGGATGCCGAGGATATACTCGGCCGGGCCGAGGCGCTTGACTCCGTAGCGTTGGTCCAGGCCTGAGATGACACGTTCGATTTCGGCCAGTTCCGGGCTGATCATCAGGAGGTCGTCGACGTACAGTGCGATGTAGTGTGGACATTGACGATCATCGAGCCAAGAGTATACGCAGTGGTCGGTGCCCGTCGCCGTGTAACCGAGGGCCCGAAGCGAAGCGTCGATGTGTCGATTCCAGATTCGGCCAGCCTGTTTGAGCCCGTAGATGGAGCGTCGCAGGCGAAGCACCTTGTCGCTGGGAAGGTCGAAGCCGCGCGGTGCCGTCATCCAGATGTCGTGGTCAAGGTCGCCATGCAGATATGCTTTGTCGATGTCCGCCTGGTGCACGTGCAAGCCGTTGGCGGCCGCCAGCGCGAGGAGTGAGCGTATCGAGGAGAAGCGTGCGACCGGTGCGAACGTTTCGTTGAAGTCGATGCCGTCGCGTTGCCGATTGCCTTGCGCGACCAGCCTTGCCTTGTGTCCAGTGACTTCGCCGAGTGCGTTCCGTTTCGTTTTCCAGACGAACTTGGATGTAACGATAGTCGCACCCGCGGGCACCGTGGCTCGGTCCTCGATGGTGAAGACCTTGAAGTCGTCGCGCATGGAGGTGAACTCGTCGGTGGCGGCTTTGGCCCATACTTCACGCTTGTCGCTAGACATCGCCTCGCGCCAGGTCTGTGGGTCGCTCGTGATGGACTTGACTGGCTGAATTGCCTCTGTGTCAGAGGTGTCGTCGTCGATGGCGATGAAGGCGCGGTGGTGTCGGGTGAGGAAATCGATTTCGTCCGGAGATTCGTCGCGAGAGTGGCGCCCAATGAGGTCGAGTTCGTCGGGCGACTCCTCAGCCGATGCGGGCTCGCGGTACGTGCTGAAGTCTGGGTGGTGCACGTCCTGTAGATCGAGGCGAACCTGGGGCTGTGAGCCGAGGAGGTCGAGGGGATCGGCGGAGTCTTCAGAGTCGGTCGGTAAGGCCGAGGGTGACGATGACGCAGCCGACGATGGTGAAAGTGCAGGCGATGGCGCAGACGACGGTGATGAGGGCGACGCAGGCGACGGTGACGAGGACGATTCGGCATCTGTGAAGTTAAGTAAGGTTCCGCCAGTGTACCCTGGGGCCACGTCAACGGCGCTCATGGCAGAATCATCAAGGGGGGATGAGACGTCCATGTGCGCCGACCTTACTAGTGGGGTCCATGTCTTGACAACGGTTTGAGATTCGGTGGTGGGAGCGCTGGCGAAGTGCGTGTCGCCGTCTTGCTCAGTGGGGTCGCCATGTAATCCGGGGAATTCAGTGTCGAGGAACGTGGCATTTCTGCCAAGTATAATCTTCTGTGTTGTAGTGTCGTAGAAGCGAAAGGCTTTTGAAGCCAGGTCGTAGCCGGTGAAAAAAACGCGAACCGCCTTCGGGTCGAGTTTGGAGCGAAGTTCGGGCGCGACCGTAAGCCAAGCTGTACAGCCGAACGGGTGAAGCGCCGAGGCAGTGGTGTGGTCACCCTGCCAGACGGAGTTTGGTGTTGCCTTGTCCAGGGCCGCGTGTTGACACAGGTTCTTGCAGTAAACGAAATAAGCTGCAGCCTCCTCCCAGAATGTCTTGGGTAGGTGGGCGTCTATTCGATCAACTCTACTACGTCAGCGATGTAGTTATAGCCAAGAGTGATGAATGCATTTCAACATACCTATTCGATCAACTCTACTACGTCAGCGATGTAGTTATAGCCAAGAGTGATGAATAGGAAGCTAACAATAAGAGACCCGCGCGCCCCAAGTCCACAGCCAGCGAGCCTGGGGCTGAGCCAATGGCCCAGGCTCGCTCCGCGCGCCTAAGTCCCAGGCTCGCTTCGCGCGCCTAAGTCCTGGGCCGGGGCGCCCGGCTCACTCCGCGCGCCTAAGTCCGCGCCCGGTTCGCTCCGCGCGCCTAAGTCCTGAGCCGAGCGGAGAGTGGATTCCTCACACCCCCCCCCACGCGAACGCGAGGTAGACTTGAGCCGTGGATGTCGCGTCCGGAGGCCTAGAGCATAGCAATGTGTACCAAAAATCTTGGGGCCTAGCGCTTTGGTGAATACGTCCGCAACCATGTCTGCTGTGCCAACGTGTGAGAGAGAGATATCACCTCGATTGACCATGTCACGGACAAAATGCTCGCGGAGGCGAATGTGCCGGGTGCCGGAGGTGCGAACGGGGTCGTGAGCGACGGCGGCCGCGGCCTCGTTGTCGGTGAAGATGTGAGCTGCAGCGATTGGGCAAACGTGGAGCTCGGAGAGGAGTTGGTTAAGGTAGATCGCTTCCTTACCCGCGTGCGACAAGGCCAGGTACTCGGCATCAGTGGTGGAATCCGCTACCCGAGTCTGACGCTTCGACGACCAAGAGACAGCGGCGCCTGCCAAGTAAAATACGTAGCCCATCGTTGAAATGGATGTGTCGACGCAGGCGCCCCAGTTCGCATCAGAATAACCAACCACACCCGTGACTTTTGCTGGGCCGCGGGCATAGAGAAGCTCATCGCGGTACGTGGCGCGAAGGTAGCGAAGGACGTGTTTGACGGCAATCCAATGGCGGCGGCCGGGGTTGTTGGTGTGAGGAATCCACTCTCCGCTCGGCTCAGGACTTAGGCGCGCGGAGCGAACCGGGCGCGGACTTAGGCGCGCGGAGTGAGCCGGGCGCCCCGGCCCAGGACTTAGGCGCGCGAAGCGAGCCTGGGACTTAGGCGCGCGGAGCGAGCCTGGGCCATTGGCTCAGCCCCAGGCTCGCTGGCTGTGGACTTGGGGCGCGCGGGTCTCTTATTGTTAGCTTCCTATTCATCACTCTTGGCTATAACTACATCGCTGACGTAGTAGAGTTGATCGAATAGGTATGTTGAAATGCATTGATCACTCTTGGCTATAACTACATCGCTGACGTAGTAGAGTTGATCGAATAGGTTATAAGCCCACGAGCTACCAGCCCCGCCGCTTGAGGCTTTTTCGCTCGAGCCCAGCCACTCGAGCCGCACACGTCCATCGCACCATCACATCATGGACAGCTCTCCCGCCTCGCCTTTGGCCCCCAGGGATCCCAGCTCCCCTGAATCTTCGATCGGCGAACAAATCGCCACTCTACAGGCCCAGCTTGCCGCTCTGCAGGCCTCGCAACCCGCCGCCGCCGCAGCCGCCGCACCCCCGGCCGTCACCGTCGTGCCGGGGAACGCCGCCACCGCATCCAAGGTCGTGTTTCCCAAGCACGCTCGTCTGGACGGCCCCAAGTCGTTCACCAACTGGTTGCGTCAACTCCGTCTTGCACTCCCGAACCAGGTTCGTGGTTACGTTCTCGACGGTGTCGTTCCCCCGACCTGGACCGCCGACCAGCTTGCCGCACGTGACGACGCCGCCCGGGAAATCATCGTTGGCTCTATCGACTCCGCCGACGTATCGGCCACCCTCGACGCCATCCCCAGCGACGACCTGTCGGCACCGCGCATCTTTGCCGCTCTCAAGGCTCGTTTTGCACCGGACGACGCTACACGCACTCTCGAGTTGTTCGCTCGCCTTTGGGACTTCAGGAAGATGCCTGCCTCCGTCGAGGCCTACGACACTTGGCTACGCGAGTACATGTCGATTGCTCAGGAAATACGCGACGCCAAAACATCGCTCAACGACGTGCTCGCCACCCACGTGCTCGCCATGGTCCCGTCTTGCCTCGACAGCTTCCGACTCACGTTCACGGACGAGCAGCGAAACCGACGCGACCTTCCCGAACTCACGACGCTTACGGACCGCATTCGCATCCAGCTTCGTTCGGCAGGACTCTCGACCTCGCATTCGGCCATGCTTGCCACCAGCTCCCCCTGCCCCGCCTGCCGCGCTCCCGGTCACCGCCTGCGCGACTGCACTTCACGTGCGAAGCACCCGCCCACCGGCCCCTGCCGCCGATGCCACAAGAAAGGTCACTGGGCACTCGACTGCAAGAACCGGGGTGAACAGGCACGTAGCAGCGACGACACCCAGGACGACACGTCTTCCTCCGCGGCCTCGCAACCGAACGTCGGCTATTTCGCCTCCTGCCTCTTCGCTCGTCGCCAACTCCCAACTGACGCCTTTGTAGTCGATTCGGGTGCCACGACACACATGGTCGCCGACCGATCTCTATTCACGACTTATCGTCAGACGGCACACACCAAGATCGGCGGCATCGCGGGCGGCATCACGGCTATCGGCATGGGGGACGTGGCATTCGTCGCCAAGACTGGACACCCGATCACGCTCCGTGGTGTTCTTCACACGCCTGGCCTACACGTCAACCTCCTCTCTGTCTCTCGCCTCTGCGACACCGACCGCGTTTGTCTCGCCTTCACCAGCGACGGCATCGACATCGCCAAGGACGGCCGGGCCATTGCTCACGGTACCAGGGTCAACGACGGTCTTTACCTTTTGGACGCGGATCACACCAAGTGTCAGCATCTTGCCTTCCTCTCACGCTCTGAGTCTCCCGTGCCCCTGCTTACCCTACACCGCTGCCTCGGCCATCTTGCCCCATCCTCTATACAGAAGATGATTGCTGCAGGTTTGCTGGACGGGTTTGGGGCCGGGTACAGTGACAAAGACGTAGAGGAGTTTGTTTGCAATGCTTGCCTTGGTTCCAAAGGTCACCGCCTTCCCTTTCCCGACTCTGAGTCGCATTCCGCCGAGAGACTTGGCCTCGTGCACAGCGACGTCCTGTCGTTCCCCACTCCGTCCTTGACCGGGAAGCGCTACCTTGTCACGTTTCTAGACGACCACTCTCGCAAACTCTGGGCATATGCGATCGATCACAAAAGCGATGTTTTCCCGACCTTCCAGACTTGGCTCGCCGAAGTGGAGTTAGAGACGAACGCGCGGTTGAGGATCCTTCGAACCGACAATGGCGGGGAGTACCGATCAAACGCATTCACGGAGTTCTGCAAATCCAAGGGCATTCGTCGTCAATACTCTATCCCTTACACGCCTCAACAAAACGGTCGCGCCGAACGTGTCAACCTCTCCATCGTCGAGGGCGTCCTCGCTCTCCTTGCGGACGCCCGTCTGCCGGCCACCTTTTGGGATGAAGCGGCTGCGTATTTCGTTTATTGCAAAAACAGGTGCTCACACTCAGCTTTGGCCAAACAGACTCCAGAATCCGTTTGGAACGGCCAACGCACCACCGCCACCGCCCTCCACCCGTTCGGCTGCACAGCCTGGCTCACGGTCGCCCCGGACCTTCGCAGCAAGCTCGACCCCAAGGCCGCGCGCGTGATCTTCACAGGTTACGACCTCGCCTCCAAAGCTTTCCGTTTCTTTGACCATTCCATCAACAAGATTGTACTTGGTCGCAATGCCACCTTCCTCGACGACGACTTCCCCGGCCTGCCAGTCACCACGCCCGTCGATGCAGACGACACCGACCGTCAGTTCGTCGTTCCCGCCGACACGCCCGCCCCTGCCGTCAAGACGAGGACCCCACTAGTAAGGTCGGCGCACATGGACGTCTCATCCTCCCTTGATGATTCTGCCATGAGCGCCGTTGACGTGGCCCCAGGGTACACTGGCGGAACCTTACTTAATTCCACAGATACCGAATCGTCCTCGTCACCGTCTCCTGAGCCGTCCTCGTCACCGTCGCCCACAAACCCTTTGTCACCGTCGCCTGCGCTGTCACCGTCGTTGGCAGCGTCATCGTCACCCTCGGTCTCACCGACCGACTCTGACTACTCCGCCGACCCTCTGGACCTCATCGGCTCACAGACCCCGACTCGCCTTGGCCCACCGGACGTGCACCGCCCAGACTTCAGCACGTACCGTGAGCCCGCATCGGCTGAGGAGTCGCCCGACGAACTCGACATCATTGGGCGTCACTCACGCGATGAATCGCCGGATGAAATCGATTTCCTCACCCAACACCACCGCGCCTTCATCGCCACAGACGACGACGACCCCACCCTCGACGCCATCGAGCCCGTCAAATCGATCACTAGCGACCCCCAGACCTGGCGCGAAGCAATGTCCAGCGACGAGCACAACATCTGGGCTGAGGCCGCCGCCGCCGAGTTCACCGCCATGCGCGACGACTTCAAGGTGTTCACCATCGAGCCTCGCTCATCTGTACCGCCGGGCGCCACCATCGTCACCTCCAAATTCGTCTGGAAGACCAAGCGCAACGCAAGCGGTGAAGTCACGGGGCGGAAGGCACGTCTTGTAGCGCAGGGTAACCGACAGCGCGACGGCATCGACTTCTCAGAAACCTTCGCACCCGTCGCCCGTTTCTCCTCCATTCGCTGCCTCCTGGCTCTTGCCGCTGCCAATGGCTACCACGTTCATCAGGCCGACATCGACAAGGCTTACCTCCACGGCGAGCTCGATCATGATATCTGGATGACGACACCACGCGGTTTCGACTTCCCGAGCGATAAGGTTCTCCGGCTGCGACGCTCAATCTACGGTCTCAAGCAGGCCGGTCGCATCTGGAATCGTCACATTGACACATCACTCAGGAATCTGGGGTACAAGGCAACAGGCACTGATCACTGCATTTACTCTCGCATTGACGATCAGCAGCGGCCTCACTATATCGCCTTGTATGTCGACGACCTCCTCATTGTCAGTCCAGCCCTCGACGAGATCGAACGTGTCATCTCCGGCCTTGAACAGCGGTACGGCGTCAAACGACTCGGCCCCGCGGAGTACATCCTCGGAATCCAAATACGCCGCCTGGACGACGGTTCCATTGCTCTATCCCAGGAGCGCTACATCATGGACGTGCTGGCCCGTTTCCACTTCGACACCACGACACGCGGCACTACGGTGCCGATGACGCCCGGCCTCTCGCTCACGGCAATTCCGGGTCAGGGAACGGAGCGCATTCGTTCGTGGTACCTACAGGCCATCGGCTCCCTCCTCTACATCTCCCTTGGCACTCGACCCGACATTGCCTTCGCCGTCTCGTACCTGTCCCGGTTCGCCAACAACCCCGGCCGCCGCCATTGGATTGCCGTCAAACACGTCCTTCGCTACCTTCGCGCCACGTACCGCGATGAGCTTCTCTATGCCCGCGGCCCAGCAAAAGTCACGGGTGTGGTTGGTTATTCTGATGCGAACTGGGGCGCCTGCGTCGACACATCCATTTCAACGATGGGCTACGTATTTTACTTGGCAGGCGCCGCTGTCTCTTGGTCGTCGAAGCGTCAGACTCGGGTAGCGGATTCCACCACTGATGCCGAGTACCTGGCCTTGTCGCACGCGGGTAAGGAAGCGATCTACCTTAACCAACTCCTCTCCGAGCTCCACGTTTGCCCAATCGCTGCAGCTCACATCTTCACCGACAACGAGGCCGCGGCCGCCGTCGCTCACGACCCCGTTCGCACCTCCGGCACCCGGCACATTCGCCTCCGCGAGCATTTTGTCCGTGACATGGTCAATCGAGGTGATATCTCTCTCTCACACGTTGGCACAGCAGACATGGTTGCGGACGTATTCACCAAGGCGCTAGGCCCCAAGATTTTTGGTACACATTGCTATGCTCTAGGCCTCCGGACGCGACATCCACGGCTCAAGTCTACCTCGCGTTCGCGTGGGGGGGGGTGTGAGGAATCCACTCTCCGCTCGGCTCAGGACTTAGGCGCGCGGAGCGAACCGGGCGCGGACTTAGGCGCGCGGAGTGAGCCGGGCGCCCCGGCCCAGGACTTAGGCGCGCGAAGCGAGCCTGGGACTTAGGCGCGCGGAGCGAGCCTGGGCCATTGGCTCAGCCCCAGGCTCGCTGGCTGTGGACTTGGGGCGCGCGGGTCTCTTATTGTTAGCTTCCTATTCATCACTCTTGGCTATAACTACATCGCTGACGTAGTAGAGTTGATCGAATAGGTATGTTGAAATGCATTGATCACTCTTGGCTATAACTACATCGCTGACGTAGTAGAGTTGATCGAATAGTTGGCGAACCGGGACAGGTACGAGACGGCGAAGGCAATGTCGGGTCGAGTGCCAAGGGAGATGTAGAGGAGGGAGCCGATGGCCTGTAGGTACCACGAACGAATGCGCTCCGTTCCCTGACCCGGAATTGCCGTGAGCGAGAGGCCGGGCGTCATCGGCACCGTAGTGCCGCGTGTCGTGGTGTCGAAGTGGAAACGGGCCAGCACGTCCATGATGTAGCGCTCCTGGGATAGAGCAATGGAACCGTCGTCCAGGCGGCGTATTTGGATTCCGAGGATGTACTCCGCGGGGCCGAGTCGTTTGACGCCGTACCGCTGTTCAAGGCCGGAGATGACACGTTCGATCTCGTCGAGGGCTGGACTGACAATGAGGAGGTCGTCGACATACAAGGCGATATAGTGAGGCCGCTGCTGATCGTCAATGCGAGAGTAAATGCAGTGATCAGTGCCTGTTGCCTTGTACCCCAGATTCCTGAGTGATGTGTCAATGTGACGATTCCAGATGCGACCGGCCTGCTTGAGACCGTAGATTGAGCGTCGCAGCCGGAGAACCTTATCGCTCGGGAAGTCGAAACCGCGTGGTGTCGTCATCCAGATATCATGATCGAGCTCGCCGTGGAGGTAAGCCTTGTCGATGTCGGCCTGATGAACGTGGTAGCCATTGGCAGCGGCAAGAGCCAGGAGGCAGCGAATGGAGGAGAAACGGGCGACGGGTGCGAAGGTTTCTGAGAAGTCGATGCCGTCGCGCTGTCGGTTACCCTGCGCTACAAGACGTGCCTTCCGCCCCGTGACTTCACCGCTTGCGTTGCGCTTGGTCTTCCAGACGAATTTGGAGGTGACGATGGTGGCGCCCGGCGGTACAGATGAGCGAGGCTCGATGGTGAACACCTTGAAGTCGTCGCGCATGGCGGTGAACTCGGCGGCGGCGGCCTCAGCCCAGATGTTGTGCTCGTCGCTGGACATTGCTTCGCGCCAGGTCTGGGGGTCGCTAGTGATCGATTTGACGGGCTCGATGGCGTCGAGGGTGGGGTCGTCGTCGTCTGTGGCGATGAAGGCGCGGTGGTGTTGGGTGAGGAAATCGATTTCATCCGGCGATTCATCGCGCGAGTGACGCCCAATGATGTCGAGTTCGTCGGGCGACTCCTCAGCCGATGCGGGCTCACGGTACGTGCTGAAGTCTGGGCGGTGCACGTCCGGTGGGCCAAGGCGAGTCGGGGTCTGTGAGCCGATGAGGTCCAGAGGGTCGGCGGAGTAGTCAGAGTCGGTCGGTGAGACCGAGGGTGACGATGACGCTGCCAACGACGGTGACAGCGCAGGCGACGGTGACAAAGGGTTTGTGGGCGACGGTGACGAGGACGGCTCAGGAGACGGTGACGAGGACGATTCGGTATCTGTGGAATTAAGTAAGGTTCCGCCAGTGTACCCTGGGGCCACGTCAACGGCGCTCATGGCAGAATCATCAAGGGAGGATGAGACGTCCATGTGCGCCGACCTTACTAGTGGGGTCCTCGTCTTGACGGCAGGGGCGGGCGTGTCGGCGGGAACGACGAACTGACGGTCGGTGTCGTCTGCATCGACGGGCGTGGTGACTGGCAGGCCGGGGAAGTCGTCGTCGAGGAAGGTGGCATTGCGACCAAGTACAATCTTGTTGATGGAATGGTCAAAGAAACGGAAAGCTTTGGAGGCGAGGTCGTAACCTGTGAAGATCACGCGCGCGGCCTTGGGGTCGAGCTTGCTGCGAAGGTCCGGGGCGACCGTGAGCCAGGCTGTGCAGCCGAACGGGTGGAGGGCGGTGGCGGTGGTGCGTTGGCCGTTCCAAACGGATTCTGGAGTCTGTTTGGCCAAAGCTGAGTGTGAGCACCTGTTTTTGCAATAAACGAAATACGCAGCCGCTTCATCCCAAAAGGTGGCCGGCAGACGGGCGTCCGCAAGGAGAGCGAGGACGCCCTCGACGATGGAGAGGTTGACACGTTCGGCGCGACCGTTTTGTTGAGGCGTGTAAGGGATAGAGTATTGACGACGAATGCCCTTGGATTTGCAGAACTCCGTGAATGCGTTTGATCGGTACTCCCCGCCATTGTCGGTTCGAAGGATCCTCAACCGCGCGTTCGTCTCTAACTCCACTTCGGCGAGCCAAGTCTGGAAGGTCGGGAAAACATCGCTTTTGTGATCGATCGCATATGCCCAGAGTTTGCGAGAGTGGTCGTCTAGAAACGTGACAAGGTAGCGCTTCCCGGTCAAGGACGGAGTGGGGAACGACAGGACGTCGCTGTGCACGAGGCCAAGTCTCTCGGCGGAATGCGACTCAGAGTCGGGAAAGGGAAGGCGGTGACCTTTGGAACCAAGGCAAGCATTGCAAACAAACTCCTCTACGTCTTTGTCACTGTACCCGGCCCCAAACCCGTCCAGCAAACCTGCAGCAATCATCTTCTGTATAGAGGATGGGGCAAGATGGCCGAGGCAGCGGTGTAGGGTAAGCAGGGGCACGGGAGACTCAGAGCGTGAGAGGAAGGCAAGATGCTGACACTTGGTGTGATCCGCGTCCAAAAGGTAAAGACCGTCGTTGACCCTGGTACCGTGAGCAATGGCCCGGCCGTCCTTGGCGATGTCGATGCCGTCGCTGGTGAAGGCGAGACGAACGCGGTCGGTGTCGCAGAGGCGAGAGACAGAGAGGAGGTTGACGTGTAGGCCAGGCGTGTGAAGAACACCACGGAGCGTGATCGGGTGTCCAGTCTTGGCGACGAATGCCACGTCCCCCATGCCGATAGCCGTGATGCCGCCCGCGATGCCGCCGATCTTGGTGTGTGCCGTCTGACGATAAGTCGTGAATAGAGATCGGTCGGCGACCATGTGTGTCGTGGCACCCGAATCGACTACAAAGGCGTCAGTTGGGAGTTGGCGACGAGCGAAGAGGCAGGAGGCGAAATAGCCGACGTTCGGTTGCGAGGCCGCGGAGGAAGACGTGTCGTCCTGGGTGTCGTCGCTGCTACGTGCCTGTTCACCCCGGTTCTTGCAGTCGAGTGCCCAGTGACCTTTCTTGTGGCATCGGCGGCAGGGGCCGGTGGGCGGGTGCTTCGCACGTGAAGTGCAGTCGCGCAGGCGGTGACCGGGAGCGCGGCAGGCGGGGCAGGGGGAGCTGGTGGCAAGCATGGCCGAATGCGAGGTCGAGAGTCCTGCCGAACGAAGCTGGATGCGAATGCGGTCCGTAAGCGTCGTGAGTTCGGGAAGGTCGCGTCGGTTTCGCTGCTCGTCCGTGAACGTGAGTCGGAAGCTGTCGAGGCAAGACGGGACCATGGCGAGCACGTGGGTGGCGAGCACGTCGTTGAGCGATGTTTTGGCGTCGCGTATTTCCTGAGCAATCGACATGTACTCGCATAGCCAAGTGTCGTAGGCCTCGACGGAGGCAGGCATCTTCCTGAAGTCCCAAAGGCGAGCGAACAACTCGAGAGTGCGTGTAGCGTCGTCCGGTGCAAAACGAGCCTTGAGAGCGGCAAAGATGCGCGGTGCCGACAGGTCGTCGCTGGGGATGGCGTCGAGGGTGGCCGATACGTCGGCGGAGTCGATAGAGCCAACGATGATTTCCCGGGCGGCGTCGTCACGTGCGGCAAGCTGGTCGGCGGTCCAGGTCGGGGGAACGACACCGTCGAGAACGTAACCACGAACCTGGTTCGGGAGTGCAAGACGGAGTTGACGCAACCAGTTGGTGAACGACTTGGGGCCGTCCAGACGAGCGTGCTTGGGAAACACGACCTTGGATGCGGTGGCGGCGTTCCCCGGCACGACGGTGACGGCCGGGGGTGCGGCGGCTGCGGCGGCGGCGGGTTGCGAGGCCTGCAGAGCGGCAAGCTGGGCCTGTAGAGTGGCGATTTGTTCGCCGATCGAAGATTCAGGGGAGCTGGGATCCCTGGGGGCCAAAGGCGAGGCGGGAGAGCTGTCCATGATGTGATGGTGCGATGGACGTGTGCGGCTCGAGTGGCTGGGCTCGAGCGAAAAAGCCTCAAGCGGCGGGGCTGGTAGCTCGTGGGCTTATAACCTATTCGATCAACTCTACTACGTCAGCGATGTAGTTATAGCCAAGAGTGATGAATGCATTTCAACATACCTATTCGATCAACTCTACTACGTCAGCGATGTAGTTATAGCCAAGAGTGATGAATAGGAAGCTAACAATAAGAGACCCGCGCGCCCCAAGTCCACAGCCAGCGAGCCTGGGGCTGAGCCAATGGCCCAGGCTCGCTCCGCGCGCCTAAGTCCCAGGCTCGCTTCGCGCGCCTAAGTCCTGGGCCGGGGCGCCCGGCTCACTCCGCGCGCCTAAGTCCGCGCCCGGTTCGCTCCGCGCGCCTAAGTCCTGAGCCGAGCGGAGAGTGGATTCCTCACAGCGTCGACAAGGAGGGCAAGGACGCCTTCGACAATGGAACGATTGACCCGCTCTGCACGACCGTTCTGTTGAGGCGTGCGTGGGATAGAGTATTGTCGACGGGTGCCTCGTGTCTTGCAGAACTCTGTGAACGCTCTCGAACAGTATTCGCCACCGTTGTCGGTTCGGAGGACCTTCAGCGTCGCACCCGTCTCGAGTTCAACCTCGGCTAGCCAAGTTTTGAATATGCCGAAGACTTCGCTTTTGTGTCCGATTGCGTAGGCCCAGAGTTTGCGCGAGTAATCGTCAAGGAATGTGACCAGGTAACGTTTGCCAGTCAAGGACCGCTCGGGGAAGGAAAGCACATCGCTGTGTACAAGGCCGAGTCTCTCTGAGGAGTGCGAATCCGAATCGGGAAAGGGAAGACGATGGCCCTTTGCGCTGAGGCAAGCATTGCAGACAAACTTCTCTACCTCTTCGTCACTATATCCGGCCCTGAGACCCTCCAGCAAACCAGCGGCAACCATCTTCTGTATGGAGGACGGTGCGAGATGGCCGAGGCAGCGATGGAGAGTCAGCAGGGGCACGGACGACTGTGAGCGAGAAAGGAGAGCAAGGTGCTGACATTTGGAATGATCAGCGTCCAGCAAGTAGAGCCCTTCGTCGAGTCGTGCGCCTTCAGCGATGTCGTTGCCGTCCTTGTCAATGTGGATGCCGTGTTTTGTGAAGGCGACACGGACATCGTCGGTGTCGCAAAGTCGAGAGACCGAGAGAAGATTGACAAACAGGCCCGGAGTGTGCAGCACGCCGGTAAGCGTGATCGGATGACCCGAGGCGGCAATGAAGGCGATGTTTCCCGTTCCGATGGCGTTGATGCCCCCTGCAATACCACCAATCTTCGTAGGAGCGATATGGCGATAGGTCGTGAACAGCGACTTGTCCGAGACCATGTGCGAAGTGGCGCCCGAGTCGACGACAAAAGAGTGGTTGCGAAGCTGGCGACGACGAGCGAGAAGACCGGTGGCGAGACATCCGACATGGTGTTGCGAGTCGACGGTCGAGTCAGCGGTGTCGGGCTTTTTGCCGTCCTCGAGCGCCTTCTTGCAGTCGAGAGACCAGTGATCCTTCTTCTTGCAGGAGCGACAGGGTCCTGGCGGCGGGTGTTGCGCCCTCGTAGGGCACTCCGCGACTCGGTGCGAAGGGCTGCGACAGGCGAGACACTTGAGACGAGTAGAACGTGACGACGACGAGGCAAGAAGGGCCGATTGAGTGCTGGGGATGTTCGTTGACCGAAGTTGGACTCGCATACGGTCGGCAAGCGAATCAATGTCGGGGAGAGTTCGTTGCGTGCGCTGTTCATCGGTGAACGACGCCTTGAAGCTCTCGAGGGACGGGTGGGCGATTGCAAGGAGGAGTGTGGCGAGAACATCATTGATAGTTGTCTTTGTGTCGATGATCTCTTGCGCAACGGCTTTGAAGTCCATGATCCACCCGTCGAATTCGGCAACCGTGCCGGGCATGGGACGGAAACCCCAGAGTCGTGAGAAGAGCTCGAGCGTGCGGGTGGCGTCGTCAGGGGCGTACCGCGATTTCAGCGTCGAGTAGATTGTCGGCGCTGTCAGGTCGGCGGTAGGGATTTTGTCGAGGACTGCCGAGACTTCGGCCGAGTCAATCGAATTCGCAAGGACCTCACGAGCGACGGCGTCGCGAGCGGAGCGTTGCGAAGGTGTCCAGTCGTCGGGTGCGATACCGTCGAGGACGTACGAGCGGATGTCGTCCGCTAGGCACAGGCGAAGTTGGCGTGTCCAGTTCGCGAAGGTCTTCGCACCATCCAAGCGTGCGTGCTTTGGAAAGGCAGTGCGAGTGGTGCCGGACGTCGTGGCGGGTGTGGCAGTGCCGGAAGCGGCAGCGGTGAGACCCGACAGCAGCGATGTAAGTGCGGCGAGCTGTTCGGCGGGAATCGGAGGGTTGGCACCCGTCGCGAGGGGTGGTGTCGTGGTCATGCCAGCTGGTGGCTCGTGGGCTTATAACCTATGAGACGTTCACCACTACTGTCAGGAGAGGTTGAGAGTCGAACAGAAGTGATCTATTTCAGCGTACCTATGAGACGTTCACCACTACTGTCAGGAGAGGTTGAGAGTCGAACAGAAGTGATGAGAAGGAAGCTAAGAAACAGAAAGGGGGGGGCCACGCTGGGATAGTCCCAGGCGCGTGACAATGTACATCCCTAAGTCAGCCGCGGGTGAAATCGCCGGCGCGCCTAAGTCCCCACCGCAAGGGGGCGGGCTAGCGGGCGCGCGCATGAATCCGCCGGCGCTGGCGCGCTGAGGCAGTCGCGCGCGTCTAAGTCCCCACCGCCGGGGGCGGGCTAGCAAGTGCGCGCAACGACCGAGGCGCCCCTGTCGAGCTGAGAGTGGACTCTTCACAGATAGGCTTTGTCGATGTCCGCCTGGTGCACGTGCAAGCCGTTGGCGGCCGCCAGCGCGAGGAGTGAGCGTATCGAGGAGAAGCGTGCGACTGGTGCGAAGGTTTCGTTGAAGTCGATGCCGTCGCGTTGCCGATTTCCCTGCGCCACGAGCCGTGCCTTGTGGCCGGTGACTTCGCCGAGTGCATTCCGTTTCGTTTTCCAGACGAACTTGGATGTGACGATGGTCGCACCCGCTGGTACCGTGGATCGGTCCTCGATGGTGAAGACCTTGAAGTCGTCGCGCATGGAATTGAACTCGTCGGTAGCGGCCTTGGCCCACACTTCGCGCTTGTCACTCGACATTGCCTCGCGCCATGTCTGTGGGTCGCTGGTGATGGACTTGACTGGTTGAATGGCTTCTGTGTCAGAGTTGTCGTCGTCGGTGGCGATGAAGGCGCGGTGGTGTTGGGTGAGGAAATCGATTTCGTCCGGCGATTCATCGCGCGAGTGGCGCCCAATGATGTCGAGTTCGTCGGGCGACTCCTCAGCCGATGCGGGCTCACGGTACGTGCTGAAGTCTGGGCGGTGCACGTCCGGTGGGCCGAGGCGAGTCGGGGTCTGTGAGCCGATGAGGTCCAGAGGGTCGGCGGAGTAGTCAGAGTCGGTCGGTAAGGCCGAGGGTGACGATGACGCAGCCAACGACGGTGACAGCGCAGGCGACGGTGACAAGGGAGTTGCGGGCGACGGTGACGAGGACGGCTCAGGAGACGGTGACGAGGACGATTCGGCATCTGTGGAATTAAGTAAGGTTCCGCCAGTGTACCCTGGGGCCACGTCAACGGCGCTCATGGCAGAGTCATCAAGAGAGGATGAGACGTCCATGTGCGCCGACCTTACTAGTGGGGTCCATGTCTTGACAACGGCTTGGGATTCGGTGGTCGGGCAAGCGCTGGCGAAGTGCGTGTCGGCGTCTTGCTCGGTGGAGTCGCTACTATTCGATCAACTCTACTACGTCAGCGATGTAGTTATAGCCAAGAGTGATGAATAGGAAGCTAACAATAAGAGACCCGCGCGCCCCAAGTCCACAGCCAGCGAGCCTGGGGCTGAGCCAATGGCCCAGGCTCGCTCCGCGCGCCTAAGTATGAGACGTTCACCACTACTGTCAGGAGAGGTTGAGAGTCGAACAGAAGTGATCTATTTCAGCGTACCTATGAGACGTTCACCACTACTGTCAGGAGAGGTTGAGAGTCGAACAGAAGTGATGAGAAGGAAGCTAAGAAACAGAAAGGGGGGGGCCACGCTGGGATAGTCCCAGGCGCGTGACAATGTACATCCCTAAGTCAGCCGCGGGTGAAATCGCCGGCGCGCCTAAGTCCCCACCGCAAGGGGGCGGGCTAGCGGGCGCGCGCATGAATCCGCCGGCGCTGGCGCGCTGAGGCAGTCGCGCGCGTCTAAGTCCCCACCGCCGGGGGCGGGCTAGCAAGTGCGCGCAACGACCGAGGCGCCCCTGTCGAGCTGAGAGTGGACTCTTCACACCCCCCCCCCACGCGAATGCGAGGCAGACCCAAGCCGCGGGTGTCGAGTGCGAAGGCCGAGGGCGTAGCAGTGCGTTGAGAAGACCTTTGGGCCGAGAGCCTTGGTGAAGATGTCGGCCACCATGTCGCTGGTACCCACATGCGAGAGAGAGATGTCGCCCCGATTCACCATGTCCCGAACGAAGTGCTCACGCAAGCGTATGTGCCGAGTGCCAGAGACGCGGACAGGATCGTGAGCAACTGCAGCAGCGGCTTCGTTGTCAGTAAAGATGTGAGCCGGTGCAACAGGTTGTACATGGAGCTCTTCGAGCAGCTGACTGAGGTAAATCCCTTCCTTGCCAGCATGCGAGAGGGCGAGGTATTCAGCGTCGGTGGTCGAATCGGCAACTCGAGACTGGCGTTTGGACGACCAGGACACGGCCGAGCCAGCGATGTAGAAGACGTAGCCCATGGTGGACACCGATGTGTCGATGCAGGCCCCCCAGTTCGCGTCGGAGTAGCCTACCACACCCGTGATGCGAGCCTGGCCGCGAGCATACACGAGTTCGTTGCGATACGTGGCCCGGAGATAGCGTAGGATGTGCTTGACCGCAATCCAATGACGACGACCGGGGTTGTTGGCGAAGCGGGCCAGGTAGGACACGGCGAAGGCGATGTCAGGGCGGGTACCGAGCGAAATGTAGAGGAGCGAGCCGATAGCCTGCAGATACCATGACCTGATCCGTTCGGTGCCTTGACCCGGGATAGCAGTGAGCGAAAGGCCGGGAGTCATCGGAACTGTAGTGCCGCGAGTCGTGGTGTCGAAGTGGAACCGAGCGAGCACGTCCATGATGTACCGTTCCTGGGATAGGGCGATAGAGCCGTCGTCGAACCGCCTGATCTGGATGCCGAGGATATACTCGGCCGGGCCGAGGCGCTTGACTCCGTAGCGTTGGTCCAGGCCTGAGATGACACGTTCGATTTCGGCCAGTTCCGGGCTGATCATCAGGAGGTCGTCGACGTACAGTGCGATGTAGTGTGGACATTGACGATCATCGAGCCAAGAGTATACGCAGTGGTCGGTGCCCGTCGCCGTGTAACCGAGGGCCCGAAGCGAAGCGTCGATGTGTCGATTCCAGATTCGGCCAGCCTGTTTGAGCCCGTAGATGGAGCGTCGCAGGCGAAGCACCTTGTCGCTGGGAAGGTCGAAGCCGCGCGGTGCCGTCATCCAGATGTCGTGGTCAAGGTCGCCATGCAGATATGCTTTGTCGATGTCCGCCTGGTGCACGTGCAAGCCGTTGGCGGCCGCCAGCGCGAGGAGTGAGCGTATCGAGGAGAAGCGTGCGACCGGTGCGAACGTTTCGTTGAAGTCGATGCCGTCGCGTTGCCGATTGCCTTGCGCGACCAGCCTTGCCTTGTGTCCAGTGACTTCGCCGAGTGCGTTCCGTTTCGTTTTCCAGACGAACTTGGATGTAACGATAGTCGCACCCGCGGGCACCGTGGCTCGGTCCTCGATGGTGAAGACCTTGAAGTCGTCGCGCATGGAGGTGAACTCGTCGGTGGCGGCTTTGGCCCATACTTCACGCTTGTCGCTAGACATCGCCTCGCGCCAGGTCTGTGGGTCGCTCGTGATGGACTTGACTGGCTGAATTGCCTCTGTGTCAGAGGTGTCGTCGTCGATGGCGATGAAGGCGCGGTGGTGTCGGGTGAGGAAATCGATTTCGTCCGGAGATTCGTCGCGAGAGTGGCGCCCAATGAGGTCGAGTTCGTCGGGCGACTCCTCAGCCGATGCGGGCTCGCGGTACGTGCTGAAGTCTGGGTGGTGCACGTCCTGTAGATCGAGGCGAACCTGGGGCTGTGAGCCGAGGAGGTCGAGGGGATCGGCGGAGTCTTCAGAGTCGGTCGGTAAGGCCGAGGGTGACGATGACGCAGCCGACGATGGTGAAAGTGCAGGCGATGGCGCAGACGACGGTGATGAGGGCGACGCAGGCGACGGTGACGAGGACGATTCGGCATCTGTGAAGTTAAGTAAGGTTCCGCCAGTGTACCCTGGGGCCACGTCAACGGCGCTCATGGCAGAATCATCAAGGGGGGATGAGACGTCCATGTGCGCCGACCTTACTAGTGGGGTCCATGTCTTGACAACGGTTTGAGATTCGGTGGTGGGAGCGCTGGCGAAGTGCGTGTCGCCGTCTTGCTCAGTGGGGTCGCCATGTAATCCGGGGAATTCAGTGTCGAGGAACGTGGCATTTCTGCCAAGTATAATCTTCTGTGTTGTAGTGTCGTAGAAGCGAAAGGCTTTTGAAGCCAGGTCGTAGCCGGTGAAAAAAACGCGAACCGCCTTCGGGTCGAGTTTGGAGCGAAGTTCGGGCGCGACCGTAAGCCAAGCTGTACAGCCGAACGGGTGAAGCGCCGAGGCAGTGGTGTGGTCACCCTGCCAGACGGAGTTTGGTGTTGCCTTGTCCAGGGCCGCGTGTTGACACAGGTTCTTGCAGTAAACGAAATAAGCTGCAGCCTCCTCCCAGAATGTCTTGGGTAGGTGGGCGTCGACAAGGAGGGCAAGGACGCCTTCGACAATGGAACGATTGACCCGCTCTGCACGACCGTTCTGTTGAGGCGTGCGTGGGATAGAGTATTGTCGACGGGTGCCTCGTGTCTTGCAGAACTCTGTGAACGCTCTCGAACAGTATTCGCCACCGTTGTCGGTTCGGAGGACCTTCAGCGTCGCACCCGTCTCGAGTTCAACCTCGGCTAGCCAAGTTTTGAATATGCCGAAGACTTCGCTTTTGTGTCCGATTGCGTAGGCCCAGAGTTTGCGCGAGTAATCGTCAAGGAATGTGACCAGGTAACGTTTGCCAGTCAAGGACCGCTCGGGGAAGGAAAGCACATCGCTGTGTACAAGGCCGAGTCTCTCTGAGGAGTGCGAATCCGAATCGGGAAAGGGAAGACGATGGCCCTTTGCGCTGAGGCAAGCATTGCAGACAAACTTCTCTACCTCTTCGTCACTATATCCGGCCCTGAGACCCTCCAGCAAACCAGCGGCAACCATCTTCTGTATGGAGGACGGTGCGAGATGGCCGAGGCAGCGATGGAGAGTCAGCAGGGGCACGGACGACTGTGAGCGAGAAAGGAGAGCAAGGTGCTGACATTTGGAATGATCAGCGTCCAGCAAGTAGAGCCCTTCGTCGAGTCGTGCGCCTTCAGCGATGTCGTTGCCGTCCTTGTCAATGTGGATGCCGTGTTTTGTGAAGGCGACACGGACATCGTCGGTGTCGCAAAGTCGAGAGACCGAGAGAAGATTGACAAACAGGCCCGGAGTGTGCAGCACGCCGGTAAGCGTGATCGGATGACCCGAGGCGGCAATGAAGGCGATGTTTCCCGTTCCGATGGCGTTGATGCCCCCTGCAATACCACCAATCTTCGTAGGAGCGATATGGCGATAGGTCGTGAACAGCGACTTGTCCGAGACCATGTGCGAAGTGGCGCCCGAGTCGACGACAAAAGAGTGGTTGCGAAGCTGGCGACGACGAGCGAGAAGACCGGTGGCGAGACATCCGACATGGTGTTGCGAGTCGACGGTCGAGTCAGCGGTGTCGGGCTTTTTGCCGTCCTCGAGCGCCTTCTTGCAGTCGAGAGACCAGTGATCCTTCTTCTTGCAGGAGCGACAGGGTCCTGGCGGCGGGTGTTGCGCCCTCGTAGGGCACTCCGCGACTCGGTGCGAAGGGCTGCGACAGGCGAGACACTTGAGACGAGTAGAACGTGACGACGACGAGGCAAGAAGGGCCGATTGAGTGCTGGGGATGTTCGTTGACCGAAGTTGGACTCGCATACGGTCGGCAAGCGAATCAATGTCGGGGAGAGTTCGTTGCGTGCGCTGTTCATCGGTGAACGACGCCTTGAAGCTCTCGAGGGACGGGTGGGCGATTGCAAGGAGGAGTGTGGCGAGAACATCATTGATAGTTGTCTTTGTGTCGATGATCTCTTGCGCAACGGCTTTGAAGTCCATGATCCACCCGTCGAATTCGGCAACCGTGCCGGGCATGGGACGGAAACCCCAGAGTCGTGAGAAGAGCTCGAGCGTGCGGGTGGCGTCGTCAGGGGCGTACCGCGATTTCAGCGTCGAGTAGATTGTCGGCGCTGTCAGGTCGGCGGTAGGGATTTTGTCGAGGACTGCCGAGACTTCGGCCGAGTCAATCGAATTCGCAAGGACCTCACGAGCGACGGCGTCGCGAGCGGAGCGTTGCGAAGGTGTCCAGTCGTCGGGTGCGATACCGTCGAGGACGTACGAGCGGATGTCGTCCGCTAGGCACAGGCGAAGTTGGCGTGTCCAGTTCGCGAAGGTCTTCGCACCATCCAAGCGTGCGTGCTTTGGAAAGGCAGTGCGAGTGGTGCCGGACGTCGTGGCGGGTGTGGCAGTGCCGGAAGCGGCAGCGGTGAGACCCGACAGCAGCGATGTAAGTGCGGCGAGCTGTTCGGCGGGAATCGGAGGGTTGGCACCCGTCGCGAGGGGTGGTGTCGTGGTCATGCCAGCTGGTGGCTCGTGGGCTTATAACCTATGAGACGTTCACCACTACTGTCAGGAGAGGTTGAGAGTCGAACAGAAGTGATCTATTTCAGCGTACCTATGAGACGTTCACCACTACTGTCAGGAGAGGTTGAGAGTCGAACAGAAGTGATGAGAAGGAAGCTAAGAAACAGAAAGGGGGGGGCCACGCTGGGATAGTCCCAGGCGCGTGACAATGTACATCCCTAAGTCAGCCGCGGGTGAAATCGCCGGCGCGCCTAAGTCCCCACCGCAAGGGGGCGGGCTAGCGGGCGCGCGCATGAATCCGCCGGCGCTGGCGCGCTGAGGCAGTCGCGCGCGTCTAAGTCCCCACCGCCGGGGGCGGGCTAGCAAGTGCGCGCAACGACCGAGGCGCCCCTGTCGAGCTGAGAGTGGACTCTTCACACTAAGTCCCAGGCTCGCTTCGCGCGCCTAAGTCCTGGGCCGGGGCGCCCGGCTCACTCCGCGCGCCTAAGTCCGCGCCCGGTTCGCTCCGCGCGCCTAAGTCCTGAGCCGAGCGGAGAGTGGATTCCTCACACCCCCCCCCACGCGAACGCGAGGTAGACTTGAGCCGTGGATGTCGCGTCCGGAGGCCTAGAGCATAGCAATGTGTACCAAAAATCTTGGGGCCTAGCGCTTTGGTGAATACGTCCGCAACCATGTCTGCTGTGCCAACGTGTGAGAGAGAGATATCACCTCGATTGACCATGTCACGGACAAAATGCTCGCGGAGGCGAATGTGCCGGGTGCCGGAGGTGCGAACGGGGTCGTGAGCGACGGCGGCCGCGGCCTCGTTGTCGGTGAAGATGTGAGCTGCAGCGATTGGGCAAACGTGGAGCTCGGAGAGGAGTTGGTTAAGGTAGATCGCTTCCTTACCCGCGTGCGACAAGGCCAGGTACTCGGCATCAGTGGTGGAATCCGCTACCCGAGTCTGACGCTTCGACGACCAAGAGACAGCGGCGCCTGCCAAGTAAAATACGTAGCCCATCGTTGAAATGGATGTGTCGACGCAGGCGCCCCAGTTCGCATCAGAATAACCAACCACACCCGTGACTTTTGCTGGGCCGCGGGCATAGAGAAGCTCATCGCGGTACGTGGCGCGAAGGTAGCGAAGGACGTGTTTGACGGCAATCCAATGGCGGCGGCCGGGGTTGTTGGCGAACCGGGACAGGTACGAGACGGCGAAGGCAATGTCGGGTCGAGTGCCAAGGGAGATGTAGAGGAGGGAGCCGATGGCCTGTAGGTACCACGAACGAATGCGCTCCGTTCCCTGACCCGGAATTGCCGTGAGCGAGAGGCCGGGCGTCATCGGCACCGTAGTGCCGCGTGTCGTGGTGTCGAAGTGGAAACGGGCCAGCACGTCCATGATGTAGCGCTCCTGGGATAGAGCAATGGAACCGTCGTCCAGGCGGCGTATTTGGATTCCGAGGATGTACTCCGCGGGGCCGAGTCGTTTGACGCCGTACCGCTGTTCAAGGCCGGAGATGACACGTTCGATCTCGTCGAGGGCTGGACTGACAATGAGGAGGTCGTCGACATACAAGGCGATATAGTGAGGCCGCTGCTGATCGTCAATGCGAGAGTAAATGCAGTGATCAGTGCCTGTTGCCTTGTACCCCAGATTCCTGAGTGATGTGTCAATGTGACGATTCCAGATGCGACCGGCCTGCTTGAGACCGTAGATTGAGCGTCGCAGCCGGAGAACCTTATCGCTCGGGAAGTCGAAACCGCGTGGTGTCGTCATCCAGATATCATGATCGAGCTCGCCGTGGAGGTAAGCCTTGTCGATGTCGGCCTGATGAACGTGGTAGCCATTGGCAGCGGCAAGAGCCAGGAGGCAGCGAATGGAGGAGAAACGGGCGACGGGTGCGAAGGTTTCTGAGAAGTCGATGCCGTCGCGCTGTCGGTTACCCTGCGCTACAAGACGTGCCTTCCGCCCCGTGACTTCACCGCTTGCGTTGCGCTTGGTCTTCCAGACGAATTTGGAGGTGACGATGGTGGCGCCCGGCGGTACAGATGAGCGAGGCTCGATGGTGAACACCTTGAAGTCGTCGCGCATGGCGGTGAACTCGGCGGCGGCGGCCTCAGCCCAGATGTTGTGCTCGTCGCTGGACATTGCTTCGCGCCAGGTCTGGGGGTCGCTAGTGATCGATTTGACGGGCTCGATGGCGTCGAGGGTGGGGTCGTCGTCGTCTGTGGCGATGAAGGCGCGGTGTTGTTGGGTGAGGAAATCGATTTCATCCGGCGATTCATCGCGCGAGTGACGCCCAATGATGTCGAGTTCGTCGGGCGACTCCTCAGCCGATGCGGGCTCACGGTACGTGCTGAAGTCTGGGCGGTGCACGTCCGGTGGGCCAAGGCGAGTCGGGGTCTGTGAGCCGATGAGGTCCAGAGGGTCGGCGGAGTAGTCAGAGTCGGTCGGTGAGACCGAGGGTGACGATGACGCTGCCAACGACGGTGACAGCGCAGGCGACGGTGACAAAGGGTTTGTGGGCGACGGTGACGAGGACGGCTCAGGAGACGGTGACGAGGACGATTCGGTATCTGTGGAATTAAGTAAGGTTCCGCCAGTGTACCCTGGGGCCACGTCAACGGCGCTCATGGCAGAATCATCAAGGGAGGATGAGACGTCCATGTGCGCCGACCTTACTAGTGGGGTCCTCGTCTTGACGGCAGGGGCGGGCGTGTCGGCGGGAACGACGAACTGACGGTCGGTGTCGTCTGCATCGACGGGCGTGGTGACTGGCAGGCCGGGGAAGTCGTCGTCGAGGAAGGTGGCATTGCGACCAAGTACAATCTTGTTGATGGAATGGTCAAAGAAACGGAAAGCTTTGGAGGCGAGGTCGTAACCTGTGAAGATCACGCGCGCGGCCTTGGGGTCGAGCTTGCTGCGAAGGTCCGGGGCGACCGTGAGCCAGGCTGTGCAGCCGAACGGGTGGAGGGCGGTGGCGGTGGTGCGTTGGCCGTTCCAAACGGATTCTGGAGTCTGTTTGGCCAAAGCTGAGTGTGAGCACCTGTTTTTGCAATAAACGAAATACGCAGCCGCTTCATCCCAAAAGGTGGCCGGCAGACGGGCGTCCGCAAGGAGAGCGAGGACGCCCTCGACGATGGAGAGGTTGACACGTTCGGCGCGACCGTTTTGTTGAGGCGTGTAAGGGATAGAGTATTGACGACGAATGCCCTTGGATTTGCAGAACTCCGTGAATGCGTTTGATCGGTACTCCCCGCCATTGTCGGTTCGAAGGATCCTCAACCGCGCGTTCGTCTCTAACTCCACTTCGGCGAGCCAAGTCTGGAAGGTCGGGAAAACATCGCTTTTGTGATCGATCGCATATGCCCAGAGTTTGCGAGAGTGGTCGTCTAGAAACGTGACAAGGTAGCGCTTCCCGGTCAAGGACGGAGTGGGGAACGACAGGACGTCGCTGTGCACGAGGCCAAGTCTCTCGGCGGAATGCGACTCAGAGTCGGGAAAGGGAAGGCGGTGACCTTTGGAACCAAGGCAAGCATTGCAAACAAACTCCTCTACGTCTTTGTCACTGTACCCGGCCCCAAACCCGTCCAGCAAACCTGCAGCAATCATCTTCTGTATAGAGGATGGGGCAAGATGGCCGAGGCAGCGGTGTAGGGTAAGCAGGGGCACGGGAGACTCAGAGCGTGAGAGGAAGGCAAGATGCTGACACTTGGTGTGATCCGCGTCCAAAAGGTAAAGACCGTCGTTGACCCTGGTACCGTGAGCAATGGCCCGGCCGTCCTTGGCGATGTCGATGCCGTCGCTGGTGAAGGCGAGACGAACGCGGTCGGTGTCGCAGAGGCGAGAGACAGAGAGGAGGTTGACGTGTAGGCCAGGCGTGTGAAGAACACCACGGAGCGTGATCGGGTGTCCAGTCTTGGCGACGAATGCCACGTCCCCCATGCCGATAGCCGTGATGCCGCCCGCGATGCCGCCGATCTTGGTGTGTGCCGTCTGACGATAAGTCGTGAATAGAGATCGGTCGGCGACCATGTGTGTCGTGGCACCCGAATCGACTACAAAGGCGTCAGTTGGGAGTTGGCGACGAGCGAAGAGGCAGGAGGCGAAATAGCCGACGTTCGGTTGCGAGGCCGCGGAGGAAGACGTGTCGTCCTGGGTGTCGTCGCTGCTACGTGCCTGTTCACCCCGGTTCTTGCAGTCGAGTGCCCAGTGACCTTTCTTGTGGCATCGGCGGCAGGGGCCGGTGGGCGGGTGCTTCGCACGTGAAGTGCAGTCGCGCAGGCGGTGACCGGGAGCGCGGCAGGCGGGGCAGGGGGAGCTGGTGGCAAGCATGGCCGAATGCGAGGTCGAGAGTCCTGCCGAACGAAGCTGGATGCGAATGCGGTCCGTAAGCGTCGTGAGTTCGGGAAGGTCGCGTCGGTTTCGCTGCTCGTCCGTGAACGTGAGTCGGAAGCTGTCGAGGCAAGACGGGACCATGGCGAGCACGTGGGTGGCGAGCACGTCGTTGAGCGATGTTTTGGCGTCGCGTATTTCCTGAGCAATCGACATGTACTCGCGTAGCCAAGTGTCGTAGGCCTCGACGGAGGCAGGCATCTTCCTGAAGTCCCAAAGGCGAGCGAACAACTCGAGAGTGCGTGTAGCGTCGTCCGGTGCAAAACGAGCCTTGAGAGCGGCAAAGATGCGCGGTGCCGACAGGTCGTCGCTGGGGATGGCGTCGAGGGTGGCCGATACGTCGGCGGAGTCGATAGAGCCAACGATGATTTCCCGGGCGGCGTCGTCACGTGCGGCAAGCTGGTCGGCGGTCCAGGTCGGGGGAACGACACCGTCGAGAACGTAACCACGAACCTGGTTCGGGAGTGCAAGACGGAGTTGACGCAACCAGTTGGTGAACGACTTGGGGCCGTCCAGACGAGCGTGCTTGGGAAACACGACCTTGGATGCGGTGGCGGCGTTCCCCGGCACGACGGTGACGGCCGGGGGTGCGGCGGCTGCGGCGGCGGCGGGTTGCGAGGCCTGCAGAGCGGCAAGCTGGGCCTGTAGAGTGGCGATTTGTTCGCCGATCGAAGATTCAGGGGAGCTGGGATCCCTGGGGGCCAAAGGCGAGGCGGGAGAGCTGTCCATGATGTGATGGTGCGATGGACGTGTGCGGCTCGAGTGGCTGGGCTCGAGCGAAAAAGCCTCAAGCGGCGGGGCTGGTAGCTCGTGGGCTTATAACCTATTCGATCAACTCTACTACGTCAGCGATGTAGTTATAGCCAAGAGTGATGAATGCATTTCAACATACCTATTCGATCAACTCTACTACGTCAGCGATGTAGTTATAGCCAAGAGTGATGAATAGGAAGCTAACAATAAGAGACCCGCGCGCCCCAAGTCCACAGCCAGCGAGCCTGGGGCTGAGCCAATGGCCCAGGCTCGCTCCGCGCGCCTAAGTCCCAGGCTCGCTTCGCGCGCCTAAGTCCTGGGCCGGGGCGCCCGGCTCACTCCGCGCGCCTAAGTCCGCGCCCGGTTCGCTCCGCGCGCCTAAGTCCTGAGCCGAGCGGAGAGTGGATTCCTCACAACTCAGAGTCGGGAAAGGGAAGGCGGTGACCTTTGGAACCAAGGCAAGCATTGCAAACAAACTCCTCTACGTCTTTGTCACTGTACCCGGCCCCAAACCCGTCCAGCAAACCTGCAGCAATCATCTTCTGTATAGAGGATGGGGCAAGATGGCCGAGGCAGCGGTGTAGGGTAAGCAGGGGCACGGGAGACTCAGAGCGTGAGAGGAAGGCAAGATGCTGACACTTGGTGTGATCCGCGTCCAAAAGGTAAAGACCGTCGTTGACCCTGGTACCGTGAGCAATGGCCCGGCCGTCCTTGGCGATGTCGATGCCGTCGCTGGTGAAGGCGAGACGAACGCGGTCGGTGTCGCAGAGGCGAGAGACAGAGAGGAGGTTGACGTGTAGGCCAGGCGTGTGAAGAACACCACGGAGCGTGATCGGGTGTCCAGTCTTGGCGACGAATGCCACGTCCCCCATGCCGATAGCCGTGATGCCGCCCGCGATGCCGCCGATCTTGGTGTGTGCCGTCTGACGATAAGTCGTGAATAGAGATCGGTCGGCGACCATGTGTGTCGTGGCACCCGAATCGACTACAAAGGCGTCAGTTGGGAGTTGGCGACGAGCGAAGAGGCAGGAGGCGAAATAGCCGACGTTCGGTTGCGAGGCCGCGGAGGAAGACGTGTCGTCCTGGGTGTCGTCGCTGCTACGTGCCTGTTCACCCCGGTTCTTGCAGTCGAGTGCCCAGTGACCTTTCTTGTGGCATCGGCGGCAGGGGCCGGTGGGCGGGTGCTTCGCACGTGAAGTGCAGTCGCGCAGGCGGTGACCGGGAGCGCGGCAGGCGGGGCAGGGGGAGCTGGTGGCAAGCATGGCCGAATGCGAGGTCGAGAGTCCTGCCGAACGAAGCTGGATGCGAATGCGGTCCGTAAGCGTCGTGAGTTCGGGAAGGTCGCGTCGGTTTCGCTGCTCGTCCGTGAACGTGAGTCGGAAGCTGTCGAGGCAAGACGGGACCATGGCGAGCACGTGGGTGGCGAGCACGTCGTTGAGCGATGTTTTGGCGTCGCGTATTTCCTGAGCAATCGACATGTACTCGCGTAGCCAAGTGTCGTAGGCCTCGACGGAGGCAGGCATCTTCCTGAAGTCCCAAAGGCGAGCGAACAACTCGAGAGTGCGTGTAGCGTCGTCCGGTGCAAAACGAGCCTTGAGAGCGGCAAAGATGCGCGGTGCCGACAGGTCGTCGCTGGGGATGGCGTCGAGGGTGGCCGATACGTCGGCGGAGTCGATAGAGCCAACGATGATTTCCCGGGCGGCGTCGTCACGTGCGGCAAGCTGGTCGGCGGTCCAGGTCGGGGGAACGACACCGTCGAGAACGTAACCACGAACCTGGTTCGGGAGTGCAAGACGGAGTTGACGCAACCAGTTGGTGAACGACTTGGGGCCGTCCAGACGAGCGTGCTTGGGAAACACGACCTTGGATGCGGTGGCGGCGTTCCCCGGCACGACGGTGACGGCCGGGGGTGCGGCGGCTGCGGCGGCGGCGGGTTGCGAGGCCTGCAGAGCGGCAAGCTGGGCCTGTAGAGTGGCGATTTGTTCGCCGATCGAAGATTCAGGGGAGCTGGGATCCCTGGGGGCCAAAGGCGAGGCGGGAGAGCTGTCCATGATGTGATGGTGCGATGGACGTGTGCGGCTCGAGTGGCTGGGCTCGAGCGAAAAAGCCTCAAGCGGCGGGGCTGGTAGCTCGTGGGCTTATAACCTATTCGATCAACTCTACTACGTCAGCGATGTAGTTATAGCCAAGAGTGATAAATGCATTTCAACATACCTATTCGATCAACTCTACTACGTCAGCGATGTAGTTATAGCCAAGAGTGATGAATAGGAAGCTAACAATAAGAGACCCGCGCGCCCCAAGTCCACAGCCAGCGAGCCTGGGGCTGAGCCAATGGCCCAGGCTCGCTCCGCGCGCCTAAGTCCCAGGCTCGCTTCGCGCGCCTAAGTCCTGGGCCGGGGCGCCCGGCTCACTCCGCGCGCCTAAGTCCGCGCCCGGTTCGCTCCGCGCGCCTAAGTCCTGAGCCGAGCGGAGAGTGGATTCCTCACAGCTACGTAACCCGGGAAATTCGTTGTCGAGGAACCTGGCATTTCTGCCCAAACTGATCTTCTTGGTCGTCGTGTCGTAGAAACGGAAGGCTTTAGAAGCCAGGTCATAGCCGGTGAAGAGAACGCGAACCGCTTTTGGGTCGAGTTTCGAGCGAAGTTCAGGCGCGACTGTGAGCCAAGCCGTGCAGCCGAACGGGTGAAGCGCCGAGGCGTTGGTGCGGTCGCCCTGCCAGGCGAAGTTCGGTGTTGCCTTGTCCAGGGCCGAGTGTTCGCACAGGTTCTTGCAGTAGACGAAATAAGCTGCTGCCTCCTCCCAGAATGATTTGGGTAAGTGGGCGTCTGCAAGGAGGGCAAGGACACCTTCGACGATAGAACGATTGACTCGTTCGGCACGACCGTTCTGTTGAGGCGTTCGAGGGATAGAGTATTGTCGACGTGTGCCGCGTGCCTTACAGAATTCCGTGAACGCTCTCGAACAGTATTCGCCACCATTGTCGGTTCGGAGGACCTTCAGTTTTGCATCCGTCTCGAGTTCGACCTCGGCAAGCCATGTCTTGAACACGCCAAAGACTTCGCTTTTGTGTCCGATCGCGTATGCCCACAGTTTGCGCGAGAAGTCGTCAAGAAACGTGACCAGGTAACGCTTGCCAGTCAAGGACGACTCGGGAAAGGAAAGCACATCGCTGTGTACGAGGCCGAGTCTCTCTGAGGAGTGCGAGTCCGAATCGGGAAAAGGAAGACGATGGCCCTTTGCACTGAGGCAAGCATTGCAGACAAACTTCTCTACCTCTTCGTCACTATATCCGGCCCCGAGACCTTCCAGCAAACCAGCGGCAACCATCTTCTGTATGGACGACGGTGCGAGATGGCCGAGGCAGCGGTGAAGGGTCAGCAGGGGCACGGAAGACTGTGAGCGAGAGAGGAGAGCGAGATGCTGACATTTGGAATGATCAGCGTCCAGCAAGTAGAGCCCTTCCTCGAGTCTTGCGCCTTCAGCGATAGCATTGCCGTTCTTGTCGATATGGATGCCGTGCTTCGTGAAGGCGACACGGACATCGTCGGTGTCGCAAAGTCGAGAGACCGAGAGGAGGTTGACAGACAGGCCCGGGGTGTGCAGCACGCCGGTAAGCGTGATCGGGTGACCGGAGGCGGCAACAAAGGCGATGTTTCCCGTTCCGACGGCGTTGATGCCCCCTGCAATACCACCAATCTTCGTAGGAGCGATGTGGCGATAGGCCGTGAACAGCGACTTGTCCGAGACCATGTGCGAAGTGGCACCCGAGTCGACGACGAAGGAGTTGTTGCGAAGCTGACGACGATGTGCGAGAAGACCGGTGGCGAGACATCCGACATGGTGTTGCGCATCAGAGGTGTCGGGCGTTTTCCCGTCCTCAAGAGCCTTTTTGCAGTCGAAAGACCAGTGGTCCTTCTTCTTGCAGGAGCGACACGGGCCTGGCGGTGGATGCTGGGCCCTTGTAGGGCATTGTGCGACGCGGTGAGAAGGGCTGCGACAGGCGAGGCACTTGGTACGGGTAGAACGTGGCGACGACGAGGCAAGGAGGGCCGATTGATCGTTGGAGAGGTTCGTTGACCGGAGTTGAACTCGCATACGGTCGGCCACTGAATCGATGTCAGGGAGAGTTCGTTGCGTGCGTTGTTCGTCGGTGAACGTTGCCTTGAAGCTCTCGAGTGACGGGTGGGCGATCGCGAGGAGGAGTGTGGCAAGGACGTCGTTGATCGTCGTTTTCGTATCGATGATCTCTTGCGCGACCGACTTGAAGTCCATGATCCAACTGTCAAATTCGCCAACCGTTCCGGGCATGGGTCGGAAGCCCCAGAGTCGCGAGAAGAGCTCGAGCGTGCGAGTGGCGTCATCAGGGGCGTATCGCGATTTCAGCGTCGAGTAAATCTTGGGCGCTGTGAGGTCGGCCGTAGGGATCTTGTCGAGGACTGCCGAGACTTCGGCCGAGTCGATTGAGTTTGCAAGGATCTCGCGTGCCACGACGTCGCGGGCGGAGCGTTGCGAAGGCGTCCAATCGTCGGGGGTGATTCCGTCGAGGACGTAGGAGCGGATGTCGTCCGCTAGGCACAGGCGAAGCTGGCGTGTCCAGTTCGCGAACGTCTTCGGCCCGTCCAACCGCGCATGCTTCGGGAAGGCATTGCGATTGGAGCCGGATGTCGTGGCGGGTGCGGTAGTGCCGGAAGCGGCAGCGGTGAGTCCCGACAGCAGCGATGTAAGTGCGGCAAGCTGTTCGGCGGGAATTGTCGGGGTGGCGCTCGTCGCGAGGGTTGACGACGTGTCCATGCCAGCGGTAGCTCGATGGGCTTATAACCTATGAGATGATCACCACTACTGTCAGGAGAAGTCGAGAGTCGAACAGAAGTGATCTATTTCAGCGTACCTATGAGATGATCACCACTACTGTCAGGAGAAGTCGAGAGTCGAACAGAAGTGATGAGAAGGAAGCTAAGAAATGGAAAGGTGGCCCGCGCTGGGATATGCCCAGGCGCGGGCGAAATCGCTGGAGCGCTGAGGCAGTCGCGCGCGGCTAAGTCCCCACTGCAAGGGCGGGCTAGCGGCGCGCGCCCGAAAACCGCCGGCGCCGGCGCGCTGAGGCACTCGCGCGCGCCTAAGTCCCCACCACAGGGGCCAGGCTAGCAGGCGCGCGCAACGACCGAGGCGCCCCTGTCGAGCTGAGAGTGGACTCTTCACAGATCGCACCGGCTTCGCCACGGTCACGGGCACGTACACGTCGCGGGTGATGCAGTTTGGGGACACCAATGCGCCCAACACCCTGAACTTGTTGACATCGGCGATGTTTCAGCCGTGCCTCTCGTTTGCCAAGATCTTTTTCGACGATGTTCACGTCCATTCCGATACTCGTCGCGCGCACTTAAGACACATCGAGATTTTGCTGATGACACTGCGACATTATCGGTTCTACTTAGGATCCAACAAATCCGAGTGGTTCTCAAAGTCGTTAGATTCCTTGGGCGCGATCATCTCCGACGACGGCATCGAGGTCGACCCGGCCAAGTGGGAGCGTATCCGACAGTGGCCGACTCCACACAACAAGACCGACGTTTATGAAGGAACAATATACCACTGCACCAAAAGGCGAGGCACCTCTACTTCAGTGAGCGCATATTGTCCTAGAAGTGAGATGGAGCGAAGTTCAACACCCCCCTGTGCGCGAAGCTGAAGAGCTTGTGGCAGTGGGTGCGGCTTGTGAGGCAACTGGGCATGTTGATCAGGTCGCTTGGGCAAGTGCAGCTTGGGCACTGTGAGCACTGTCGATGCGCCAGGGTGCTTGGCACGCCGCTGGGCAAGTGCGGGGGCCGGGACGCTGAGTGTATGCGCGCAAAATTGCCTGACCCCAGGGGGGATTGAACTCATGACCTGCTGGTTGCTCTGGGCTCATAACCTATGAAGGAACAATATACCACTGCACCAAAAGGCGAGGCACCTCTACTTCAGTGAGCGCATATTGTCCTAGAAGTGAGATGGAGCGAAGTTCAACAACGTTCAGCGTTTCCTCGGCACCGTGAATTGGATGCGAGATCACCTGCCCCACCTCTCGATCACCTTGGAGCCCATCACCGCATTATTAGCGCAATCGACGTCGTGGCGTTGGAACGAGCGCGAGCAGCAGGCCTTCGACACCGTCAAGTCCCTCGTGCCAGCAACACTGCGACCGATCGACGGCGCTAAGGTCACCTCCGGCGAGCACAAAATCTACTTGTTCACCGATGCCAGTCGTGTTGGCATTGGCGCTTGCCTGGCCTCGGGCCCCACTCGTTCGCAGGCCATTCCTACGCGATTCTTCTCCGCTAAGTTCAATGGCGCTCAGCTCAATTATCACGTCACTGATAAGGAGTTCTTAGCCGTCGTTTCGGCGTGTCGGGCGTTCGAGCAGCACTTGATCGGTTACCCCTTCGTCATCGTCACCGACCACCAAGCCCTTCGCACGATTAAAACGCAGAAGTTACGCCAAACACCCCGGCACATCCGCATGTGTCTCGAACTCAGCCGTTTCGACTTCGAATTCGAATTCATTGCGGGCAAGAACAACTCCCTTGCCGATTCGTTGTCACGCTTGTGGGAAGTCAAGGAGGGATCGCCCGAGGATCAGGTCAAGGAGAATGAGTTGGAGGATATGTTCTTTGATGGAGAACGCCACGGATTCACTACACACGGTGAGAGCCTCCCTGAGGAACGTCCTTACACCTCACCATCTCCCGATCGGTTGCCTCCTGTTGATTTTGCCTTCGGGCCCCAACGCGACGATTGCGAGGCAGGCTCTCCCGGATACTACGCGCTCAAGGACGAATCGCAAGACGAGGACGTGAATGGACGGGATTTAGGGAATTTGTTCTTGAAGGAAGAATGCCACGAGTTCACTACACCTGGTGAGAGCCTCCCTGAGGAACGTCCTTACACCTCACCTTCGCACGATCGGTTGCCCCCTGTTGATTGTGCCTTCGGGCCCTGGGATCACGGCTACGACGCAGGCTCTCCCGGTTCCCATCGTCTGGCCGAGAACATTATGGACGCCGTCGACTCTTCTACCGGTCCCCTTTCTCCTCCCATCGCCGTCAATCGAGTTCATGCTATCGCCGCGGCCCCCGCCAACGACGCGCCCATTCCAGTCGATGCCGACGCCGATGAACTCGACTTACTGGGAGCCGCCGCCGATGAGGTCAACGACGCCCCTGTAGTCCATCGACCGCCCGACCCGCTGCCGCAACCTTTCCTCGACGCCGTCATCCGAGCCTACGCCCACGATTCGCAAGCCCAAGTCATTGTTGACGACCCGCTGTCATGGCCGATGTTTCGGGTGACCGAGGAAGGGAGGATCTTGCGTGTACATCCAGATGAGTCTCTTTCCCTGTTTGTGCCTCGCGGTCTCGCTACCGGCGTTGTCGACTCCGACAAGCTCCCATCGCTGCGCGAGCTCGTGCTTTCGGAGATCCATCGGAGCGTCGGGCACGCGGGACATCGCATCACCTTGGCCGCCATACGTCCTTTGTATTGGTGGTCGTCCATGTCTGCCGATTGCGCCAAGTTCTGCCATTCATGCGAAGATTGTGCCCGAGGCAAAGCGTCCACTCAAGTCCCTTATGGCCGACTGCATCCGATGCCGATCCCTTCTGGCCCATGGGAACAAGTGGCCATCGACTTCATGACGGGACTGCCTCCGGTCGAGTTCGAAGGGATGATGGTCGCTCAAATCATGGTGGTCACTGACACTTGGGGCAAGATGGTCCACCTGATTCCCCTCCCAGCCGACGCCGACTCCGAGCTCGTTGCCGACAGGTACTACGCCACCATCTTTCGACTGCATGGGACGCCTTCCGCCATCGTTTCCGATCGCGATCCCAAGTTCACCTCGCAGTTTTGGCGAGCATTGCAGGCGAAGGTCGGCACCGTCTTGCGGATGTCAACAGCGGCGCACCCAGAGACCGACGGATCGAGTGAGAACCGAATCAAGATGGTCACCCAAACCCTGCGCATCATGGTGTCGTCAAACCACGAGGCTTGGGCATCTCGTCTTGTTGAAGCTGAGTTCGCTCTTAACTCTTCCGTTGCTGTTTCCACGTCTCTGTCGGCTTTCGAGGCGACTTACGGTTACCTTCCTCGACGCTGGCCCACCGATTCCTGGTCTGTCTCGGACGTCCCGCGTGCGGAAGCGTTTGCCCGAATCCGACAGTTACGGAATCTCGACGTCACGGATGCGATCATTGGTGCACGCCTCGATCAGACTCACCAGGCCAACAAGCATCGACGCCCGGATGATCCCGCCTTTCGGACCGGCAGTTATGTCTATCTTTCGACCAAGAACCTGGCAGTTCCTGAAGGGATGAAGTCGAAGTTGTTGCCGCGCTACATTGGTCCTTTCCGTATCCGAGCGGCCATTCCAGCGACGTCCAGTTACGACCTCGAGCTTCCCCCAGCAATGTCGCGAGTGCACAGTCGCTTCCATGCTCGACTGCTTCGCCCCTATGTTGAGAACGATGCTGAGAGGTTCCCTGGGCGTGACCCCGCAGTTCTTTTTGTTGAAGATGTAGCCGACGCGGCCGACAACTCCGCCATTCCGGAACGGATTGTTCGCGATCGTCGGAACGCTCGGGGCAATCGTTCGTTCTTGGTTCGATGGATTGGCCGTAAGGACATCGATGACACTTGGATGTCAGAGCAGTCCCTCCGCTTCGACCATCCATCCCTACTCGACGCCTACCTGGCACAACTCGATCGCTCAAATCGCCGCCTGTCCTCCCGGTAGACTTCCTTCTGGGGGGGACAATGTCAGGCAAACAGCGATACACTGACAGCAACACTCGAAGGAAGTCCCTGAGGTAATGTGCAGGTAGAGTTGAGGTCACCAAATGCTTCCCTCCATTCAAGCATTGTGGGCGTGATGGCGTAGTCGTTCGGCGCGCGGGCGCGCACTTAATGGTCGCGGGTTCAAGGCGCGCAGAGCGCAATCTTCTCTCGGTTTTTGTTCTTTTTGTTAGCTGAGGCGCGGCCTCAGGGTTTTTACCGGTGCTCCCGCGAGCAATCCTTTTTCCCCCTGAGGCGACCTCTTGGAGTAGCTGAATTGGCTAAGTCCCCTCTGCGCCTGAGTGCCTCCCTTTTGTTTTTAGCACCTTCCCACTCAGCCTGGTCCGCTACATCTCCCAAGATCCCTTCACCTTCATCCTTCGTTTTCGATCTCGTTGGCAATAAAGTCCGATATACTTGACTTGCTGCGAGCCTCACAACCGCGTCCCCTCCTCGGTTGTCCCTCGGTCGCCTGCCCCCGCCCAGTCGACCTTCCTTCGGCCTGATCCCCTCCTCCGCGTGTAGTCAACGTCTTCTGAAGAGGACGTTGCCTGCCAACAAGAGCACGACTGCGCAACCACCACGACCCTCGACGCTCCAAGTCTCTGCTCAGTCACAACAAGACGCGGTGAAGGTCCCTCAAAACCTCCCCCTCGGCAGTCCCTGGCCCCTCAAAGCCGACTTTCTGCCTGTGTCCGCTGATCCCTCCCTTGACTCAGAACCCCGAAGCCGAAGAGCGCGAGCCACACCGAGTCGACGCCAAATCGCGAGATGGTTCATGATCCGCAACGGTGAACCTGTAACAAAAGAAAGAGGAAAGCGAGCTATTTAGTGTACAGTAGGAGAAAATGATGTCACGAGAATTTGGTGTGTGTGTGTGTGGTGGTGGGGGGAAAGTCGAACCCAGCCTCTACTGCCCTCTCCTCCCCCAAGCTCCTCCCGCCCTCAGCTTCAACCTCTCCTCCAAGATGATCCTCCTCCTCCCAACACCCTCCAGCCTCGTCCCCCACTTCTGCATCCCCCACCTCCCGCTGCTGATCATCTCCAAGACCAGCCCGGTGAATATTTCGATCGTCCTCCCCGCTCCTTCCTGATCGCGCAGACTGGCCTTGAGCTTCGGAAGTCCGAACATGCGTTGAACGGCCGTGTAATGCGTGTTGTCGATCGTGTCGAGCCCCAGTGCGTCGCAGAGCACGCCCCTTGCCGCGATCCAAACGTTCCTAGAGTCAACGCAGTCGAAGAAGTAGTGCTCCCGATCGTCCTTGGGCGCTCCACAGACGAGGCACGCGGGCGAGTCGTCGTGCTTTTGATGAAACTGCAGACTCCGAGTCGGGGTGAAGTTCCTGACGAGCTTGAACCACACCTCGCGTTCCCTCGCCGTCAATGCCTTCGAGTTGACCCCCTTCCAGAATCCCTTGAGATCGTCGGGCTGCAGCGAGTCCCTGAAACCGATCGTGTCGGTGAAGGCCTTTGCATTCAAGACTCGGCGGACGCGACGGATGGTGTATGGCCGATCCATGCTGAGCAAGTTGTATTGTGTTGATTGGTCTGGGAGAGCCGGTCTCGGAAGGCGCTGCGGCGGGTCGATCGGATGGGGCAGGATCGACTCGAGCGGCGTGGTGGGGCGGACTCGGGGAGGCCCGTTGATTCGTACTGCCGCCACCGGTTGAGCTATTGGTGTGAACCTCAATCGATTGATCGCATGTCGGTACCATGCCACGATGTGCTCTCGTTGTGGGCGGCCCCGTTGATCGTATTCGCTGTTGCTGACGACCACATCCGTCGGCGGCGTCCAGAGATGAAAGCCCCCGCCCGGGTACAGCTCGCGTCGAAACAGGTCCGCTACCTTGGCGTAAATGGCAAACGCAGCATAGTCGGCGTCGTAGGGTGGTCGCGACACAGCTGGTGTTCCCGGTAGGTAGTGAAGGGTGTGCAACTTGATCGGAAGAGCGAGAAGGTTCGCGAGCGTCAACGTCCTCGGCTTGACTTGCGCATTGTGCGTAGATGGTACCTTCAGCACGGCCTGCCATCTTGGGTGTAGATCGGTTCGGATCGGAGTGTAGTCGCAAGGCCACGCATCGGTTGCCAAGTCAAAGTCGGGGGCGGGATGGGCTCGTACAATCGCCGCCCGCGCAAGTCCCTGCCAGATCGCATCCGAACCGCCAAGAAGCACGTCCCAGACGCGTGCCGCAACCGAGTCGACGACGTCCTGCATCCGCATGACCCCAAGACCCCCCTTGAACCTCGGTGTGAAGACAACGTCCTTGCCATAGCACGACCTCCTCTTGCCGCCGCGGACAAAGTCGACGAGAATGCGATCAAGCTCCTTGACGACCTCGAGCGGTGGGATGTCGGCGGAGAGGATGTGCAGAATCTTGGGAATGGCGTATCGGTTGACGTAGAACGCTCGGGTGTGGTGTGTGAGCCCTCGGTCCCGTGCCGAATCGAGCACCGCTTCGAGCCGTGCGACGAGATTCACGTTGGTGAGTTCGGTGTTGCCGGTGGGGTCGAAAGATAGGCCGATCCACTCGAGCGACTCGCCCTCGGCCTTGACGACGAGCGGACGATCGCCAGCCTCCCAGCGACACCCAATGGGTAGTACGACAGTCTTGTCGGTGTTGAGCCGGCCATTGGTTGCGAGCCTCCAGTCGAGCGCCAGGTCGTCGAGCAAGTTGAGTGACTCCGAGCCCGCGACGGCGACGACGACGTCATCGGCAAACGCAAGGGATGTAATGGCGCGGCTCTGTGGGTAGGGGTGAATGGTAGGAAGCGAGAGGTTCAGCGCGATGCCTCGACGGTGCAGAGCATCCAGGAACGGCTGGAACACGACATCCCAGACCGACGACGACGCCGGGTCCCCTTGGCCGAGCCCACACGTCAGCCGCACCGGCGGAGTCAAGAAGCCGTTGATGATATATCGCGCCGTGGTTGAGTCACCCGAGTAGAGCATCCTCAGAACGCGTTGGAAGGCGGCAGGAGCGCCGAGAGCGTCGAAGATGGCGAAGATCCATTCGTGCTCGACGAGGTCGTAAGCCGACGATTGGTCAAGAGACAAGAGCGCCGCGTCAGGGAACTCGGTGCCGCGCGCGCCCAGCTCCTCGATCAAGAGTCGCAGGTGGAATGACGCGTCCGCCGATCGGCGGCCCTTGACGAAGCCGTGCTGTTGCGGTGGGAGCAGGTCCGGCAGCACGTGGTTGAGTCGCGCAACGTAGACCTTGGTGAAGAGCTTGTAGTCGCACTCGCGCAAGGTGATGGGCCGGTACGACGAGAGCTCGGCGCGATCGGCCCCGATCTTGTGGTGCTTGAAGAGCAGGCGAGCGAGTCCTTGCCCCTGCTTCGGTGAAAGCGAGCCGCGCTCGGTCATCGCGTTGAAGGCCCTGCTCAGCGCCTTGGCCCACGCCCGCGGCGCTGTGTGATAGAGCTCGTAGGGCACGCCAGATGGACCCGGCGATCGACCGGGGTGTGTTGTTGCGATTGCGGCTACGACCTCGTCCTCGGTGATGGGTTGCTGCAGCAGCTCGATGTGCGCTTCCGAGAGTCGTCGCAGAAAGAGCAGGTCCGAGCTCGGGTCATCGCAAGTGCGCGCCGACCTGATCGGCGCCAAGAAATCGTCCCTAAGTCGCTCGACGTGGTCCCGATCGCGCGGCTCGAGATCGTAGAGGCGCTGAAAGTGCGCCTGTGTGTGGTCAAGCGCGACGTCAATGTCATGTGTCAGCTCTCCGTTGGGCAATCGCAGTGCTGTGATCTTGGAATCCGAACTCCGTGCCGCGAGCTTGGCGTGGACCGGCCGCTCCAGTCGTTCCTCGGTAGCGATTTCGGGTACGTGGGCTCGGATCCGAAGTTGGCGCGCGCGCTCGTTGACCGCTCGCCTAAGTTCCTCCGTCGTCCGCGTCCATTCGGCCGTCTCCTCGTCCCCCATCACCGGCAACGCCTCCAGATCCTGCACCCTTCCCACCAAGACCGCCATCCGCTCCACCCGCTCCCGATGCTCCCTCCTCGCCAGCTCCCGACCCTCCTTCGCGCAGTTCCCCAGCACCACCTCGAGCTCCCCCACCGGTTCCTCCCCACTCGCTCCTTCCAACCATCCTTCCAACATCCCCTGGAACTCCGCCGTCTTGAAGGTCGCCGCGTTGATACGATGTAATTGGTTTGATGTCGTTGGTAAACTATTGTTGGGTTGAGCCGCGTCTCCTCGCTCATCCGAGAGAACTAGGACGATCGAGACCGGTCGGTGATCCGAAAGGTCCTTGGGGTGGTCGTAGATCGTCGAGGCTTGGACGAGTCGCTTTTGGTGGGTGCGCTGCAGAAGGAAGTAGTCAAGTCGTGAAAAGGACTTTGGTCGCTTGCGGACGATGTTGGGTCGAGTGAAAGATGGTGTGAGCGGGTGTTTGAATCGTATGCAGTCGGTGTAGGGCGAGTCGAGCTTGCCGATCAGGATCGGCCAGTGATGGCCGTGCCGACCTTGGTTCCGCCGATCGATCGCCGGCAGCGGGCAGTCGTTGAGATCGCCGCCGAGGAGTCGAAGGTGGGTGCTCTGCATCCTGTGGAAATGTAGTTTGTCAAAGAATGTGAGTCGTTGTTTTGTATCGACTGGTGCGTAAATGTTGTTGATCTCGAGTATCCGGATGTCGCCTCGAAGTCGAAAGGAGGTGACCAGGATTCGTCCGTCGAGTGCCGAGTGGGTGCGCAAAATCTCGGCGTCGATCAGGGGCGAGTCGGCGGGGATCAGAGTCAGACAGTGTTTGCTGATGAAGACCTTGCCCTCGTACTCGTCCTTGATACATTGCCAGAGTTCCGGTTTGATGAAGTGTTCTTGTAGTAGAATGGCGGATAAAGATAAAACAAACCGAAAGAAGACTGCGGTCTGGGCGCCTCGAACCCGCGACCACCGAGTGCGCGCCCGCGCGCCTCACGACTACGCCATCGCACCGACGATGCTGTAAATTTTTTTTTTTTTTTTTTGTAGATTTTTTTTTTTTTTTTTTTACTGGGGCTCATAAATTGCAATCCTTCGGGTTGGCTGGGACCGCTAGAAAAAGAGCTAAAAGAGGTTATAAAGCAACGACGGCAAGCAATTGGGTGAAAGTCAAACCCCTGCGCGCAAAGAGCGCTGCGCAGATCAAAACCCGCCGAGCACCTAACGCGGACTCCAACGGGCGGTGAGTACTGCTGCCGCTTCACGTCCCAAGAGCGGGAGCGAAGATACTCGAAAACCAGGCAAGAGCGCCTAGAGAAAGAAAAGGGGAGAATATACAAAAATTCACGACTGGAAACACGGAGAACCAGGAATACTAAGACAGAGAGGAGGGGAGGAGGAGGGGAACACACCCGAGGGGCCAAGGGAGGGGGTCGAAGCCAGAGCTAGAGGTCCCCAGGGACTGACAGGCCGCAGCCAAGCCCCAGCTACTCGTCACCCCGACAGCGCCTGATGTCCTCCCTTGGCTGAGTCTCGAGTGCTGGCTGTTGAGCCGTCGGGGCCGAGCGAAAACGATCCAATACAACGAAACGAGCCTCGCCTTGACGCGAGGATATTGACCAAAAAAACGAGCGACCTTTCTTCCCGATCCATGCCGTAGATCTTGACCAACGCGAACGAACGATCCATTCGACGGAATCCAACACACGACTTAGGAATAAAAGGAGAAGTGGCTGAAGCGTAGTCAACAACCGAGCAACAGGAACGAGAAGAGGAAGGGAAGGGAGAAAGGGGAAAGAGAGGGGAGAACTTCACAAAGCCTCCAACGCAACGACGATCGACCCGGCTTGCCGATCCATCCAAGAACGAAAACCGCTACTGCACAAAGTAGAGAGAGGGAGAGGTGCGCAGCCTTCCACTGCGCAACAAGTTTCAAGACAGTCAGCTTCTGACCGAAAAGGAAGGGAGGAAAGGAGGGGAGGAAAATGGGAAGGAAGGACTTAACTCGGTCATCACACCTCCCAATCTCGAACCCCAGGCACAAAACCCGCTCGAGAGAGAAAATCTCGCTCGAACGCTCTGAGCGTACTGGGAAGCGAGGGAGGGGCCACGACGTTGTCCAGCTCGAACCGCTGATGAACGCGCCAGCGGAGCAGGTGCAGCCGCTGGAAGCCGATCGCGCAGGCCAGCCGAACCCACATCCATTTCGAGGTCGTTCTCCCACGACCCCGCAAAAGGGGGAGCCCCATAGTCAGCTGCTCCGGAGTGAACGTCGACGGATCGACGTCGGTATCCTCGATGCCGAGCTTGTCAAGCAGAATGCGTAGCACCCCACCCCAGAAGCTGGTCGAGTACGCGCACTCGAAAAAGTAGTGGGACACCGTCTCGATGACCGCTGCATCGTTGCCGCAGAACAGACACGTCGGCGAAGAGGCATGACCCTGAGTATGCTGCCTCTTGCGCGTCGGCGTCACGTCGTACATGAGCCGCCAGTGGGTGTCCTGCTCGACAGCAGACGCGAACCGGTCATGAAGCCATCTCCAGAAGCGCTTCCTATCGCTCTGAGAAGTCCCATCAGGGAAACGCTTGACACGGTCCTCCCTCCCTGGGAACCGCACCTTGTTCACAAGCCGACGAAGCTTGCGAATCGTAAAAGGTCGGGAGAACCCAAAGAAGTTGAAGCACCGAGGACGGGGAGCCTCCTTGAGAGGTATCCGAGCAGGTCGCAACGCGGTCTTGGGCAGCAACGCTTTCGCCTTGAGCAACTGACCCACGCGCGACCACACGTGCTCGTGCTGTAGGGCGGGTTCCTTAGAGTGCTGCCAGAACCCGCGTCGATGACCAACCAGAGCCCATCCCTTCCCTTCGTCCCTCCAGTACAGGTCCGCGATCTGCGCAAACTTCGCCACCGCGTCCGCATCGTCATATGCGTGCTGGGCACCTTCAGCATAGAGTGAAGGGAGGCGAGGCGGAAGCGAGAGCAATTCGGGAAGCGTAAGGAGTTCGGACTTGATGGTTGGAACTGTGACCCTGGCCGCTGCAACGACTGCCCCCCAGCGCGTCGAGTCGCGATACAGCTTCTCGACCCGAGCCGTGCTGCTGAAGAACCCCCACGGACTGAAATCGCGGGTCGCAGCGACGAGGCACCTCCAGCTCTCGCGAGCTAGGGGCGCCCAGATCGCCTCGTCCGAGCATTCCTCCGTTAGCTCATTTTGTGTACTATATTGTCTAAATATACTTGTGTTAATACATTACCGGGGATGTAGCTCAGGGGTAGAGCGCTTGCTTAGCACTGTCTTTCGCAGTTTGCATGAGGTCCCGGGTTCGATTCCCTGCCTCTCCATATTTTTTGTTCGTGTTTTGGGCTGCTTTGTCTCCTCATGTTTGCAGTACCAATGGACCTCCCAAAAACCACGTTCTCATGTTTTGCAAGGGCGAGGTTTCTGCTTTTTTTTTGACAGGGCTAGTTTGAAGGAGCATGGGCCGAGGAGGTCTGTGCAGCGTATGCATACAAGAGTGCCTGAATATAATTTGATCTGACCCCGCGTGGTGTTTTCTTCATGTTCGGCTCTGCATTGGATCAGGTGTGTAGTGTACTATGAAGTTGCAACACCTATTCAAGTGATGGTAAGGCTCTGATTGACGGACCCAGGAGATCAGACCAAGAAGTTGCTTGAGCAGGAGAGAGAGAAGTGCGGAGCCAGTTGGTTGAGGCAAGGGCGCGGCTGGGCCAGCAGCCTGTGGCAGGCGTGCAGGCCCAGATCAGAGAGGGAGAGAGCTATTGAATGTTGACCACAGAACTTTGGAAGGTTCGCGTAGCGACCACTAGGGCTACTGTGGGATCGTCGACGTGGCTAGGTTGCTGTAAGGTGCCGCTACGCTTACGCCTCATGACGACCTCGAGCCAACCTCTGCGGCCTCACGCTTGCCCTCGCGCGTGGCGCCGCCGCGTCTCTTGACCTTAGTCCTTTTAGTAGTCTTTCTTCGCCTGTGAATTACACCGTTTGATCCTTTCTGTTTGGACTCGGAACCAGTGAGGCTCGAGAGTGATCTTGTGCCTTTCAGTTGCAACGGACAATCCAGGCAGAGAGGTCGTTGTTGAATTCCATACACTCTTGCTTAGGTCGATCTCCAGCCCGCGCCCAGCCTAGCCAGCCGCGCGCCGCTCGGACCCCTTTTGGACTTAGAGATATTTCGCGCACTCGCACCGCGAGCCTCTTTAGTCTTCCCCCTAACGCTCCAAACTACTTCCTAACACTCGTACTGTGTCTCGTGTACTCACTGGTTGCCGATCCAGTCCCCTCTCGAGACACACGACTTAACAGTCGTGAGGCGGTGCGGGCGTGTGTCAGAGTCAAGACCCAACCGGGAAATAACAATGAGAGGATAGGAGAGGGATGGAAGATCTACCCAATGTTGTACCGCAAAAGGCCCAGTGTTGATAGCACTTTGAGTGCGCGTGCGTGGAAGATGAAGATTTGCAGCGAAGTGCGAAGACTGAGTGCTGAAGGATGATTTGGGTCAAGGTGTGGGAACACTTTGGATCGAATATTACAACTGAAAAAGAAGAAGGAGAGAGAGAGAGAAAAGGCTACAAAGGGAGACTAAATACTCCGGCCAACACATCAGCAACTTTGCCACTTTGCTAAATGCCACTAAATAAATCTCGAGCCGCTAAACCGCTAAAGTGCACAAAATGGTGCTGTTTGATGAAGTTGACACTTAACATTTGGAGGAGTGCTGTGGTGAGGTGTAACAATGTCAGGACCTTGGTTGCTATTCTTCCTATTACAAACTCTAGGTATCAGTATACCAAGTACTCAACCTGCAATAGATACATAAAGACATGATTTGCTCTCAACACCTGTTTGCAGTATTATAATCTACTCTCGAAGGACTGAAGCTATACTGTTGATTCAATTTACCAAAATCATGACAGGGGCTATTCTGATAGATCCATTCGCGCCGCCCTCCCTTTCCTTTTCCCGCGACTCTGAGGTGTTCTCTGAGCACGTAGAATTTTGATGCTAAATAATCTTGCAAAGCGATAACATACATGCTCACAAGTTCACAGATTTACAGTCAACTGGTCTTTCCAGATGTCCACAACATTCTGGATATTCCATGCCGGCGTGATCTCCATTTGTCAAAGTAGCACCTGCCTAAGATCCGATCGTAAAACAAAACATCCTCAACCGAGTGTCGTAGATTGAAGTTGCTGTGCGGCGACGGAAGAAGGAAATGCACCTCTTTTGCGCCTACGAACAGAGTGGGACTTAGACAAATTTTGGAATTTTGGGAGTAAGGCGCGAGTCGCAGCGCGCGGCGCGCCAACTGGTGTGAACCGGGCCTTTGTGAATCACCAGTGAGCGCAGGTGCCGTCGCGGCCAAGTGACTTGCATTAGGCCACGGCCGCATCACGAACCTCCTTTTCCTTCCTCCCACTCACTGCCACCGCTCGCGATGCCCACCCCTTCTTCCCTCTTGCCTCCACCATCATCTTTCAATCTGCCCCTGGCCATTTCCGAGTGAGTCGACCGTATGGCACAGCCATTGAAAGGTATGGCTGAAGCATTACAAGCCGCCGGCAAAGACACTGCCAGTGTCCGGCGGGACCAATGCGTGGTCAAAACAAACACAAAGCAGAGAGGTGCACATCACATCTTGGCAACGCTAACCATCTTCGTGTTGAATTTCATTCTACTACAAGCCTTCGAACACTTCAACATTGGGCCGCCGTTTGTCAGGTCCGCCCATTTTCAGCCTCGGCGCCTTCGCCTTCGCAGCCGAGTCACCCCCTGTCCGGCGCCACCGCGCCAGCCTGTTCAACTCACGCTCGTGCACCGCCACCTCCCACGCCGGAACCTTGTCGATCTACCTCTCCTGTCCTTACCGAGCCGTTGCCTCTGCCTAGACACCGTCAGCTTGCCATCACCACCCTCATGTTTCATCGGTCATCCAGAGCATCACCCATGCATGACGCCCGTTGTCAGGATCACAGCCTGCACTGCCATCAATACTCGAAGGATTTTTATTTTATTTTACTGGGGCTCATAAATTGCAATCCTTTGGGTTGGCTGGGACCGCTAGAAAAAGAGCTAAAAGAGGTTATAAAGCAACGACGGCAAGCAATTGGGTGAAAGTCAAACCCCTGCGCGCAAAGAGCGCTGCGCAGATCAAAACCCGCCGAGCACCTAACGCGGACTCCAACGGGCGGTGAGTACTGCTGCCGCTTCATGTCCCAAGAGCGGGAGCGAAGATACTCGAAAACCAGGCAAGAGCGCCTAGAGAAAGAAAAGGGGAGAATATACAAACATTCACGACTGGAAACACGGAGAACCAGGAATACTAAGACAGAGAGGAGGGGAGGAGGAGGGGAACACACCCGAGGGGCCAAGGGAGGGGGTCGAAGCCAGAGCTAGAGGTCCCCAGGGACTGACAGGCCGCAGCCAAGCCCCAGCTACTCGTCACCCCGACAGCGCCTGATGTCCTCCCTTGGCTGAGTCTCGAGTGCTGGCTGTTGAGCCGTCGGGGCCAAGCGAAAACGATCCAATACCACGAAACGAGCCTCGCCTTGACGCGAGGATATTGACCAAGAAACGAGCGACCTTTCTTCCCGATCCATGCCGTAGATCTTGACCAACGCGAACGAACGATCTATTTGACGGAATCCAACACACGGCTTAGGAATAAAAGGAGAAGTGGCTGAAGCGTAGTCAACAACCGAGCAACAGGAAAGAGAAGAGGAAGGGAAGGGAAAAAAAAGGGGGGGGGAAAGAGGGGGGAGAACTTCACAAAGCCTCCAACGCAACGACGATCGACCCGGCTTGCCGATCCATCCAAGAACGAAAATCGCTACTGCGCAAAGTAGAGAGAGGGAGAGGTGCGCAGCCTTCCACTGCGCAACAAGTTTCAAGACAGTCAGCTTCTGACCGAAAAGGAAGGGAGGAAAATGGGAAGGAAGGACTTAACTCGGTCATCACACCTCCCAATCTCGAACCCCAGGCACAAAACCCGCTCGAGAGAGAAAATCTCGCTCGAACGCTCTGAGCGTACTGGGAAGCGAGGGAGGGGCCACGACGTTGTCCAGCTCGAACCGCTGATGAACGCGCCAGCGGAGCAGGTGCAGCCGCTGGAAGCCGATCGCGCAGGCCAGCCGAACCCACATCCATTTCGAGGTCGTTCTCCCACGACCCCGCAAAAGGGGGAGCCCCATAGTCAGCTGCTCCGGAGTGAACGTCGACGGATCGACGTCGGTATCCTCGATGCCGAGCTTGTCAAGCAGAATGCGTAGCACCCCACCCCAGAAGCTGGTCGAGTACGCGCACTCGAAAAAGTAGTGGGACACCGTCTCGATGACCGCTGCATCGTTGCCGCAGAACAGACACGTCGGCGAAGAGGCATGACCCTGAGTATGCTGCCTCTTGCGCGTCGGCGTCACGTCGTACATGAGCCGCCAGTGGGTGTCCTGCTCGACAGCAGACGCAAACCGGTCATGAAGCCATCTCCAGAAGCGCTTCCTATCGCTCTGAGAAGTCCCATCAGGGAAACGCTTGACACGGTCCTCCCTCCCTGGGAACCGCACCTTGTTCACTGTAGTGTGTAGGTCGTGGAACTTTTCGGAACTGGGTGTAGCGACCGCTGGGGCTACTGTTGGGCGCGTCGACGTGGCTACGGTTGCGACGGACGGTCCGATTGGGAGAAGTCGCAAGGCGGCACAGACGCGGTCTGACGAGACGGCGGTGCGGCTGGATGATCTGTTCTCTACCGAAGATTAGCAGTCTGGCTAATGTCGGGAAGCGGTAGAGAAGAGGAAGGGAAGCACAAGGAGCGCGAGTCTGACAAGGTTCTAGCAAGCGGGCGCGCAAAGGATCTACTGCAAATCGGGCGGATGCGCTGCTAAGCATCAAGGGCAAACTCCAAGTGGGTCATTCGGGTGCTGAGAGGGGTCGTGTTGGACAACGGCCACGAGGGGAAACCTATCTACGATGTCGAGTGTTGGTGAGCGAGGGAGTCCATAGCGACGAGACTCAGGTTGCGAACGGCGGGCGTCATGCATGGGCGATACTCTTGATGGCCGATGGAACATGAGGACGGCGGCGGCAAGCTGCTGGTGACTAAGTGGAGGCATTGGCTCAGCAAGACTGGAGGGCAGATAGCCAGAGTCCCGGCGTGGAGGCGGCGGCGCGCGGGCGTGAGTTGAACAGGCCGGCGCGGATCGGCGGACAGGGGGCGGTGACGTGCAGGCTCAGCAGGCGACGGCCGGACGGATGTTGAAAGTGTTGAATTCCATACACTCTTGCTTAGGTCGATCTCCAGCCCGCGCCCAGCCTAGCCAGCCGCGCGCCGCTCGGACCCCTTTTGGACTTAGAGATATTTCGCGCACTCGCACCGCGAGCCTCTTTAGTCTTCCCCCTAACGCTCCAAACTACTTCCTAACACTCGTACTGTGTCTCGTGTACTCACTGGTTGCCGATCCAGTCCCCTCTCGAGACACACGACTTAACAGGTTATGAGCCCGAGCTAAAGCTGCTACAACGATGCCTTCACCACCATCGTCACTTGCCACCATCATGATCGCGTTCGTCATCATCATCGCTCTGTACCACACCGTTGAAACCGCCCTCGCCCATGCGACCGGCCGTTACCACACCATGACGCAACTTGACACGTCGCACCTGGACTCGACTGTGAGCGTGACAGTCCGGCCCAGCGTGAACGTCGTCGCACTCCTAGGTCGTCTACCATTGAACCGTGAGCTCCACCTTCCAAATGACACCCTTGTACTCGACTCGGGCGCCTCCCACCACATGGTCAAGGACGCGTCTCTCTTCGACGCCTGGCACACACGGTCACACATCGCCGTCGATGGCGCTGGTGGGTCACTCATGGCACAAGGCACCGGCTCGATCACGATACGAACGTCGAAACAACGAACGATCAAGCTCTGCAACGTCTACTACGTCCCCGACCTTCCGGCCAACCTGATCTCGGTCATGCAGCTGCGCCGCGAGCGCGTTTACACCCACTTTGGCAAGACCATCGAGCTCCGGTCACAAGGTCAACTCATAGGTGTGGCATCCCTCATTGCGAATCAACTGTCGACACTGGACGCCACCCCAATCCGCAGCACGGTGTCACCGGTCGCAGCAGCCGCCATCCCTCTCCTGACTCTGCACCAACGATTCGGCCACCTATCCCTCCCCAACCTGTGAAGGGCAGTCTCGTCGGGTCAACTCCAAGGTCAGACATGGACGTACTCGGCGGCCGAATGCAAGGCCTTCTCCTGCGACACCTGCAAAGCCGCCAAAGCAACAAGGACGCCTTTCCCAACGTCGGACTCTCGCGCTTCGCAACCACTCGAACTGGTCCACTCCGACGTCCTCACTCTGCCCGAACCCGCCACCGATGGGGAACGATACGTTGTCACCTTCATCGACGATTTCTCCCGGAAGACGTGGGTCAGCGCGCTGAGGAACAAGAGTCAGGTCTTCGACACCTTCCAGCGTTGGCACGCCATGATCGAGCGCTCGACGGGCCTCAAGCTCCGCACGTTACGAACGGACAACGGCGGTGAATATATGTCCAAAGCCTTCATCGAGTACTGCTCTCTTCACGGCATTACCAGGCAACTCACGATCCCTTACACCCCGGAGCAAAACGGCCGAGCCGAACGGACGAACCGCACAATCGTCGAGGGGACGATTGCCCTGCTCCAGCACTCGGGACTGCCCATGACACTCTGGCGCGAGGCCCTCCGGTACGTTGTTGACACCAAAAACCTCAGCCCGCACAGCGCCATCGATCACAAAATCCCGGACACTATCTGGTATGGCAAACCTCCCAGCACGGCAAACCTGAGAGCATTCGGCTGCCGCGCCTGGCACACCACCCCTCGGCACAAGCGGGCAAAACTCGACCCCAAGGCCAAACCATTCATCTTCGTCGGCATCGAAAACAAAACCAAGGCCTGGACGCTGTACGACCCAGAAACAACTTCGTTCTTCCAGAGCCGCGACGTCAGATTCGATGAGAACGTCTTCCCCGCTCGAGATGCCCCGACTGGCCAACCGAAGCCTCGCGCGACGTCCACTGCTGGCGACTGGACCTTCGTTGACGCTGCACATGGCTCCCGCACTGTCCCACGTCTGTCACTTCCGCCCGTCGTGCACGAAAATCGATTTGCCGCACTTGAGACCGACGCGAGCGACGACGCAACAATCGAAATGTCTGATGATGGTTTTGATACCCCGTCCGACATGTCCATGGCTCAGTTCTCGCTGTCACCCCCTGCGTCGGACGTGACCGATGACTCGGCCGACCCCATCGACTTCCTGTCATGCCCGTCTCGCGCCGCTGCCTTTGCCGCCACCACTGCAGATTCACCGGTCGTCGAACTCGAAGGGCCAACCGAGGACCCCCAGAATTGGTCGCAGGCGGTCAAGTCAGGTAAAGAGGAGATCTGGAGGCAAGCAGCAGCCGACGAGTTTCACTCCCTTACCACCGAGTACAAATGCTTCACCCCTGTTGACTCCTCCTCACTGCCCCCTGGCGCCAAAGTCCTCGGATCCAGGTTCATCTTCCGCACCAAACGCGACCAACTTGGCAAGATCACTTCGCACAAGGGCCGGCTCGTTGCACAGGGATTCTCCCAGCGCCCAGGTATCGATTACGACGAGACTTTTGCCCCTGTTGCCAAGTTCACCTCCATCCGAGCTCTCATCGCCCTGGCCGCCGCCAAGAAACTCCACGTCCATCAGGCCGACGTTGACAAGGCGTACCTCCACGGCGAGCTGAAGGAAGACCTCTACATGCGCGTCCCACAAGGTGTTGACATGCCCGGTAAAGTCCTCAAGCTCCATCGATCGATCTACGGCCTCAAGCAGGCCGGCCGAGTCTGGAACGAGCACATTGACTTGACGCTGAAAAGCCTCCACTACCGCGCCACAGCCAAGGACCACTGCGTGTACGTACAACGCGACGGCGACCACTACCACTACATCGCCCTCTACGTCGACGACTTGCTGATGGTCAGCCCCTCGGAGGACGAGATTGAGCGCATCCTCAACGGCCTGGAGCAAAAATACGGCATCAAGCGACTTGGCCCAGCCCAGTACATCTTGGGGATCCAGATCAAGCGACAGGCCGACAAGTCCATCATCCTGTCGCAAGAGGCGTACATCACGAGCATCCTCCGCAGATTTGGCATGTCAGACAGCAGCCCCGCCTCCACGCCCATGGCCCCGAACCGACAGCTCGAACATTCGCTCGCGGAAACATCCAAAACTGCTCGGACACGCTACATGCAGGCTATTGGATGCCTCCTGTACGCCGCCACCGGTACTCGCCCGGACATTTCCTACGCTGTCGGATACCTCGCACGCTTCTCTGCCAGTCCCACACCCGAACACTGGACGGCCATCAAGACCGTATTTCGGTACTTACGTGGAACCGCACGTCTAGGCCTGCACTACAGCTCTGAACAAGGCAAGTTCTCAGGCTTCAACGGTTACTCTGATGCAGACTGGGGAACCTGCACCACATCGTCACGGTCGACCATGGGGTACAGCTTCCACCTGGCCGGATCTGTCATCTCTTGGTCCTCCAAAGTGCAAAACCGTGTGGCCGACACCACCACAGACGCCGAGTACCTCGCCCTCTCACACGCCTCCAAGGAAGCTGGTCACCTGCAAGAACTGCTTATGGAACTGGGCATCGACACACGAGCTCCCATCCAGCTGTACGGCGACAACCAAGGTGCTATTGCTCTCGCCAAGAACCCCACCCTTCACCACCGGTCCCGTCACATTCGCATTCGTGAGCACTTTGTACGCGACCAGGTCAGGCTGGGCACCATCCAAGTCAACTATGTGGACACGAAAACCATGGTCGCCGACATCTTCACCAAGGCACTTGGACCCTTGGTGTTCAAGGTACATCGTGACAACCTGGGTCTTCGAGGCTAAGTAAGCTTCGAGCGAGGGGGGGTGTTGAATTCCATATGAAGGAACAATATACCACTGCACCAAAAGGCGAGGCACCTCTACTTCAGTGAGCGCATATTGTCCTAGAAGTGAGATGGAGCGAAGTTCAACATTTTACACACACACACACACAAGTGAGTTTCTGTGGTGTAGAGTGAGTAGTTGACCTCCAAGCCCGTTAAGCTTTACAGGTCAACACAAACACGCAATGCCGGATCCGCCCGGCGCCGATGCGCCCCCGCCCGAGGACCTATTGGGTGGTAATGGCGCGAGTGATTCATCACTCAACACGCAAACGCGTGAAGCGGTCACTGGAGGAACCGCGAATCCTCCAGCTTGGTCGCCCGAGGCAACTCAGGTCCGGTTGGACCATGAGAAGCTGATGAAGAAGACCTTCCAAGTGCTCGGGATTGTTCCCTCCAGCAAGTCGACCCGCCGACTGATGGTCCTGATGCACGACGCCTCGACCCCGCCTTCGCAGGCGCCAGCGCTCGCACGAGCCGCCCAAAGAGTGGTGCGAAACGACGCAGCCCCGGCCTCCAATGTGATTCGAGTCATTATGGATGGTCCTGGATCACCCAGAGGTCCTGTACAGACCGCGCTGCGCAAGCACTTTGTATGAAGGAACAATATACCACTGCACCAAAAGGCGAGGCACCTCTACTTCAGTGAGCGCATATTGTCCTAGAAGTGAGATGGAGCAAAGTTCAACACCCCCCTGTGCGCGAAGCTGAAGAGCTTGTGGCAGTGGGTGCGGCTGTGAGGCAACTGGGCATGTTGATCAGGTCGCTTGGGCAAGTGCAGCTTGGGCACTGTGAGCACTGTCGATGCGCCAGGGTGCTTGGCACGCCGCTGGGCAAGTGCGGGGGCCGGGACGCTGAGTGTATGCGCGCAAAATTGCCTGACCCCAGGGGGGATTGAACTCATGACCTGCTGGTTGCTCTGGGCTCATAACCTATGAAGGAACAATATACCACTGCACCAAAAGGCGAGGCACCTCTACTTCAGTGAGCGCATATTGTCCTAGAAGTGAGATGGAGCAAAGTTCAACACTTTGGATTGGCCGAGACGCCGTTCATGTTCGCGCGGCCCGAGGGCGTCGTGCTTGACCCCGAGGTCGAGAAGCTTTTCTCGAAATGCGTGAAGCTGAACCCGATTGTGACGAAAGCCACGAAGAGGTTCCCGATCGCTCGTCACATGTACGAGCTTGTATTCGAATCCGAGCAAGCTTGTCTTGAAGCCGCTTCAGCGGGCCCATTCCCCTACCACGGCAAGGAGATGGTTACCGAGCTCCCCAGCGCCTCTCCCCTTAACCACGTCGTGCAGGTGCGATTCACCTTGCCCTCCTCCTCCAGCGCGATCCCCGCTTCCGTGCTCCGAAAATCTCTCGATGATGCTATCACCCTTTCGTTCGGCCGCGCAGGTCGCACGCAAGGTTATACCCTGATGCAATTACAGCGGGGCCTCGCGGTCGATCCGAATGGCGATCCGATGGCCATGACCGAAGACGGGTTCCACTGCGCGTACCTTCGCTTACATGCTGATCTTTTCCAAGGCTCCATCGAGACGCAGAAGGCCGCGCTCAACGCCGCTTTGCCACAAGAGATCGAGATCCTGGGCGCCAAGTACGGCTTGCGACACGAATTCGAGACGCACTACTGCGCGGTGTGCGATCGCGCCGGACACCAGTGGGGCGCTTGCAGGAAGCCGGTTTCGACTCCGGCCACCGCCGCCCCTGTTCCGGGGGCCTCGACCTCGACTTCGACTTCGACCACCGGCTTCCGAGTTGCTGGAAAGAATGGGAAGCACGGTGGGCCTGCCGCATTGAACTCTCGTGTCTCTGGCGCGAACATGATCCAGCTGGGACCTCGTGCTAACCCCGCAGGTGCAGTAACCGCCAACAAGGACGACGCGAACGACGGCGACGACGAGTCGATCGTTTCGACCGAACCGGAGGGCGGCGACACTGGGGAAGAGACGTCGACGCGTGCGACCCTGGGCTCAACAAAGGAGACGCAGACGACGACGGCGGCGCCCGTTTCGACCCCGACCTCTCCTTCGCCTTTGTCCGGTGGCACGTCGGGATCATCGGCAACCTCGACAACCTCGATAGCCTCGACGAGTCCTCGACGCCTTCATTCGAGCTCGGCACCCGGCAACCGACGTGTCACCCGGGCAGGATCCGCCATGATCCTCGGTGCATCAGGGGGTGATGGCTCAGGGCGCAACAGTTCAGGGGGTCACAGGTCCGAGGTGACCGAATTCGAGGGGGGCGGCGCTGAACTGATTTAATCATGATTGAGTCACTCACCGTGTTGACGTTCAACGTCCGATTGATGAAGAACGCAGTCAACCAAGTCAAAATCATCCGTTATCTCAAAACCCTTCGGCCGGCCCCTGCGGCCATCCTCCTGCAAGAGCACCACCTCAGCTACAACGCGTCGCGCGAAGGCTTCGAGAGTGCTTGGCCGGGGGCTTGTATTCGTTTCACTCCTCATGTCCTTACCCTCATACCCGATGGCTCACCTTTGGCGGGCCATCTCCTTTCCTCTACCCCGGTCGTCTTTGCAGGAGCTCCTCGTTATGAAGGAACAATATACCACTGCACCAAAAGGCGAGGCACCTCTACTTCAGTGAGCGCATATTGTCCTAGAAGTGAGATGGAGCGAAGTTCAACACCCCCCTGTGCGCGAAGCTGAAGAGCTTGTGGCAGTGGGTGCGGCTGTGAGGCAACTGGGCATGTTGATCAGGTCGCTTGGGCAAGTGCAGCTTGGGCACTGTGAGCACTGTCGATGCGCCAGGGTGCTTGGCACGCCGCTGGGCAAGTGCGGGGGCCGGGACGCTGAGTGTATGCGCGCAAAATTGCCTGACCCCAGGGGGGATTGAACTCATGACCTGCTGGTTGCTCTGGGCTCATAACCTATGAAGGAACAATATACCACTGCACCAAAAGGCGAGGCACCTCTACTTCAGTGAGCGCATATTGTCCTAGAAGTGAGATGGAGCGAAGTTCAACACTCGTTTCGACGGTCGGATTCTGCGCTCGGTGTTTCGTCTTGAGGAGCTCGATGTCGAGATCATCAACATGTACGCGCCGGTGCAGGAGGACGATCGTCGCGACTTTTTCGGGCTTCTGCACTTCAACGCCCCGAGACCCAAGACTCTTCGGATCTTGGCCGGCGATCTCAACGATTGTCCGGATGTATCGGTCGACCGAGTGTCCATCACCGATCGCGCTTGGACTCCTGTATCGCACTGGCAGACCTTGCTGTCAAAGATCGCGTTCAAGGCACTCGACACGGTCCGACATGTCCATCCTTGTACCCCTGCATTCACTCGTCCTCACTACCGTGGTAGAGGGGAAGAGCGAAAGATTTGCTCGTGGTCGCGGATCGACTATATTCTTGTCCAATGCAGTTGGGCGAACCGGTTGTTGAGCGCTTCTACGCTCTTCGATGCGCCCTGTTCGGACCACAGACCTGTAGTTGCGACTTTCGCTTTGCCTACATCGAACGCTGATGCCGAACCCCCCCTTTCTCTTCCCTCCACGAGCGATTTCATTTCGAGGCTCAACCCAATGGTCTTTGACGATCAAGACTTTGTCGCATCGATTCCCGGGGTCGTCGACGAGGTCTATCGAAGGCTCGAGGGGACCGCTCCGCTCGGCGACGTCTATGACGCCGCTCTGCGGGCGGTTGCAGTCGCTGGCCATGCACGATACCGCTCGACTCGTGCCGACATGCGCCGACTGCGGGCCGAGAGCCAATCCGTCATGGAGGCTTTGGAGGCACGCGGTGAGCACATGAATGAGGCCGAGCGCGATGCGTATGCTCTTGCCAAGTCGCGGTTGGACCAGTTGGCGGTAAAGGAGGCTCAGTGGCTGCGCATTCGTGCGCATGTGCCGTCAGTCGACTCGAGGGAAGGTCAATCGGCAAGCATTCGCACGCGCCTCAACCGCCGGAGTCGCCAGACGAGCATCGTCTCGCTGGAGGATGTGGATGGCACCGAGACCGTTGACATGCAGGAGGCGCTGGGTATTGCTTCACGGCACGCGCAGTCGCTCTTCACGCCGGACCCAGCTCGTGGCGACCCGACGAACGCACGCCGGTCCCTGCTCGACCCTATTCGCGCAGCGAAATGCTACGATGACGACCGCTCGGACCCTACGTTCGGTCGTCGGCTGCCTCGTCAAGCGAGAGTGGCGCTTGACGAGCCCTTCACCCTCCTCGAGGTTGAAGCGGCGTTGAAGAAGACGGATTCGGGGCGATCACCGGGGCCCTCGGGCATTCCGTACGAGCTCTTCAAGGCGCTGCCAACCTACTTTGCTCCCAAGCTGTTGGACTTGTTCAACTCGATTTGGGAGGGCGGCAAAATGACGGCGTCCTTGGCAGAGGGACTGGTGCGGCTCTTGCCCAAGAATAAACCGGGGGCCAATCTGAAATCACTGGGGGCATACCGACCGATCACATTGCGCGAGACGACCTACAAGGTCCTCAGCAAGGTCTTGGTGGCGCGACTCAATGGGGTGCTCGGCGAGCTTTTACCGCCGGCGCAACACGGTTTCATGCCATCAAGACGTTCAGCGGACGCGGGAAGTCATCTCACTCTCCTTCTCGAAAAACTCAAGTCGCTAGGCACTGATGTTTTCCCCGAGGGCGCCCTCTTGTCTTTGGATCAGCAGAGCGCGTACGATCGGGTCGATCACGCCTGGATCTTCGAGGTCTTTGAGGCCTTTGGGTTCGGTGAGCGTTTCATCTCGCTGCTGCGCGCTCTCTACGATCCCGAGACTCTGGGGGTGCGCTACCTTGTCAATGGGTTCCCCACGGACTTGGTGCGGTTGCTGTGTGGTCTCGGTCAGGGGGATCCCCTCTCGTGCCCGGTTTGGAACATCACGTTCCAGCCCTTCCTCGACGCCCTCGTTCGGCGCGGGATCGCGCTCGACCTGCAGAAGGTGTGGCCAGGGGGGCCGCGTGCGCAGCTTACGCATCTGGCGTTTGCCGACGATGCTGTGGTGGTGGTGGAGTCACCGGCGGCATTGTCGAAGCTGCAAACGCTGTCGCAGACGTGGTACGAGGCTACCAACGGGAAGACCAACACGGACAAGACGCTGGTGCTACCACTCGGACCGAACTGGCTTCGGGACGAGACTGTGCAGGCGCTGCCAACGGTGCAGGAGGGGGAGAGCTTCAAGTGGTGCGGCTATGCCTTCTTTCGCCACGGTGACTCGAAACTGTTCTGGACCCATGTTCTTGACAGGATCAAGGCCAAGGCCCGCGCCGCTCGAGACCGGACACTTTCGCCGAGTGGGAAGGTTTTCTATGCCAACGCTCACATCATCTCGACGGTCCTCCACGTGCTGTCCTTCGACATACCGCCTCAATGGTTCATTAAGGCGGCGGAGACGGCACTTACGGACTTTGTCTGGGGAGGAGCAGGGCGAAATACCGTCGCTCGCGATTTTGTGTTCCAGGCTCGGGAGGACGGTGGCTTGGGTTTGATTTCGATTGGCGACATCGTTCATTCGGTGGCGCTTCGATTTTGGGATGCTGTGGCGGGCTCGGACGAGGCGATCTGGGCGCCCCTAGCTCGCGAGAGCTGGAGGTGCCTCGTCGCTGCGACCCGCGATTTCAGTCCGTGGGGGTTCTTCAGCAGCACGGCTCGGGTCGAGAAGCTGTATCGCGACTCGACGCGCTGGGGGGCAGTCGTTGCAGCGGCCAGGGTCACAGTTCCAACCATCAAGTCCGAACTCCTTACGCTTCCCGAATTGCTCTCGCTTCCGCCTCGCCTCCCTTCACTCTATGCTGAAGGTGCCCAGCACGCATATGACGATGCGGACGCGGTGGCGAAGTTTGCGCAGATCGCGGACCTGTACTGGAGGGACGAAGGGAAGGGATGGGCTCTGGTTGGTCATCGACGCGGGTTCTGGCAGCACTCTAAGGAACCCGCCCTACAGCACGAGCACGTGTGGTCGCGCGTGGGTCAGTTGCTCAAGGCGAAAGCGTTGCTGCCCAAGACCGCGTTGCGACCTGCTCGGATACCTCTCAAGGAGGCTCCCCGTCCTCGGTGCTTCAACTTCTTTGGGCTCTCCCGACCTTTTACGATTCGCAAGCTTCGTCGGCTTGTGAACAAGGTGCGGTTCCCAGGGAGGGAGGACCGTGTCAAGCGTTTCCCTGATGGGACTTCTCAGAGCGATAGGAAGCGCTTCTGGAGATGGCTTCGTGACCGGTTCGCGTCTGCTGTCGAGCAGGACACCCACTGGCGGCTCATGTACGACGTGACGCCGACGCGCAAGAGGCAGCATACTCAGGGTCATGCCTCTTCGCCGACGTGTCTGTTCTGTGGCAACGATGCAGCGGTCATCGAGACGGTGTCCCACTACTTTTTCGAGTGCGCGTACTCGACCAGCTTCTGGGGTGGGGTGCTACGCATTCTGCTTGACAAGCTCGGCATCGAGGATACCGACGTCGATCCGTCGACGTTCACTCCGGAGCAGCTGACTATGGGGCTCCCCCTTTTGCGGGGTCGTGGGAGAACGACCTCGAAATGGATGTGGGTTCGGCTGGCCTGCGCGATCGGCTTCCAGCGGCTGCACCTGCTCCGCTGGCGCGTTCATCAGCGGTTCGAGCTGGACAACGTCGTGGCCCCTCCCTCGCTTCCCAGTGCGCTCAGAGCGTTCGAGCGAGATTTTCTCTCTCGAGCGGGTTTTGTGCCTGGGGTTCGAGATTGGGAGGTGTGATGACCGAGTTAAGTCCTTCCTTCCCATTTTCCTCCCTTCCTTTCCGGTCAGAAGCTGACTGTCTTGAAACTTGTTGCGCAGTGGAAGGCTGCGCACCTCTCCCTCTCTCTACTTTGTGCAGTAGCGGTTTTCGTTCTTGGATGGATCGGCAAGCCGGTCGATCGTCGTTGCGTTGGAGGCTTTGTGAAGTTCTCCCCTCTCTTTCCCCTTTCTCCCTTCCCTTCCTCTTCTCGTTCCTGTTGCTCGGTTGTTGACTACGCTTCAGCCACTTCTCCTTTTATTCCTAAGCCGTGTGTTGGATTCCGTCGAATAGATCGTTCGTTCGCGTTGGTCAAGATCTACGGCATGGATCGGGAAGAAAGGTCGCTCGTTTTTTTGGTCAATATCCTCGCGTCAAGGCGAGGCTCGTTTCGTTGTATTGGATCGTTTTCGCTCGGCCCCGACGGCTCAACAGCCAGCACTCGAGACTCAGCCAAGGGAGGACATCAGGCGCTGTCGGGGTGACGAGTAGCTGGGGCTTGGCTGCGGCCTGTCAGTCCCTGGGGACCTCTAGCTCTGGCTTCGACCCCCTCCCTTGGCCCCTCGGGTGTGTTCCCCTCCTCCTCCCCTCCTCTCTGTCTTAGTATTCCTGGTTCTCCGTGTTTCCAGTCGTGAATTTTTGTATATTCTCCCCTTTTCTTTCTCTAGGCGCTCTTGCCTGGTTTTCGAGTATCTTCGCTCCCGCTCTTGGGACGTGAAGCGGCAGCAGTACTCACCGCCCGTTGGAGTCCGCGTTAGGTGCTCGGCGGGTTTTGATCTGCGCAGCGCTCTTTGCGCGCAGGGGTTTGACTTTCACCCAATTGCTTGCCGTCGTTGCTTTATAACCTCTTTTAGCTCTTTTTCTAGCGGTCCCAGCCAACCCGAAGGATTGCAATTTATGAGCCCCAGTAAAAAAAAAAAAAAAACATACACTCTTGCTTAGGTCGATCTCCAGCCCGCGCCCAGCCTAGCCAGCCGCGCGCCGCTCGGACCCCTTTTGGACTTAGAGATATTTCGCGCACTCGCACCGCGAGCCTCTTTAGTCTTCCCCCTAACGCTCCAAACTACTTCCTAACACTCGTACTGTGTCTCGTGTACTCACTGGTTGCCGATCCAGGTTAGTTGTAATCCAAACGCTCCAAACTACTTCCTAACACTCGTACTGTGTCTCGTGTACTCACTGGTTGCCGATCCAGTCCCCTCTCGAGACACACGACTTAACAGAAAGGTGCGTTGGCAAGGCTGCGGAGTCAGGAAAGTCGGCAGCGTGCGAAGGCGGGCGCAGGTAGGCGAAGTGGTGCGGTGACCTGCAGACAGGGCAGGCGACGGCCGGGTGGACGGACCAGGATGTGGACGGATTGACGAACGGTGCACATGGGTCGAGGAACGAGGCTGGGCGCAAGTGTCATGCGGCGAGGCTCGAGGGACAGGGGGCGCGGCGGAGGCTTGCGGAGGCTTAGGCGCGCGGAGGCAAGGCGCCGAGGCGAAGGCGGGCAAGTCCGTCAAACGGCGGTCCGATGTCGAAGTGTTCGAAGGCTTGACAGAATGCAATTCAACACGCGCGACCACACGTGCTCGTGCTGTAGGGCGGGTTCCTTAGAGTGCTGCCAGAACCCGCGTCGATGACCAACCAGAGCCCATCCCTTCCCTTCGTCCCTCCAGTACAGGTCCGCGATCTGCGCAAACTTCGCCACCGCGTCCGCATCGTCATATGCGTGCTGGGCACCTTCAGCATAGAGTGAAGGGAGGCGAGGCGGAAGCGAGAGCAATTCGGGAAGCGTAAGGAGTTCGGACTTGATGGTTGGAACTGTGACCCTGGCCGCTGCAACGACTGCCCCCCAGCGCGTCGAGTCGCGATACAGCTTCTCGACCCGAGCCGTGCTGCTGAAGAACCCCCACGGACTGAAATCGCGGGTCGCAGCGACGAGGGGCGCCCAGATCGCCTCGTCCGAGCCCGCCACAGCATCCCAAAATCGAAGCGCCACCGAATGAACGATGTCGCCAATCGAAATCAAACCCAAGCCACCGTCCTCCCGAGCCTGGGACACGAAATCGCGAGCGACGGTATTTCGCCCTGCTCCTCCCCAGACAAAGTCCGTAAGTGCCGTCTCCGCCGCCTTAATGAACCATTGAGGCGGTATGTCGAAGGACAGCACGTGGAGGACCGTCGAGATTGTTAAGTCGTGTGTCTCGAGAGGGGACTGGATCGGCAACCAGTGAGTACACGAGACACAGTACGAGTGTTAGGAAGTAGTTTGGAGCGTTAGGGGGAAGACTATGTTGAATTGCATTCTGTCAAGCCTTCGAACACTTCGACATCGGACCGCCGTTTGACGGACTTGCCCACCTTTCGCCTCGCGCCTTCGCCTCAGCGCCTTGCCTCCGCGCGCTTTCGCCTCGGTGCCTCGCCTCCGCGCGCCTTCGCCTTCGCAAGCCCTCACTGCGCCCCCTGTCTCTCGAGCCTCACCGCATGATCCTGCGCCCAGCCTCGTTCCTCGACCCCTGTGCGCCTTTGTCAACTCGCCCACATCTTGGTCCGTTCACCCGGTCGTCGCCTGCCCTGCCTGCACGCCACCACACACCTGCGCCACCTCTGCACCTTCGCAAGCCGCCACCAGCCCTGCCTTCGCGCCTTCGCCTTCGCACGCCCTCGCATGGCGCTGTCTGTCTTGTCAGTGCACCTTCACTGGCCCGTGTTCTTCGTCTCCGTCCGAGTGCCCCTGTCAACGCCCTCGTACCTTTGACTGCCGCTTGGTCGCCCATTGCGCCCAAGGCCGCCATTTCGCCTTTGCTTCCGCGCCAGCCTGCTCAACTCACGCTCGCGCGCCGCCACCCTCACGCCCGGACTTAGTCAGCCCGCATTCTCCAGCTTTGCCGAGTTGATGCCTCCGCCCAGCTACCTCCAGTTCGCCGCCGCCGCTCTCATGATTCATTGGCCATCCAGAGCATCGCCCATGCATGACGTCCGTCGTTTGCAACCTGGATCTCGTCGCTGCGGATCGCCTCGCTCATCAACACTTGACCTTGTGGATAAGTTTCCCTTCGTGCCGTCGTCCAACACGACACCTCTCGACGCCCTGATGGCCCGCTTGGAGTCTGGTCCTTGAAGCCTTGCATTGTGTGCCTGCCCAGTTAGATTCTCTGTGCGCTCCCTTGCTAGAACCTCGCCCGACTCGCGCGCTCCCGCGCCTCTTTCCCTTTTCTCTATCGTTTCATCTCATCATTCAGACTGCTGAGATTTGTTAGAGAACAGGTCCGTTGCAATCGCATCATCGTTTCATCTCATCATTCAGACTGCTGAGATTCGTTAGAGAACAGATCGCTCGGCTGCGCCGCGGCTGCCTCTCCAGGCCGCGTCTTCACCGCCTCGCGACTTCTCGACCGGGGAGCACTTTGCTACGTCGTCCTGCCTCGCAACCTCCCGAAACGATCCGGTCCGTGCCGCCTCACGATTCTCCAGCGACCCCCCCGGTCCCAACTTAACACTGTCCTCCTTCGACCTCGAGCCCCGCAAATCGGTTCCGCGATTCGAGTTGGTCAGTTCCGAGGGCGCGGCTAGGGGCCACAACCTCGGAAGTGTTGTTGTTGGTGTTGGTTGGGTTGTTGTGGTACTTGTTGTGCCTTCCGGTGTTGTTGTTCGCTTCCTTCTGCCTCCTCTCCTGTTCCAGCGCGCAGGTCTCCACATGCCCCACAAAGTGGCACCGAGCACAGGCCGCTTCTCGTTCGTAGTCGTGACGAACCGCCGTATGCATGTTGCCTCTAGTGGCTAGAGAGACCTTCGACGGTAGGAGCTCCTTCAGCGTGTTGTTAGGGGCTTTGAAAAGGGCGTCGTCGTCGAAGCGGATAAAGGCCGAAAACTCGCCGGCCAAGTGCGCATAGGCCGAGTCGTTATCGACGTTGATCACGCGCAAGACTTGTACCAGCTCGCAACGGTGTCCCTTGGCTGTGATTTTGGTGACAATTGATTTAAAAGAGTCAACAATGGCATCCCTGGATGGGACCGCTGCGACACCGACGTTGATACGCAGCTCGACCATGTTGTGGTAGAAGTGGTGGGCCTTTGCGAAGTGAGCCTTTGCAGAGTGCCAAGTAAGCGCCAGTGGGGCCGTAAGCGCCGAGTCACGTGCCTTCGCCGAAACGAATCCCACGGAGATACGGTGGTTGACCACACCGGCCCTGACGAAAGACGAGTGTTGGATACCCCTAATCTGGGGCGCAAATGCCGCAAGGTGCTCGGGAAGGGTGACCTCGGCGTCGAAGCACAGGGGCGATTGCGGGGAGAGCAGTCTCGTGACGCAACCGAGCAGATCGGCCTTGTCCGCGGGAGAGGCCTTCGAGGTGCCTTGGACGGTCAAAGTGACGTCGAGAGCAAAGTCGAAGATGTTTCAAATGGATTGATTGGCGTTGAGAGCCGAATACTTGAGCGATGTAGCGGTAGCGACAGGGTACTCGTCGGTGGCGAAGGTGGCTTGCAACCACCGGTCGGTGTGATTGCCCGGTACAGCACCCATGACTTCGAACATTTGGGTCAAAGCCTTGGCACGGTGTTGTTGTTGGGTCTGCTGCTCGGGAGTCTGCTTGGTCTTTTGAATCACGGCGGTGGCGTAGGTCGCGGCGGCGATAGGGACTTGCGTCTCCTTTGTCCCAATCGGGACGCTCGTCGCCGCGGACGCCGATGGTGGGGGTGGGCCGGTCTCGCCGGTCTCCATGCTAATGTAGGCTGATGTATCACTTGTAGCTTCGAAGGTGGTGGGTGGCGTGATTTCGAAAGTGAAAGTTTTTTTTTTTTTTTTGTAGAAACCGTTCATCATATTGCCCCCAATTCCTGTTCCCCTGATTGGCCTACGGAAAAACTAGATGGAAGTCGGCGATGATAACACAAACCGCCCGCAAGATGCGAGAAACGGGCCAAGTCCACCAATCTGATACTTCGGATTCAAGTGCCCCAGCCAAGCGGTTGCTCCCCCCCAGGAGACGAATGAGAGAGAGAAAATGAAAAAGAACTGGCGTACTAACGACAAGAGGCCCACCCCGCACCCACTTCCCAACTCGGTCGAGACAAAGACAGGAGAGCGACTGCGCAGCTACCCTGACCCGCGAAATCCCAAGTCTATGCTCGGTCACAACAAGACGCGGTGGAGGCCCCTCAAAACCTCCACCTCAGCAGTCCCTGGCCCCTCAAAGCCGACTTTCTGCCTGTGTCTGCTGATCCCTCCCTTAAACTCAGAACCCCGAAGCCAGAGAGCGCGAGCCACCGTCGAGTCAATCCCAAAACGCAAGCCGGTCCATGAGCAACGGAGGCAGACCTGTAATAAAAGAAAGATGAAGAAAAGATATTTAGTATACAGTTTTTGTAAGAGGATGTGTGATGTGGGTGTGTGTGCGTGTGGAGTGGGGTGGGGGGAAATCGAACCTAGCCTCTACTGCCCTCGCCTGCCTCTTGCTCCTCCCGCCCTCAACTTCATCCTCTCCTCCAGTACCACCCTCCTCCTCTCCACGCTTTCCATCCTCGTCCCGTGCTTCTGCATCCTCCATCTCCCACTGCTGATCATCTCCAAAACCATCCCCGTGAAGATCTCGATCGTCCTGCCCGCGCCTTCCTGTGCGCTGAGCTTGGCCTTGAGCTTGGGGAGGCCAAAGAGTCGTTGAAGTGTCGTGTACTCGGCGCCCTCGATCGTGTCGCATCCGAGCGCGTCGCAGAGCACGCCCCTCGCCGCGATCCAGACGTTTCGCGAGTCGAAGCAGCCGAAGAAGTAGTGATCGGTGTCGTCCACCGGCGCTTCGCAGACGAAGCACGCGGGAGAAGTGTCGTGCTTTTGCTCGTGCTGGAGTTTGCGCGTCGGGGTGAAGCGGAGGATCAGCTTGAACCAAACTTCCCTCTCCCTCGCCGTCAGTGCCTTCGAGTTGACTGCCTTCCAGAAGCTCCTGAGGTCGTCCGGCTGCGGTGGTCCCTTGAGCCCGAGCATGTTGGTAAATGCCTTCGCGTTCAGGACCCGGCGGATGCGACGGACTGTGTAGGGGCGAGCCATGTTCAGCAGCGTATACTGTCTCGCCTGTTGTGGAAGCACCGGGTCCGGAAGGCGCTGCTCCATTGCAAAGCGGGCCACGGGCTTGGGGATGATTGCCTCGAGTGGTGCGCTGGTGCCGATACGGGGAGGCACGTTGAGTCGTCCCGCCGCCACCGCCGCCGCCAAGGGGGTGTTCTTGTGTCGATCGACAGTGAACCGGTACCAGGCCGCGATTGCCAGTCGCTGCGGGAGCCCGCGTCGATCGTACTCGCTGTTGTCGCCGAGCACATCCGCCGGCGGCGTCCAGAGGTGAAACCCCCCACCCGCATACAACTCGCGTCGATAGAGATCCGCCACCTTCGGGTAGCCCTGGAGACGAAGGTAGTCAGGTACATGAACCGCGTCGATGGTCTGTCTCCCTCTGATGGGGGTGTGGAGGCTGCCGAGCAGGGTGGGCAGCGCGAGCAAGTTCGCGGTGGTCAAGGCCCTCGGGTTGACCTGCGCGTCGTGAAGTTTCGGAACGCCCAGTGCGGCGTGCCATCGGGGATGAAGGTCGTTGGGGATGGGAGTGGATGGATGTGGCCAGAGATCGGTGGCCAGGTCGAGGTCGGGCTGAGCTCGCTGGAGTGATGCGCGCGCAAGTCCTTGCCAAATCGCGCCGGAACCGCCGAGAAGAACGTCCCAGAGCCGTGCCGCAACCGCGTCCACAACGTCCCGCATCCTTATCACCCCGAGTCCCCCCTTGTTCTTGGCGGTGAACACAATGTCTCTGCCGTAGCTGGTCCTGCCCTTGCCCCCACGGACGAAATCGACGAGCATGTCATCGAGCTTCTTGACGACTTCGGGCGGCGGGATGTCGGCTGCAAGGAAATGCAGGATCTTGGGAATGGCGTACCGATTGACGTAAAAGGCACGGGTGTGGTGCGTGAGCCAGCGATGCTGAACCGCTTCCAGCGTCGCCTCGAGCCGTTCGGTGTCGCCGCTGGGGTCGAAGGGGAGGCCGATCCACTCGAGCGACTCGCCTGCGGCCTTGACGACGATTGGCCGTTCCCCAGGGTCCCAGCGACGTCCAATCGGTAGGACGACCGTCTTGTCCGTGTTGAGCCGGCCATTCGTTGCATGCCTCCAGTCGAGCGCCAGGTCATCGAGCAAGTTGAGTGACTCCAAGCCCGCGACGGCGACGACAACGTCATCGGCAAATGCAAGTGATGTAATGGCGCGGCTCTGTGGGTACGGATGAAGTGCAGGTATGGAGAGATTCAGCGCGATGTTTCGACGGTGTAGAGCATCCAGGAACGGCTGAAACACGATGTCCCAGACCGACGATGACGCCGGGTCCCCTTGGCCGAGCCCACACGTCAGTCGCACCGGCGCCGTCAGGAACCCATTGATGATGTAGCGCGCCGAGGTCGAGTCACCCGAGTAGAGCATTCTCAGCACGCGAAGAAAGGTGGTAGGAGCGCCCAGAGTGTCGAAAATGGCAAAGATCCAGTCATGCTCGACGAGGTCGTAGGCGGATGATTGGTCAAGAGACAAGAGCGCGGCCGCGGGGAACTCGGTCCTGCGCGCGCCAAGTTCCTCGATCAGGAGACGAAGGTGTAGTGCAGCGTCGGCCGATCGGCGGTCCTTGACGAAGCCGTGCTGCTGCGGCGGGAGGAGATCGGGCAGAATTTGGTTCAATCGGGCGACGTAGACCTTGGTAAAAATCTTGTAATCGCACTCGCGCAGGGTGATGGGGCGATACGACGAGAGTTCGGCGCGATCGGCATTCTTCTTGTGGCGCTTGAAGATGAGGCGCACGAGTCCCTGGCCCTGCTTGGGAGAGAGTGAACCGCGCTCGATCATCGCGTTGTAGGCCTTGGTCAGCACCTTGGACCACGCCTCTGGTGCGGTCTGATAGAGTTCGTAAGGCACGCCCGACGGGCCCGGCGATCGCCCCGGGTGCGTCGTCCCGATCGCGGCCACGACCTCGTCCTCGGTGATGGGTTGCTGGAGGAGATCAATCTGCGCTTCCGAGAGTCGGCGCAGAAAGAGCGGATCTGAGCGCGGGTCGTCGCAAGTCCGTGCCGCCCTGATCGGCACGAGGAGTTCGTTCCGAAGTCGGTCGACACGTTCCGGATCACGAGGCTCGATGTGGTAGAGGCGCTGGAAATGCGCCTGCGTGTGGTCAAGAGCGACATCAATGTCATGCGTTAGCTCTCCGTTGCCCAAGCGCAGTGCTGTGATCTTGGAGTCCGAGTTCCGCGCCGCGAGCTTGGCGTGGACCGGCCGTGACAGTCGTTCCTCGGAAGCGATCTCGGGGACGTGGGCTCGGATCCGGAGTAGGCGCGCGCGCTCCTCGACCGCCCGCTTGAGTTCCTCGGACGTCCTTGTCCATTCTGCCGTTTCCGCCTCCAGATCCTGCACCCTCCCCACCAAATACTCCATCCGTTCCGTCCGCTCCCGATGCAGCCTCCTCGCCATCTCCCCACCCCTGTCCCTGCATGCCTCCAGAACCTCCTCAAGCTCTCGCACCGGATCCTCCCCGCTTGCCCCTTCCAACCATCCTTCCATCATCCGCTGAAATTCCACCGTCTTGAAGGTTGTGGTATTGATTCGATGTAGTTGGTTGGATGTGGTAGGTAGGCTGAGCTGTGGGAGAGCCGCATCAAGATCGTCTGAGAGAGCCAGTACGATCAAGACCGGTCGGTGATCGGAAAGATCCTTGGGATAGTCGTAGATCGTCGAGGCCTGGTCGAGCCTTTTTTGGTGAGCTCTTTGTAGGAGAAAGTAGTCAAGCCGGGAGAAGGAGTTGGGTCGCTTGCGATTGGGATTAGGTCGAGTGAAAGATGGGGTGATGGGGTGCTTGTAGCGGATGCAGTCCGTGTAGGCCGAGTCGAGCTTGCCCATCAGAATCGGCCAGTGGTGGCCGCGCCGACTTTGGTTCCGCCGATCGACTTCTGGGCGCGGGCAGTTGTTGAGATCGCCGCCAAGGAGTCGGAGGTGGGATTTCTGTGTTTTGTGGAGGATCAGTTTGTCGAAGAATTTTGCTCGTTGTTTTGGGTCAACGGGCGCGTAGAGGTTATTGATTTCTAGAATTTTGATGTCGCCCCGCAGACGAAAGGAGGTGACGAGGAGCCGGCCGTCGAGTGCCGAGTGGGTGCGCAAGAGCTCGGCGTCGATCAGGGGCGAGTCGGCCGGGATCAGGGTCAGGCAGTGCTGGTTGATGAAGAGCTTGCCCTCGTACTCGTCCTTGATGAGCTGCCAGAATTGTGGTCTGATGAAATGCTCTTGTAAGAGAATCGCGGAAGCTTTGAATGTGGAAAGGTAGGTGTAGATATTACGTCGTTTTTCCGGGACCCCCATGCCCCTTCTTACGTTCCAGGTGATGATGGTGTGCTTGATCATTAATGGGTAGTCGAGGTCGAGGCGCTCTTGGCGGTGGTGACGTCCTCAAAGAGGGGAAGGGCGGGCAGGACATCGTCCTCGGGCTCGTGGTCGGACCATCATTTTTCCTCAGCTACCCCTCTTCCTTTCCCTCTGTCCACCTTCGTCACCTCGACCTGCATCGCCGCTGCCGCCGACATCGACCTCGTCACCCTCCGCCCCTCTATTCCATCCTTCACCACGACGCGGCTCTTCCCTTTGATGATGACTTGCTTGGCGTCGGTCGGTTTGTCACTTGGGTCACTGAGGTCCGCCGCAGTCTGCGACCTCTTCATCACCTGCTTCTTGAACTTCGCAGCGGTCCCCCTGATGTTGATGGAGCGTATCTCACCGTCCTCGTCCCACGTGGCAAAGTTGTGACGCACCAAAGGGGTTTCAGCGTTGAGCCTCCTCTCGATGCTTTGGTCCCGCTCAAGTCGTGCCTGCTCAACCCAGTTAGCTCTGATCCTGTCCCACTCCTCCCCCTCGCGTAGCGACTTGGCGAGAGTTTCGGGTGACAGAGGTGGGGTTGGTTCATGCGGCGTCGATTCGCGGGAAGCGGTGGCGGCGGTTGCTGTGGCGTCGCTGTCGTCGTCATTGTCCAGCCTGTTCGTTTCCCCTAAGTCCGTCGCTTCCGCATTCTCCGCTTTCGTCGATCCCCTCGCTTCGTCCACATCGCCCACCTCCGTCGCCACCTCCTCTTCCTCCATCTCCGTAGCCACCTCTCTTCCGTTTCACCTCTTTCATCCGCCATCACCTCTCCATCGGATCCGCTGCAGTCCTCCAAGACCGACTCGTCCTCGCTTTCAATTTTGATGACCTCCGTTTTCGCGGCCGCCTCCGATTCCATCTCCGAGTCCTCCGAGTCCTCGTCATCCGCCTTATCACCAGCGTCTTCCTCCCCCGATTCCTCCTGTCAGGATCACAGCCTGCACTGCCATCAATACTCGAAGGAAGTCTCCCAAGTTTGCGGCCGGAGTCGAAATCAGCTACCGGTTTGTTCGTTGCAAGCATCGTGGGCGCGATGGCGTAGTTGTGAGGGCGCGCGGGCGCGCACTCAGTGGTCGAGGGTTCGATCCGCCCGGAGCGCGATCTGCCTTTTGGTTTCTTTTCCTTTTTGTTATCCGAGGCCCGGCTTTGGGGTTTTTACCGGTGCCTTGCAGGCAATCCTTTTTACCCCTGAAGCGACCTCGTGGTGTAGTTATTTGACTCAGTCTTTCCTTCGCTCGGAGCACTTCCCTCCCTTTGCTTTTGCCACCTTTCCCCCAGAGCTTGGTCAACTCTTCTAGACTCGTACCCTCCCTCTTTTTACCCATTTCGCTGGCAATTAAGTCCGTTACACTTGATTTGCTGCGAAGCCTTCCGACCGAATCCACTCCTCGGTTGCTCTCGGTCGACTGCCGCCGCCCAGCCGACTCGACCTTCCCATCGGCCTGGTCAGCTATTTCTTGGATCGTTTGCCCTCCCTCTTCTGTCCAACCTCGTTGGCTACCATAGTTCGGTACACTGGACTTGCTGCGAGCCTTGCAGCCGCGTATCCTCCGCGGTTGCCTCTCGGTCGACACCCCTTTCGCTCCTTCGCGCTTTCGCGTGCTCTCTCGCTCTCTCCCTCGTCTCTCGCGTGTAGTCATCGTCATCCCCTCCGACGTTGCCTGTCAGGGGCGCCTCGGTCGTTGCGCGCACTTGCTAGCCCGCCCCCTTGCGGTGGGGACTTAGACGCGCGCGACTGCCTCAGCGCGCCAGCGTCGGCGGATTCATGCGCGCGCCCGCTAGCCCGCCCCCTTGCGGTGGGGACTTAGGCGCACCGGCAATTTCACCCGCGGCTGACTTAGGGATGTACATTGTCACGCGCCTGGGCCTATCCCAGCGTGGCCCCCTTTCTGTTTCTTAGCTTCCTTCTCATCACTTCTGTTCGACTCTCAACCTCTCCTGACAGTAGTGGTGATCGTCTCATAAGAAGATCAAGCGCATCCACGACTGGCATCTCCCAGCGACCGTCACGGAATTGAAGGGGTTTCTGTTGAATTCCATACACTCTTGCTTAGGTCGATCTCCAGCCCGCGCCCAGCCTAGCCAGCCGCGCGCCGCTCGGACCCCTTTTGGACTTAGAGATATTTCGCGCACTCGCACCGCGAGCCTCTTTAGTCTTCCCCCTAACGCTCCAAACTACTTCCTAACACTCGTACTGTGTCTCGTGTACTCACTGGTTGCCGATCCAGTCCCCTCTCGAGACACACGACTTAACAGTTTCTCGGTTTGGTGCAGTACCTCCGCAGGTTCATTCCGGGCCTTGCCGAGCATACCGCTGCGCTGACCCCGTTGACAATCAAAGGGCTGACATCCATCGGCAACCTCTGGACAACTCCAACGGTCCGTCACTTCGAAGCCATCAAGTCCATTGTCGTCTCCCTTGACTGCCTACGCCCGCCCGACCACTCTGCCGATGCCATGCCATTCTGGGTGATGACCGACGCCAGTCTTCAAGGTATCGGAGGTGTGCTCCTGCAGGGCTCGCATTGGAAGACCGCACACCCCATTGCCTACTGGTCGCGTCAATACATCCCAGCTGAACGCAACTACCCTACGCACGAGCAGGAACTCCTAGCTATTGTCGAGGCTCTCAAGGAATGGCGCATTGATCTCCTGGGTGGCCATTTTCACATCCTTACCGACCATTCCACACTTGAGCACTTTCAGACGCAGCGCACGGTCATCTCGCGACGCCAGGCGCGCTGGCTTGACACCTTGGCCGAATTCGATTATGACCTCCAGTATCTCCCGGGCAGGGAGAACATTGTAGCCGACGCGATGAGCAGGTACTCCTTTCCCGAGCCACTTCCCATCATTGTGGCCAACATTTCGCAAGTCTCGCTCTCGGATGTCGTCAAGCAGCAAATTCTTGACGCGTACAAAACCGACACATTCTGCCAGCAAGCCCTGAACAACATCGCATCGGTCGCATCAGAGTTCAAGATTATTGACACATTGCTGTATTTACGGGGCCGGCTTGTCATTCCACTACTAGCCCCGCTCCGTGAGTCCATCCTTCACGATGCTCATGACGCGCTGGGGCACCTAGGTGATGTAAAAATGTACCAGACTGTTATACAGACGTACTTTTGGCCGAACATGTCCCACCACGTGAAGCAATATGTGCAACAATGTGACTCATGTCAACGAACCAAGGCCCGTACCACTCGCGTCGCGGGCAAGCTTCACTCCCTTCCCGTTCCAGTGCGCCCCATGACGGACATCGCCGTTGACTTTGTCGGACCGTTGCCAACAAACAAGGGGTTCGACCGTGTCTTGACGATCACCGATCGACTGTCGGGATATGTCCGCCTCATCCCTGTGTGCGAAGCCGACAGCGGCGGATGTTGCCAACCGCTTTCATGAGGGGTGGCATCGTTTTTTTGGCCTGCCTCAACGCATTGTCTCGGATCGTGACAGGTTGTTCACGAGCAAGTTCTGGTCCGCCCTGCACAAGCGTCTGAACATCAAGCTGCAACTTTCCTCGGTGTTCCACCCCAAGACTGACGGGCGCAGCGAGAAGACGAACAAGACCGCATTCCAGATCCTACGCTCGCTTGTCAACAGGGAACAATCCAATTGGGTTGAATGTCTCACCGCTTGTGAGTATGCCATCAACTCATCGGTCAATGTTTCGACGGGGAAGACCCCGTTTGAGCTTGTCCTGGGGTACACACCCACCCTCGCCCCGCTTGCCCCTATTGAGGGCGACGAGGAGCTCCCATCGGTGGAGGAGCTGCTCGCGCTTCGCTTCCAGTCATGCGAGGAGGCACGAGACCAACTTGCTGTGTCCAAAGTTCGTCAAGCCGCCCAAGCCAACAAGGACCGCGCGGATGAACCTTCATGGGCCGTTGGGGACCTTGTGCTGCTCGACTCAAGTGACCGCAGGAAGCGACTTCACACCCGCAAGCGCCGCGCAGCCAAGCTCATGGACCGTTTCGACGGCCCTTATCGCATTGTTGCGGCGCAGCCAGGGATCTCCACGTACACCTTGCAACTCAACAAGGACAATTCCGCGGTACCATTCTTCCACACGGGCAAGCTCAAGGCCTATCGCTCAAATGATTCGGAATTGTTCCCAAGCCGAGAACCCGCGCGCCCGGGACCGGTGGACATAGGTGGAGAACCCGAGTGGGTCATCGAGGACATCGTCGATGAAAGAGTCCGAGCGGGGAAGACTCAATATTTGGTCTCCTGGGTTTCATGGCCGTCGGATAGCGATTCATGGGAGCCTGCCGAGGCATTGGAGTGTTGGGAATATCGGAACGAGGAATGAGAGTGTTTTTTCAGAGGGGAGCTTTGTGTCAAGGAGGGGAGAGTGTAAGGCAAGGCCTTACAACGGGCCACAGGCATTAGAAATAGAGCTTGCGCGCGCCTAGCTTCTTCAGCTCTCTCTTCATCGAGCTGACACCAGAAGCTAGGTGAGTACTGGTGTTCCCTATCTCAGCACTATCGTATCTTATCGAGCTGACACCAGAAGCTAGTTGTAATCCATATAACTTGCACCTGTCATCTTCGGTCACCAGTGAGGCTCCGCTGTCCGAGACAGCGTGCCTTTCACCTCCCGCAATAATGTGATACGCGTACGGAGCAACATGGTCGCCTTGGCGGAATAGCCAACACTTCGACGCGCCGTCACTCTGTTGGATCTCGACCCATTTCCCTGGGTTCGCGTCCAGTGCATCTTGCAACAACTGGTTCTCCATCTGTACTCAACCAAGGACGTTTGAGATAAAAGGAAGGGGAGTGTCATAGTCAAGATCTTCGAGCAACCACCTCTCACCCAAATTCCTTGTCCGAGACATCACGGCACCCTCTCCGGAACCCACCTCGCACCCGAGACATCACGGTACCCTCTCCGGATGCCACCTCTCATCCGAATACATCACGGTTCCTCCTTCGGTTGCCACCTCTCATCCAAGACTCTTCATCCGCGACATATGGTTCCCTCTTCGTATGCGAACTACTTGTCCGAGACATTGCGGCTCCTCCTTCGGATGCCAACAACGTGCGAACGAACCATTCTGTTAAGTCGTGTGTCTCGAGAGGGGACTGGATCGGCAACCAGTGAGTACACGAGACACAGTACGAGTGTTAGGAAGTAGTTTGGAGCGTTAGGGGGAAGACTAAAGAGGCTCGCGGTGCGAGTGCGCGAAATATCTCTAAGTCCAAAAGGGGTCCGAGCGGCGCGCGGCTGGCTAGGCTGGGCGCGGGCTGGAGATCGACCTAAGCAAGAGTGTATGGAATTCAACACCCCCCCTCGCTCGAAGCTTACTTAGCCTCGAAGACCCAGGTTGTCACGATGTACCTTGAACACCAAGGGTCCAAGTGCCTTGGTGAAGATGTCGGCGACCATGGTTTTCGTGTCCACATAGTCGACTTGGATGGTGCCCAGCCTGACCTGGTCGCGTACAAAGTGCTCACGAATGCGAATGTGACGGGACCGGTGGTGAAGGGTGGGGTTCTTGGCGAGAGCAATAGCACCTTGGTTGTCGCCGTACAGCTGGATGGGAGCTCGTGTGTCGATGCCCAGTTCCATAAGCAGTTCTTGCAGGTGACCAGCTTCCTTGGAGGCGTGTGAGAGGGCAAGGTACTCGGCGTCTGTGGTGGAGTCGGCCACACGGTTTTGCACTTTGGAGGACCAAGAGATGACAGATCCGGCCAGGTGGAAGCTGTACCCCATGGTCGACCGTGACGATGTGGTGCAGGTTCCCCAGTCTGCATCAGAGTAACCGGTGAAGCCTGAGAACTTGCCTTGTTCAGAGCTGTAGTGCAGGCCTAGACGTGCGGTTCCACGTAAGTACCGAAATACGGTCTTGATGGCCGTCCAGTGTTCGGGTGTGGGACTGGCAGAGAAGCGTGCGAGGTATCCGACAGCGTAGGAAATGTCCGGGCGAGTACCGGTGGCGGCGTACAGGAGGCATCCAATAGCCTGCATGTAGCGTGTCCGAGCAGTTTTGGATGTTTCCGCGAGCGAATGTTCGAGCTGTCGGTTCGGGGCCATGGGCGTGGAGGCGGGGCTGCTGTCTGACATGCCAAATCTGCGGAGGATGCTTGTGATGTACGCCTCTTGCGACAGGATGATGGACTTGTCGGCCTGTCGCTTGATCTGGATCCCCAAGATGTACTGGGCTGGGCCAAGTCGCTTGATGCCGTATTTTTGCTCCAGGCCGTTGAGGATGCGCTCAATCTCGTCCTCCGAGGGGCTGACCATCAGCAAGTCGTCGACGTAGAGGGCGATGTAGTGGTAGTGGTCGCCGTCGCGTCGTACGTACACGCAGTGGTCCTTGGCTGTGGCGCGGTAGTGGAGGCTTTTCAGCGTCAAGTCAATGTGCTCGTTCCAGACTCGGCCGGCCTGCTTGAGGCCGTAGATCGATCGATGGAGCTTGAGGACTTTACCGGGCATGTCAACACCTTGTGGGACGCGCATGTAGAGGTCTTCCTTCAGCTCGCCGTGGAGGTACGCCTTGTCAACGTCGGCCTGATGGACGTGGAGTTTCTTGGCGGCGGCCAGGGCGATGAGAGCTCGGATGGAGGTGAACTTGGCAACAGGGGCAAAAGTCTCGTCGTAATCGATACCTGGGCGCTGGGAGAATCCCTGTGCAACGAGCCGGCCCTTGTGCGAAGTGATCTTGCCAAGTTGGTCGCGTTTGGTGCGGAAGATGAACCTGGATCCGAGGACTTTGGCGCCAGGGGGCAGTGAGGAGGAGTCAACAGGGGTGAAGCATTTGTACTTGGTGGTAAGGGAGTGAAACTCGTCGGCTGCTGCTTGCCTCCAGATCTCCTCTTTACCTGACTTGACCGCCTGCGACCAATTCTGGGGGTCCTCGGTTGGCCCTTCGAGTTCGACGACCGGTGAATCTGCAGTGGTGGCGGCAAAGGCAGCGGCGCGAGACGGGCATGACAGGAAGTCGATGGGGTCGGCCGAGTCATCGGTCACGTCCGACGCAGGGGGTGACAGCGAGAACTGAGCCATGGACATGTCGGACGGGGTATCAAAACCATCATCGGACATTTCGATTGTTGCGTCGTCGCTCGCGTCGGTCTCAAGTGCGGCAAATCGATTTTCGTGCACGACGGGCGGGAGTGACAGACGTGGGACAGTGCGGGAGCCATGTGCAGCGTCAACGAAGGTCCAGTCGCCAGCAGTGGACGTCGCGCGAGGCTTCGGTTGGCCAGTCGGGGCATCTCGAGCAGGGAAGACGTTCTCATCGAATCTGACGTCGCGGCTCTGGAAGAACGAAGTTGTTTCTGGGTCGTACAGCGTCCAGGCCTTGGTTTTGTTTTCGATGCCGACGAAGATGAATGGTTTGGCCTTGGGGTCGAGTTTTGCCCGCTTGTGCCGAGGGGTGGTGTGCCAGGCGCGGCAGCCGAATGCTCTCAGGTTTGCCGTGCTGGGAGGTTTGCCATACCAGATAGTGTCCGGGATTTTGTGATCGATGGCGCTGTGCGGGCTGAGGTTTTTGGTGTCAACAACGTACCGGAGGGCCTCGCGCCAGAGTGTCATGGGCAGTCCCGAGTGCTGGAGCAGGGCAATCGTCCCCTCGACGATTGTGCGGTTCGTCCGTTCGGCTCGGCCGTTTTGCTCCGGGGTGTAAGGGATCGTGAGTTGCCTGGTAATGCCGTGAAGAGAGCAGTACTCGATGAAGGCTTTGGACGTATATTCACCGCCGTTGTCCGTTCGTAACGTGCGGAGCTTGAGGCCCGTCGAGCGCTCGATCATGGCGTGCCAACGCTGGAAGGTGTCGAAGACCTGACTCTTGTTCCTCAGCGCGCTGACCCACGTCTTCCGGGAGAAATCGTCGATGAAGGTGACAACGTATCGTTCCCCATCGGTGGCGGGTTCGGGCAGAGTGAGGACGTCGGAGTGGACCAGTTCGAGTGGTTGCGAAGCGCGAGAGTCCGACGTTGGGAAAGGCGTCCTTGTTGCTTTGGCGGCTTTGCAGGTGTCGCAGGAGAAGGCCTTGCATTCGGCCGCCGAGTACGTCCATGTTTGACCTTTGAGTTGACCCGACGATACTGCCCTTCGCAGGTTGGGGAGGGATAGGTGGCCGAATCGTTGGTGCAGAGTCAGGAGAGGGATGGCGGCTGCTGCGACCGGTGACACCGTGCTGCGGATTGGGGTGGCGTCCAGTGTCGACAGTTGATTCGCAATGAGGGATGCCACACCTATGAGTTGACCTTGTGACCGGAGCTCGATGGTCTTGCCAAAGTGGGTGTAAACGCGCTCGCGGCGCAGCTGCATGACCGAGATCAGGTTGGCCGGAAGGTCGGGGACGTAGTAGACGTTGCAGAGCTTGATCGTTCGTTGTTTCGACGTTCGTATCGTGATCGAGCCGGTGCCTTGTGCCATGAGTGACCCACCAGCGCCATCGACGGCGACGTGTGACCGTGTGTGCCAGGCGTCGAAGAGACGCGTCCTTGACCATGTGGTGGGAGGCGCCCGAGTCGAGTACAAGGGTGTCATTTGGAAGGTGGAGCTCACGGTTCAATGGTAGACGACCTAGGAGTGCGACGACGTTCACGCTGGGCCGGACTGTCACGCTCACAGTCGAGTCCAGGTGCGACGTGTCAAGTTGCGTCATGGTGTGGTAACGGCCGGTCGCATGGGCGAGGGCGGTTTCAACGGTGTGGTACAGAGCGATGATGATGACGAACGCGATCATGATGGTGGCAAGTGACGATGGTGGTGAAGGCATCGTTGTAGCAGCTTTAGCTCGGGCTCATAACCTGTTAAGTCGTGTGTCTCGAGAGGGGACTGGATCGGCAACCAGTGAGTACACGAGACACAGTACGAGTGTTAGGAAGTAGTTTGGAGCGTTTGGATTACAACTAACCTGGATCGGCAACCAGTGAGTACACGAGACACAGTACGAGTGTTAGGAAGTAGTTTGGAGCGTTAGGGGGAAGACTAAAGAGGCTCGCGGTGCGAGTGCGCGAAATATCTCTAAGTCCAAAAGGGGTCCGAGCGGCGCGCGGCTGGCTAGGCTGGGCGCGGGCTGGAGATCGACCTAAGCAAGAGTGTATGGAATTCAACACCATTCAAGGTACATGCGGGCTCGGCAATTAGAAGATCCGTTGGCCGGAGTATTTAGTCTCTCTTCGTAGCCTTTTCCCTCTCTCTCTCTTCTTCTTCTCTTTCAGTTGTAATATTCGATCCATAGTGTTCCCACACCTTGACCCGAATCATCCTTCAGCACTCAATCCTCGCACTTCGCTGCAAATCTTCATCTTCCACGCACGCGCACTCAAAGTGCTATCAACGCTGGGCCTTTTGCGGTACAACGTTGGGTAGATCTTCCATCCCTCTCCTATCCTCTGATTGTTATTTCCCTGATTGGGTCTTGACTCTGACAGTCATGCATGGGCGATGCTCTGGATGGCCGATGAAACATGAGGGCGGTGATGGCAAGCTGACGGTGTCTAGGCGGAGGCAACGGCTCGGTAAGGACAGGAGAGGTAGATTGACAAAGTTCCGGCGTGGGAGGCGGCGGCGCGCGAGCGTGAGTTGAACAGGCTGGCGCGGGGCGGCGAACAGGGGCAGCGGCTTGGCTGCGAAGGCGAAGGCGCCGAGACGAAAAACGGCGAAGCGGCACAGGCGTGGTCTGACACGACGGACGCGGTGCGGGCTGGACGGACCAGGATGTGGACGGGTTGACTAACGGTGCACATGTGTCGAGGGAGCGAGACTGGTCGTGTGTATCAGGCCACGAGGCTCGGGTAACAGGGGGCGCGGCGAAGGCGCCGATGCGAAGGTGGTGGAACGGCACAGGCGTGGTCTGACACGACGGACGCGGTGCGGGCTGGACGGACCAGGATGTGGACGGGTTGATGAAAGGTGCACATGGGTCGAGGAACGAGGCTGGGCGCAAGCATCATGCGGCGAGGCTCTGAGGGACAGGGGGCGCGCCGGAGGCTCGCTGAGGCGAAGGCGCGCGGAGGCGAGGCGCTGAGGCGGAGGCGCGAGGCGAAAGGCGGACAAGCCCGTCAAACGGCGGCCCGATGTCGAAGTGTTCGAAGGCTTGACAGAATGCAATTCAACACCCCCCCTCGTTCGAACACTTCCAGAAGGGCACGAAGGGGTTGACAGAGTGGTGTGAAGCAAAGACGAGTGACCGGTGTAGAGGGACCTTGGCGACGGTGCGTGGCGACGTGGCAATGGGCGCTAGGCGAAGGTCGGACCTGGGACGGGCGAGTTCAGCGGACGATCGGATGGACGGCATGTTCTGGTGATGCGGTTGTCGACGATGGTGGCTTGGCTCTGGGGGACAGTGGGTGCAGCGGCTTGGGGCAGCGGCTGCGAAGCGTTGGCGGCGGTGTCGCGTGTCTGGGCGCGGGTGCGGTTCGGGCAGGCGCGGTTCGGGCTCGGACGGTTGGGGCGGCAGTGCGGCTTGGCTCGGGGGAGGCTCTCGGCGGACGATCAGTGTGAAGGCGTGTTCCTGTGACGCGTTCGTCCATGGTGGCGGCGAGAGTGGGGGTGACGGGGGTGGAACCAGACGTGTGTGCGTTGTCAGCGTGTGGTGCGGTGGCGTCGGCGGCAGCGTCGCGTGTCTCAGGGGGTGTGCGCTCAGCGGAGACGGTGGGTGCGGCGGGGAGGGACAGCGTGGGTCGGACAGGGCTCATAACCTGGTAGCTATGCTGACCAGCGCGCATACATGTTAGACGTTGTTATTCATGCTCGCTTGCGGTGTGACACGGAGTTGGAAGCAAATTCTGACCCCCCTCCCCTCGATTTGCGAGAGGGGACTGGAGCTCCTCCGCCGCTTCCAGGTCAGTCATTCTACTGTGGATCTCAACGATCTGATCTTAGTGATAGTTCAAGATTGCTTGATATTGAGGCTGACACTCTTGTGTATGCAGAATCTGTCCCACTCGCGCTCAAGGAGAGTTCGCCGGAGCTCGAAGAGAAGCCCTTGGGATCGCCCGGCATTGAATTTTGCGCGCCTACCCTCGTTCTGATTGACCCTTCGATCGGCACATTGTACACCTCTGAGCCCAATCCCGACGCTCAATGTACTTCTCCGTTGATTTCGCGAAGCCCGCGGCCCAACCCGGCACCGTCAATTGCAACGATTGGTTCGATGCCAGATGCGCCGCCAATGAGACTCCCGAGGGTCGTAAGGTTCGACCCTACTCCCCCTCTGCTGGTGTCTGAGGCACTTGAGGTCGTTGCTTGCTTGCCAAGGTATCAAACACGTACATTGGCCGTTCGGTCAATTGCCGCTATATCCAAAAGCGCCCCAAGCCCTTGCCGATCGAAGCGCAAGAGGGAAGAATCTTTTTTCAAAGCTGCGCGGCTTCGCTGAAGCCTTGCACTCAATGCCTGGCTCGCAATACAAATCTGATGTTGGAGTCAATTGCTCAAGGTATGGGCTCTCCCAAACTGCATCGGACCCTTCCTTGTCATCAGAACACTCACATTGGTCATGGTTTATCTTGAGCAGCTGCAAGAAGAGGAGTGAGGTCGTCGATCCTAAGCCGTGCCATTATGAGTAGAACGGAAGGATGTATATACATATATAATGAGATAATGATCGCGGCTAGTGACATTTGCGAGAACACTTGGTGATGTGCTACTAGCTTTGTTGGGACAGGTTCACGGATGGTTTGGAAAGGCAGTCAATGATCTTCCTTGTCCAAGTTCAAGCTGAGGCAGGAAATACAGCGAGGAATGCTATACAAGGTGTCCCACTCCATATGGACACATCCCGCAGCTCCGAGATAATTGATCGTCTTAGTCATTGTATTGCAGCCTAGGGTGGGGGGGGGGGTACTCGGCCGCGGCGTGGACGAGAGCCGGCCCGGGTGCACGCACGATTTCCAACTACATGGGGTGCTGGTGAGAGTGCTTCTTACTGAAGGTGGACGTACTTGGTGATCATGTAGGAGGGCTCGTCAAGCTTCAGGGTGATACATGGCATACTACACGAGATACAGCGGATTGCCCCGCTACGTGGTAGATGCACCATCCTTAATTGGTAAACGCACCTTTCTTCTGGGGCAAACGCACCAAACTTGCGCGAAGAATGCACCATTTGTAAGTGAACTTTGCACCTTACTACCTGGGTAGATGGGTCAAGCTTCGGGGGTAAACGCGCGCGCGTAATTGGTAATTCCACCATTTGCTCGCGGCATTAACCCATTTTCCATGGGGCATCGGGAATACCCGCCAGAGAGTTAATGCCCGGCGGGGGTTACCCGTCAGCTGGGTATTACCCAGGCGCGCTCGGAACAATACCCAGGTGAGACCTGGGTAATACCCATCAGAGAGCTTCAGAGAGGGTATTCCAAGAACAACCCGACCCTCAGTGAAACACTCCCGCCCGCCCGTCTTCAGGCCATCACTTCACCGAGCATCAAACCGTTGATCAGCCTCAACCTCCCCCGCCCCGACCTTTCGCTCAATCAATTTCACACACGGCCTCACCGCAACGTCATTCAACCGTGCTCGCGAACGACGAGTTCAACTTCGGAGTCCGTCCGCCGCCGTTCGTCGATCTCGGCTTTGGGACCCCTCATGCCCCTCAGGCACTGACCCATACATACGTGTTCCACCTACAGGGTTCTCCAAATCCAACCATGTCGTACCTACTAGATTCCTTACCCATCTCCAGTAGCGCGGGGTCGAGCGGAGAGCCGGCCCGAGCTCCTGCCCCACGAGCGGGGCGTCGGAGGCGGTCATCCAACAAAACGCGGCGCTTACCGACCTCGACTTCGGAGTCGGCCCTTTCACTTGAGGCCTATGTCACAAAACTCACTTTCGAGGATGTCGAAACCTTGCCCAAGACGAATAACAAGATCAAACCTTTCATCCTGAAATCGACAACCTCTAGCTCGACGACGACCACGCTCGCCTCGATTGGATCCTCACCGCGATGCGATCAGCCCAAGTCGAGGGCAGCGTCAAAGCCACAGGCCTCGTTAGATGGACGGATCGAAACGGCAACGACAAATCTCCCTGTGACAATCAAGGTCAGAAGCAGCAATGGGAACAAGGGCAAAACCCCCGGCCGACCCTTTTTTGTTCCTGCCGATCCTTTCGCAACATCCTCGAACCCGATCCCGTCAAAGCCACCTCGCAAACGATCGACGTCAACCGCTTCCCATGCTTCCGCCAAAGCCACCCTTCAAGCTATCGATACAAAACGACCTCCGGTCCCTAGTTTGCATCGCTCGAGCTGTAACATCTCGATGCACGACCTCGTGGCTTCGATCAGCGACCTCAAATCCATCGCTGCGACGATCGACACTCCGATGACGTCTACGGATGAGAACTCTGGCCCAACCCCGACGGCGGCCTATCACGAATCCTTTGCCCATGTCTCCTCTGCTGTCGTCAAAGTCGTTTCGTCCCCAAGTCGACTGAGATCGCGTACCCAGCCAATGCGGAGACCTTTGAGTGTACAGGCCCTATCTTCGACCCCACTGCGATCATCCCCAAAACCAATCCGGCGTGTCGCGCATGACGACGACCTGACATACTCGATCAACTCTTTACGGGGCCCCGCCAAGTCAATGACATACGATAACGTCTCGAGGTCAACGTCGAGGGACAAGAAGCCGTCGCGGAGGAGAGAAATGCCGATCGCGCTCGGATTTGCGGGCGAACCGATGGAGTACCGATCGATGCAAGAGGTGCGTTCGATGTTTATATTTCGTGAGAATTGTGATGCCTATCCCTCTTCATTGCTGACTTCCAGCTTCCCCTTGATCCAATAGCTGCTCGAAGCCTCGGGATTCAAAGACACCCGCGTCGTCACACCTGTTTCAAAACCCAAGCAAGCAAACCAGATCCCCGACTCTTCCCTCGGAATGCCCATCCCGGGACCTTTCCCTTTCTCGACCTCGCATTTGCAAGGTAACAACACCTCGTCGACCTTGGTCGAAGGGCTCTTGGCACCTTCGTCGCAATACTTTAGCAGTCCTTCGTCGTTGCACCCGCCTTTATCGAAGGGGCATAAATTGTCGATGCTGTCATTACGAGGCTTGTTCTCCCTCTGGAAAGCAGAGGACGAAGCCATCCCTTCGACCTCCCCACAAGCCCATCCCGAGGATCGGATCCCACGCCAAGGAGCTCACTCGAACGCAGCCGATTCAATCGAAGAAGCGGACCTCATCCAACATTGCGAGCATTCGACACTCTTTATAGAACGGAAAGCGCAGTTCTTGCTCAAGACACAAGCTTGGGTCGACGAAGTCGCTCGTGAGGCAGCGGCGTTGAGCATTTCCCCGGCGATGTTGAGGGCTTCTCTGCAGCCCAAATCGTTCGCTTCGATTGTAGCGCAGGAGGAGAAGGAGGAGCAAGGTCGAGGAATCGAGGCTCTGCATGCTTTGGGGAGCGATCTGGAGATACGCAAAGGATCATTGATGTCGTCGAGACATGAGGGTCTGGTGATGTCGCCCTCGTCGAATCACTATCAATCGTTCGGCGTCGCCGCACTTGGAATGGAAGGTGCCGAAGCGAGGAACCAATGGCTTGACATCGAGGCCCAACTCCGAGATGCGACGACATTTGAGGACGAGGATCTCGCCTTTGTCGGCGATCACTTACCTCGCCTACAGTATGATGATGTCGTCTCTGAGCGTGATGGTGAATCGACGCATCACACACCCCGTCGCCCACGGCAGATCGCTCAAGTGTGCCCCGTGCCACTCGGCTCGAACCCAACCGAGCCCCCGACATCACTCTGGGCAACCTTGCGAACCAAAGCATCGAATGCGATGCTCTCCCTCTACACCCCCGCCGCACCACCTCTTCCCGAGGGTGGTAAAGCCGCCGAAGAAGCTCGTCGCTCCGGAGCCCCGAAAGCGATTAGGAAAGCTGTTTCGACCTCAGCTTTGAAACCTGTTTTGTCGACGGGGATGTGTTTGGAAGGATTTGATAAGGGTTTTGATTGGGATCGGGCGAGGAGAAGTATTCAGGCGGTGCAGAGGGGCCCATAAGAGAAGAGATCTGTTTTTTGAGCGTTGGGGGTATTACTTGGTCCATTCTTCTTAACTATGGTACCGTTTTTTGTTGTTCCAATTACACGTCCCTCGTTCGGGAACAAACGATGTCCATCAACATTTCCCTTTCCCGGGATGCGAGACCTCTTTCACGTGGCGCCAACAGTTGAGCCTAGTACTTCCTAGCCACTGCCTAGCCTTGCCTAGTAGTCCTGCCTAGTTGTGCCACCAACGCGCCTCACGGATGGAGAAGATGGCCCACGCCTGTTTGGCTCTTGCGTGCATCGTGCGCCCCACCATTCATCGCCCCAGCACCATCCTCGCAGAATGCCAGCCACGACCTCTGACCCATCCAAACCGCTGTGGTCACTCCCGATCCGTGATCGACCACCCCACGGCTCCCTCCTGCGCGGTCTGATCTGGGCCTCCCTCTTCAACCTCGGCATTCTGCTCACCCACGTCCTGCAACTGCTCCTCTCCCCACTCCTCTGGCATCCTCGAACACGGTCCACATTCCACCGTTGGACCAAAGCGCCTTTCGGGAGGTTGTGTGTGTGGATCAATCAGGCATTCGCGCCTACGTCGTTTGTGATCAGTCGGGGAGCGGGTGAAGTCGGTGGTGATGGGGTCGAGGATATTGAACAATGGATCACAAGGGATAGCAGGGGTAGAGTCACGAAGTTGGACTTACCCAAAAGGGCTGTTTGGGTGAGTCTTGAATACAGAGAGTGGCACCGCTGGAACGCATGCCCTCCTGTTCTCGGCTCGGCTTGGCTCCAAGTGGGGCACCGCCGCTAGTGTGCCCAATTCGACCCCACTGAACTCATCCCCCATCCCTCCCTTCTCAACAGATCTCTAACCACCAAACCCTGTGCGACTGGATTTTTATCTGGGCCTTCACCTATCTCTCCGACCACTCCAACTCGGTCGTCATCACCCTCAAATCGTCCCTGCGCAAAATCCCCATCGTCGGCTGGGCCTGCCACTTCTACTCCTTCATCTTCCTCAACCGTAAATGGTTGACCGATCAGGAACCGTTCAAAAAACAACTCAGATCGACCGCGGATGATTTGAAGAATGGGTTGGGGGGAGATGGGGAGGAAAAGTTGGCGTTGTTGATCTTCCCTGAGGGGACGTTGGTCACGGGGAATACGAGGCCGATCTCGGCCAAGTTTGCCGAAAAGATGCAGAGTAAAACTTCCTGGCACAGGTACCGATTTCTTTTCTGTGCCTGACTTAAATTCGCTTTATCCCCTTCTGCCCAGTCCAAGATTTCACCCACGTACTCCTCCCTCGCTCCACAGGCCTCTTCTACGCCCTGCGCGAACTCTCCCCTCGCATCCCCGATCTCCATCTTGTAGACCTCACCATCGCTTACCCCGGAACACACGTCCCCACACCCCAAGGTTTCAAACCGACCTGGCCCGAAGATTTCTACTCCCTCGGAATCTGGTTCCATGGCGTTCCACCTCCTACGATACACCTTCATATTCGCGTGTTCGAAATGGGTAAGATCCCTTTAGGTGCTGGTGGGAAGGTGGAGGAAGAGGACGAGGAAGAGAATCGGAAGATATTTGATGAGTGGTTGCGTGAGAGATGGGGTGAAAAGGACGAGTTGATGAAAAAGTTCGTCAAAGAAGGGTCCTTCACAGGTACGAAGAAGGAGGAGATGGGGAAGCGAACAAAGAGTGTCGAATGGCCTGTCGAAGTGAGAAACCCCTTTTGGGAAATTCCCGGAGCGTTTTCGTTCGGATTTCCCGTCTTAGCTCTACTGGTATTAACGGGCCTATGGAAGGGATGGTTCTTCGGGGGAAGTCACGGGGAGATGCTGGAGAAGGTCTCGAGACCTTGTTGCGCTGAAGCGGCAAAGAAAGCATTGGAGGCGAAGAAGGCACTCAGCGGGGAGCTTTGAAGAGGTGTGGTGTTTGTGGGTTTGTCGCTTCTTAATTTTTGGGAACCCTAAGTAAAATTTCAAGGGTATACCGAGATTAGAAGGGTATTGTCAATCGCTTGTGCCTATCAAAATCGCCAAAAAAAGTCCCACTCGGAACCGAAAAAGTCCGAAACAGAGAGCCTTCAATACTGCTCAACCGCGTCCAGGGTACACAACGGGAGACTGAGGTTCTTGAGTTGCTTGTTACTGTCAAATAAGCCCCAGTAAGGCTCGACACCACCGAGGTAGGATTTCCACTATGGGAATGAACGAGCGAGAAAGGGTGGGAAGGCTCAGCCTGGCTGCGCATGAGACGGTGCAAACAGAAGATGGACTTACAGGTTCGTCATAAGCCGAAGCGAAGAAATACTCTTTAAACGTGATCCGGTCGAATTTAGCTTCATTTACCAATATATGCTGAGCAGGAACTCTCACTCACTCATCCGTCGTTGATTCGCCTGACACACGAACCCGTCTAACAAATTCTGCAAACCCTCCACGCCCGGAACCGCAGGCGTATACGCCATCGCCGGGTTGACCAAAGGGAGTGCATCGGTCGGCCAACCAATTTGAGTGACGAAGGAAGCAAAGTGGGGGTGTCGAGGTGTTGTATGGACGCCTATTTTGGGAAGAACTTGGGTTTTGTAAGTCGAGGTGATCCAGGTGGAAGCTTGGAGAGAGGGGATGCGGTTGAACACCGGCTGCGTGTTGGCCATGACGACTGGTGGAGACAGGAAGAAACGGAGAGGAATCAGGCATCAGAATTTAGCTAGAGGATGAGGTTGAAAGGCATACAATCGACACCAGCAACAAGTTGAGGCGAGATAGAGAAAGCGTCCTCGGCCGTCCCGACAGGGACAGTTCGATTCAAAGGAAGATCATTCAAGCGAGCTTTCAACTGTCCGGCGTTCGACACGTCAACAGTCAATGCTTCAAACTAAGCTCCTTGGAAGATTTTTGACCAACATCAGAGACATGGTTGATGAGAGTTTGCGTCGCTCGTTGTCGATTCGCGGAGTGGAGGACGTAGCTGTGCTCAGAAAGATGGCAGCGAACGACGCGGGTCAGTTATATGGCGTGATGGAAACACTCCGACCGCGATCGAGTACTTACTCGTTTCCCACAACAATACCACGGACACCATTACCACCAAAGGCTCGAATCGCGGCCCAAACGGTTTGTCTAAAGGAACCGATGGAGAGAACTCTGAAGGTCAGTTCCAACTGCTGGCTAGCGCAAGCTAGCCTCATCTTCATCGTTCGGGTTTACAGCGACTCACTTTTGTCGTTCAATCCGCGCCTGATCTTTCCCAAGTCCGAATCCAAAATAAACTCCCATAAGAACTTTGGTTTCCCTAATCGCCTGCAAAACCATCTGGGACTGATTACACGCCACATCGACCAACCTCAACCTCGTCGTCAATTGGGATAGCAGTTGCACGTCCTCGGTGACGTTCAATTGCGAGACGAGGCAATTGGGTTCTTGGGCCTGGTAAGGGGTGTAGGTGAGACCGTAGAAGGAACGGGTGAGGCGTGGGTCGGGCTCGAATTGGGAGGGGTCGGAAGGCTTTGAACGGACGACTTGGGCTGTGGCGGGGATGGGGATGAAGGGTGGGGCGGTCAGATTGGTGCCGTCGATCGGAGTGCCAGAGCTGAAGCTAGCATCGTCGGAGGGCCATCGGTTTGCGCGTGGACCACTTTTGGTGAAGTGCCAGCCGGCGATCCCACCCGCGATCGCACTGGGCAGAGACAAGCGGCGAAAAGTGGAAGGCGCAAGAAGACCTCAGCTTTGGTTCCACTCTCCTAGCTCGACGTCACCGCACGATCATCCAACACATCGGACACTCACCCAGCAATTAGGAAACTGACAATGAATGCAACATACAAGAAACGACGATGCGCTTTCCTCTTTTGATTCTGCGCGGACCAAGGGTTCCTCTTCTCATCCATCGGAGCCTGCATCTCAGCCTCCTTCAAAACGATCGAGGAAGCATCGAGGCGACTGTAAGGCATCATGTGGGAAGAATAGAGAGCCGAGAAAGGTCGGGGTGGACTGGGTGGGGTCATGGCAACGGCCCGAGGCGGTGATGGGGGTGAGAAGAGTGCTGTGGAGTGCAAAGGAGTGTTGAAGTCGATGAGGGACCTGAATTCGCATTCACCCCCTGTCTTGTCGGAGTAGGCTGCCGATGCAAAGTTATTACCTCGGTTCGAAGAGGGCATCTTGCTGGACGGTACTGTTATGGAGAGGACGCTCGCACGACTTTCGTCGATTCAAGAATACTGATCCGAATGGAGGAATGACGGCACTGAGATGACCCCAATATTGTGAGGACAGAAGAAGAGTGAGGTGTCCAGCTGGCTGTTATGTGGCAAGAACCCAAAAGACTTCATAGGTGTCCCACCGGGGAGAAGCCTGATATCACATGGTGGAAGTTCTCATCCGCTATCGGAATGTGAGTTGCAATACATGAGCTTACGAATCGAAGCCCTCGAAGAGGAAGACGAGGAAGATACCGTCATCATCTCGGACCTGGTGAGGGAATGTTGGGTTCATTCCGCCGAACACTCTGCCTCGAACGACCCATCTTCCGAATTCCAAATGATTCTGGTGCCAAATCTGGATCCAAGTGTATGACGTGATTTAGACCCTCAATTCTCTGTCGGCCCGAAAGGGAAGATCCGTGTTCGACTTCAAGCGAAAATCCCGACCCCAATCGAGGCACTATCGAAGCCTACTGAAGCACTACTGAAGCAGACCGAAGACGTCGGCGCGCCCCACGAACTCCCACCGAATCGCCGCTTGGACTCGTGCAAATCACGAGGAGCGCGCCCAGCCCTTCGCCGACCTAGAAGACGAACGAAGCAGCCCATCAGCATGTCCCTAGCGCGATCGTGCGGTCATTTGGCACGTCTTACCGGTGTGAGATCAACAACATCTACAGCACCCTCTTACATCACACGGCCGACAGCAAGCCATCGATCAATACATGCGTTCGCACCGACCGCACCTCGTTCGTTTTCCTCAGCCTCTCGCACGGTTCCCCGTGTCGTTTCTGGCTCAGCTGACCCCTTTCTACGGTGTTCTACAGTGCTGAAGAAGAAGACAGGCAAGAAAAACGCTGCATCAGCCGTTTCCGATGCCTTTGACGCCGAAGAGTTCGAGGAGGACCTGATCGACGACATCGACAGCGAACCCACGACCACCTCCAGCTCCAACAACGGTAAATCAGCATCCGACTACCCTTCCTTGCACGCCTACCTCTCTAAACGCCTCGAACTGCCCCACTTTGCCTTCAAATCCAACATCCCTTCCGTCTCGGCCGTGAAAGGGTTGTTGCACCTCACCGCGCGCGACGATCGCTCTAGGACCTTACAACTGCTTAGACTGTGGCGTCAACGCAACCTTCCTTACCCCAACAGCGAAACCTCGTCCGAATTCGTCCGTTCCTGGACAAAAATGAACGAGATCGAAGAGATGGTTCAAGTGCTCGCGCAAAGGGATCTCTACGGTTTAGGCCTGGTCAAACCCGGGGACTTTGTCAACGCGTTGCAGAAGTTGACCACTGTCGAGGGGGAGGTCGCGGATGCAAAGACCTTGATGCCCAAATTGGAAACAGCCAAGACGATCCACGAACTCTTGAGGCTCGAAGGCGTGAATGATCTCGCGGCCGTTGTCTCGACACTTGTTATGGCATTGCGATTGAACGAATCAAAGGTCGTGAGGCGAATGCCGGCCTTGATCGACGATCTCTTGGCCGAGGTCAGGGAGATGAACCCGGAGGATGCGGTCAAGAGTCTCAAGGGTGTACCGGGGATAGAGAGACAGGCGTGGGTTGTGAAGCAGATCCAGGAGTGTCAAAACAGGGTTGCCGAGCCTAAAGACCGAGCCGTATTGGGCAGGATCTTGGACAAGGTGCAGAAGTGATGTAGGCGATGATGAAGAAGGATTGCAATGTAGTGGTATTACATAAAGGCAAATTCAAAGTCTCAAACTTCCTCATCCGTCTTGGCTCGCTTTGCCTCGGAAGCTGCGGACCCTTCATCGACCCCTTCAATCGCGGCGTCTGCGATGGACCGTTTCGGTGACCCGTGCACCGACTTCTCGTCATCCGTTTCGATCAACACGACCCTCGACGGCTTTCGGATCCATCCTTCGCCTTCAAGAGGTGGGGCCTCCCTCGTGGACCCCAGCCGCGGTGCCATCTCCATCTCCACCTCTACCCCCTCCATCTCCTTCTGTCCCTCCGCTGCCGTACCTTCTTTAACCTTCTCCCCCACTTGCTGTGTCGTTTCGGGCGAGGTCGGTTCCTCCGGTGCTCGATTCGTATCCTCAATAGCCTTGAGCAACAGATCCAAATCGCCTGCCTTGATCTTGTTGAAGAGGTTCAAATGCTGCAATGACGCGGCCCTCGTCGCTCGCCAATGCAATGAATACAGACGCAATTCATGCTGTGTTGACATGAACCACACTCAAGTTCAGTCCACCTTCCTGCAGATATTATATAAGTGTGATCAGGACCCACCTGCTTAACTTCCCCCTTCACCTCCTCCTTCTTGACCTTGTCCGTCGACTCGTCCTCCATCACCGCCTTCTTGCTTTTGATCATCTTCTCACACCTCTGCCATTCAACCAACAACGAATCGAAATCGTCCCTAGGTAAATCCAGTTCATAATCCTTCAACGTCGTCAGATTCCTTTCCCAAAGTCTGGAAAGCACGGGATTCCCGAGTTTGTAAGGGTAGTTCTTGGGTTTGCGGGAGAGGGTAACAAGTTTGGAGCGCGCGGTTTTCGAGACTTGGTCGATAGGGAGCGGGGAGAGTTCGAAGGGTTTGCAGGATTGAAGTTTCCAATTGATCTGTTAAAAATTCGCTCAAAGATCATCAGCACATGCTCATTCTTCACCTCGTGAAAGGATTACCCCTCGCGACTCACCCAATGTTGTTCCCTCTTGAGCATCACTTCGATCGCATCCCTGAACCTTCTCCCATGTTGCATCGCATCCAACTCCCTCACGGACCGCTCTCTCAAATCCCTCAGCCATTTCTCATGCTTCGCCCCCACTTCATGAGGTCCATACACAAGCGTATTTGTCACGCCATGGCTTAGGGTCCGTATTCGTTCTGGAGGGGTGAGGGATATGAGGAATTGGAAGAGGATGAGGAATTGGACGAGGATCTGGCGACGGAAAGTCTGGTCCGCGAGCTGTAACGGAGCAAACGTTTCCCAGGATCAGTAGTCAACTTGGCAGATCCTGGGGCGTGCTTCGATGCTCGACTCACTTCGAGTTTGAGCAAGTTCCGACTGGTCAAGAAGCGCGGGAAGAAGTACTCCCCCAGCGCCTCTTCATCAACCAGACCATCCGTCACCATCGCCAAAGTCAGAGCCTTCCCATTCGCCACGACCTTGGTCGGATCCGTCGCAGCCCCAGTAAGATTTTTTTCCTTCTTGGTCTCGACGGCGAACATGTCGAGCGTCTTGGATAGCTGCAGTCGGAGCTCGTCGAGCGCGTCCGGTCCTCGCACAGGTGGAGGAGAAGCGACGAGCCCGACTGGGTCGGTGAAGATCCTCTGGAGGCTCCAGAAGATTGGGTAGAACGAATCGACTTTGTCTGTGGGAGAGTACGCAAGGTACGAGCTGTGAGTACATGGGTCGTCACTGGTCTTTATTCCACGCAGTCTGCTCACCTTCTTTGACCTCCGCCGTCGGCTCCGTCTCCTTCTCCTGGTCCGCGGCCTTTTGACGATCTTTCCCGTCCTCCTCTTGCTCTGGATCTGTTTCCTCCCCATTCTCTCTCCCCTCCTTCTTACCCTCTTCCTCCCCCTTCCTCCCCGCGTCCTCATCATACAACGTCTTCTTGCCTGTGTTAAAGTTGCCCCTCAAATTGACTCCACTCTTCTCACTCAACGGAAAGACCGAACTGAGGAAGACGAGGATCCGACCGCTGAAAATGACGTGCTCTTGTTTGGAGCGGGGGAGGCGTCGTAAGAGTTCGTTGAGCATACGGAGGATTATGAGGCCTTTGCCTTTGCCTGGGACCATGTCCTGGAGATGAGATTAAAGGAAGGGATAAGTCACGGCCTCACTGCCAATGGCTCACCTTCCTTCGCGTGGCGCTGGGATTCATTCTACTGACCTTTGTCAATCGTTTAGACCTAGATTCGATATAGAGCCATGTGCTCTCGCATTGCGAGATGGTCTGCATGTCCAACAGCGCCGAGATAGCATTCAGAGGGCTCACGACGTCCGTGTGGCCTGTTTGTGAGGGGGTTTCGGATGCGACGCTTAGTGCTTCATGTTTCATTTGATTATCTGCTGCAATCTCACCTCTTTCCGAAAAGGTTTGCATCAAATCCAACAGGTCGAACTGCAGCGCCGGCGAACCGGCCACGGAGTCGACGCTTGACCAGGCCTGATGCACACAAGGACTCATCATCAGCTTCCCCCACCAACCTTCCAAAAGATTTTCAAGCACCATACGCTTACCGTATCATGCAATCTCTCCTCCAAGCTCCTCTCCAACGCTTGCCTTACCACCTCATTCCGTCTCCTCAGTCTCTCCCCATCTTGCGCCTTCTCATCCTCCGCAATCAATCCCTGCAGACGACCAACCACGCCATCGACCAAGCGACCCATCGTTTGATCATCGATGGGATCGGTGATGGGATCGATCGTTCGGGTCGGTTCGTGGCGTATCCTTTCGAGGGTGGAGAGGGCCGAGCTGAGGTGCGATTCGAGCGAGGTTCGGAGGGAGGTGTAAATGGACATGATGGCCATATGTTCCTTCGGTCTTGATTAAGTGTAGAACGAGACACTCGAAAACGGCCTCGATAGAAGGAGAAGGAAGCGCGTTTGACGTCGAAGTAGGACAGTTGGTGCAAGCTCAACGGGAGAGGGGAGGAGAGGGGCTGAGAGGGGTAGAGAGGGGTGGGGCTGCAGTTTGGTACGCCGTCCACAACTCTCAGTCTCTCTCAGTCGACTCTCAGTCAACTCTCAGCCGCTCTCAGCCACTCTCCGACTCTGCCACTCAGTCGCTCTCAGTGTCCCTCAGTCAATTCCCCGTATCTGTCAGTAGTTCTCAGTACGCTCGATTCACTTCCACAACGAATGTACACGACTAAACCATGAAACGTAGAAAAGGCGTAGTGCTTGAACTATCATGAACTCTATTTTCCTCAGCAAGATGATGAGTCACACCACTTCCGTTTCAAATTCCCCCACCGCGTACCTGCGCCCCGACCGCCTCCAAAGCATTCCTGATATCCTCCACCAAATCCTCCTCATCCTCCAACCCGACCGAGCACCTAATAAGTTCCCCATCGATACCCAACTCCCTCCTCCTCTCCACGGCAACCCCACCATGTGTCATCAACAACGGCGCTTCGATCAACGATTCGACGCCTCCCAAACTCTCAGCGAGGGTGAAAATTTTGAGTCGACGAAGGAAGGCGTCCGCTACACCGGTTTCGGTTTGGCTTTGGGCGTGATTCGAGACGATGTGGAACGAGACCATACCTCCGCTGGGGAAACCTCGAGGACCATCCCTGGAGAAACCTTGCTTCGTTGCCCATCGTTGCGCAGCGGTTGAGAGTTGGGCCCACGCCAATTCGCGCTCGCGCTTCTCGCCTCGTGACTCGACACTTCGCTTCAAGCCGGGGTATCGTACATCTCGAACGAGCCCGGCGGGAACGGCTTCCTCCACGAGATAAGTCGCGAGTGCAAGGGCGTTCAGACCATGTTGGCGCGAGCGAACAGCGAGCGTCTTGAGCGAGCTGCGTGAGGAAACGTCATGCCTCGTCAGCTTAAGTGAAGCAAGTCGGCATAGATCAATAAAACGTACCGAATGATCAACCAAGCATCGAACGGGCTAGGCACGTTCCCGTACGCATTCTGCAAGAACCTCAACTTGCTCAGGATCGTCGGGTCCGAGGTGATCGCGAAGCCCGAAATCACATCGCTATGACCGCCGAGGTACTTTGTGCCCGAATGAGTGACGACCGTCGCGCCCAAGAGCAAGGGGTTCTGGTAATAAGGGTTACCGAAGGTGTTGTCGATAACGAGGGGGATCGAATGCGCTTTGGCGACCTGTGCGAGGAGGGCGATAGGAACGAGGGAGAGCATCGGGTTCGTAGGGGTCTCGGCCCAGATGAGTTTGGTATCAGGTCGGACCGCCTCTTGGACCCGCTTGACGATCGCGTCATCCTCCTCGCGCTGAAGAGCTTCCTCTTCGGCTTCGGACAGAGGTTGAACAGGAGATTGGTCTTGGAGGCCGTAGGCCATGTCGACGAACGTCGTCTCAACTCCACTTTGGACGCTCGCGACTTGAAGCATGTACCGAGACGTGCCGCCGTAGACGTCACCGACCCTGCGCGATTGGGTATCCCGAGTCAGCTCATGCCGCCGGTTCTCCTCGAACCCTCACAGAGGTTACTAGACTTACGAAACAACATGACCTGCCTGTCCGGCCAACCCACTCACGACCGTAGCCGTCGCCGCACTGCCCGAAGCAAACGCAACCGCCGCCGGACCTCCCCCGAAACTCTTACTTTCAATCCCCTGCGCCCTTAGATTCTTCTCCAAAGCGATATCGGCCTTTCCCTCCAAACTAGCGACAAGCCTCTCCAATGCCAAACGAGTAGGGTTGGAAGACCGACTGTATTCGAAACCCTTTGAGGGTTGACCGGCCGCAGATTGGGCGTAGGTCGTGGAGAGGTCGAGGGAGGGGACCACACCGGCGCTGGAGGAGAGGTATGGCTCGGAACCGATGTGGATTGCGCGCGTTTCAAAGGACGGCTGCGAAGACGAGGACTTGGTGGGGGCGGAAGAGTGGCCGTTCGTGTAGGATGATCGGTGGAGATCGAGGGGCGACATGCTGGGCTGTGGTCTGTGTGTGATGGTGAAGTGACTTGACCGAACGAGGGGAGTGGAGGCTGGCAGCTAGAAGGGTCTGTGCGAGTGAGCTAGGGACGGATGGAGACGAGACCGAGATGAATCCGACTATGCCGGTGCGCTTTGCTCGTGGCTAGGTGCTAGGTGTGTCTGATGCGATAGGTACAGGCAATGGAAGGAGAGAGAGAGAATCGGAGAGAAGAATAAGTGAAACGGACGCGAGTAGTGGCGGGGGCGAGCGATGCTGAACGAGGATGACAGAGCGGACGAGAGGAGTGTGCCTGTCTCTTATCACATCATCGAGCGGAGGAGCTGTCGTGACCGCCAGTTGACCGCCAGTGACCGCCTGTGACCGCCGAGCGACTGCCGAGCGAGGCCGAGCGGCGGGAATTAGTCAGCTCGTCGCTCCGATTCGGTAAACCGCGGCGCTGGGTTGTCGGCGACCAGGGAAACAGTGTCTTTTGTAACGATTGTTGCGCACAACGAGACTAGGTAGGTATAGGCAAGTCTAATAAACAGAGCAAGAGTAGATAGCATATAGGGTGAAACACAAAAACAAATCAAAAATACACCAATGACAGCGTCCCGAACCGGTTTACCGTTTCAGGTCAACGCCGCCGCCGCCGCCTCGTACCGCGCTCGTCGAGCCGCCAATCCCGACGGAACGCTCGCCGAAGTCCTCAACGAGGTCGGCGAACCATCGGTACCGCTTCGGCTATTGGAACGCACAAACACCCCCCACGACCCATCGTCGTATTGACGAATGGTTTGGCGAGCGAAGGGGAGTGCACACGCGCAGGAGACGACGAGAGCGAGGCTGAAGGTGAGCTCGGCTTCCGAGCGGGCAAATCTCGGTTGCCGACGGGCAGCAGGGGTTGCGAGACCGAAGTTGTCAGAAGGGCCGTCTTGGCCCCGAATCTTGGTAGAGGCTTGACAAGATGGACCTGCAACACGACAGGTACCTTTTTTGTCAGTTTACAGCAGAACACCACATGTCCGAAGCATTTCCTCAAGGACGCACCTCTTCCTCCAGTTCCTCAACCACATTCGCCACCGCCGACCATTTCCTCGCTGCATCCGAAACCGCCCCTTCCCTCCCAGCCCTCATCGCTTGATAGCTCAAACCATTCGCACTCGCGAACGACCCCATCGTGGGCGAAGAAGGCGGTCGCGTAAGGTCGCCTTCAAGCCAGCTCGATTTAGTCGGCGAGCGTCTCGCCTCCAAAGGGAAATCATGCTTGCTCGACGATCGACAAAGGTAACTCCCCGAACGAACGAGGCGATTGTTCTTGTGGTTCACGGACTCCATCGTCGATTCGAGGGCTTTGAGGACCGTGATGGATTCGGATCGCTTGAGAGGGGACGCGGGTCGTACGTTCACGGGCTCGGAGCGGGTCGATTGATGGCCTGCTCGAGTCGAGGCGCGCAGTGACCAAGGTGAGATGCTGGCCGGCTTCGAAGGTGACGAAGTGCTGGCGGGTGGATGAGAGCGCATCAAGGGTGACTGAGGTCGTTCATCGCGAGCCGAAGGGAGGCCTTTGACCTGTGGGTCAGGCGCCATCTTCGGCGAACTTTGCAGCCAATTGGCAACTCGGGACACCGCATCTTTCTTGAGCACTTGCATCTCGGCACCGTCAACGACCTTGCGTCCATTCTCGACGGGCAAGATCAATTGCTTCGAAGTCGTAGGCCCGGGTGTACCGCTAGCAGTCACACTGAGTCCAGCCAAGTTGTTAGCTACGGGCTCGGCATCGTACGTGTTGCGATTGCGAGATTTGAACGTGGGACGTCGACGCGGCGTCTCTGGTGAATTAGGAGCCGCCAGCGTGGCTTGAGGAGGAACGACGGCCTCAGGCGTAGCCACTCGCGGAGGTTCGGGTTGTGATGGCGATTCCCGAGCTGGTTTAGGCGCGACCTCGACTGGTTGTGCCTGACGAATTGGCTGAGCAGGCTCGGGCCTACGCTCATCCGCGACTGTCTGCGTCGTCTCGACGTGGTAAACCACAGGCGATCCGACCGTATCCTGACGAGCCCTCGGCGGCGGGTACGCAATTCCGGCCCTTGCCTTCCTGACCGCTTCAACCGTATCATCTACCTCCATCCCATTCCCAGCCGAGATCGTCCTGACCCTCCCACTTGCCTCCGCGACCGAGACCGAATGAACCTCCGGCGTAGCAGGTCGACTGAGGCGTTTCTCCAATGCGGACAGACCTCCTTCCGCCCGGGGGAACCGAGGGAATGCCAATCCCCGGCTCGGCGATTTACTTGGACTTGGAGGGCGACTCTCGAGTTTGGCGTCCTCGATTGGGGCGGAAAAGATGTCTTGCGCCCTTGGCGTTGACCTCGGTGGTGACTTGGGTTTGATCTGCGCATCGGACGGCTCGTGCTGTTTGTGATCTGCCGCAGCGGACGTCCTTCGATCCTCCTCATCCACGAGATCCTCCAAATTCTGCGCAGAGCTTCTTGTAGGCATGATCGCCATTTGACCATGAACAGATCGAACAGCTTCGTCATTCGCCTCACTAGGACCCTTGAGCGCGTTCACCACTTCGGGTTTCATCGAGCGCGCAGTCCCCGCTTGACTTTCCCCATCCTCCCCAATCGTCTCGAGCAAACCGGTTTCGGAGGAAGTCGACAGTTGTTGGACCGATCCATTACTTATCGTCGTCAGTGCAAGTAGTGGAGAAGACCACCTCGCCGAAGGTGCAGAAGGTGGAGGAGGCGTTGAACGAGCCGTGGATGATCCCGCCGATCCGGGCCGATGCGTCGAAGGTGCAGGCGAGTTGGAAGGCTCAGGGACCGACGTCGGAGCGTACTGGTCCCACGTCGAGGGAGGGGTCGCGTAGTTGAGGCCATACGTCGAGGCGCCTGCGTCTGTACGTTGATTCGTAGGACATGAAGGGATAGCCGCAACATGCGCTGGGCTTTGCTCGTTCGGGGCTGGCGATCGACGGGGCGGTGGAATTGGTGAGCCCGCGTTCCCGTTCGAGGGTAGCACCATAGGGTGGAAGCCATTGTAAGGAGGTCCAGTAGGGATGGGAGGCAATGAATGTGCCGACAGCGGTCTCGGCGGCGGAGCGTACGGTGACGGGAAAGTCTGCCCATTGACATTGACAGGCGGTGGTGGCGCCAAAACGGCATAGTCGCCCAGATGCCCATTGAACGAGATGGACGAAGACGGACGCGGTGGAAGAGGTTGATGGCGGCTCGAGACGGTCGAAGCAGGTGTAGGAAGCTGCTGTTGGTTCTGGTGCGCCAGATGATCGCAGAACCGAGAATGCGTGAGATCCGGCTGATTCGGGTTCACACCGACGTAGAGATCCGCCGCAGACGGGGAGGGTGGGATCCCATAATGCTGCGACATCGATTGAGGCGTCATGTACTGCTGTTGCGAGAGGCCGCCCACGAACGGTGACATGAATCCAGGTCCTGGCGAAGGCGAACTGCCAAAGCTGACGACAGATCCTGATCGTGACGGGTCCCCTCCGACCTCGTTGAGGTCGACGAACGATCCTGCCCGTTCTTGCGCGTTCAAGAATCCGACAGGTGAAGGCGAGAGGGCAAGGTGAGGCTGATGAGATGCGGGAGGTGCAGTCTTGGAATCGGCTTGCTCGCGAATGAAAGCATGCGCCGAAGGTGGGAGTGAATGGGGGTGCGCAATGAAGAGGGGTAGCTCGACCGCAAGATCGCTCGCGAGCAGTCCACCGTCGGCTTCGATTTTGACGAATGCATCCAGTTCAAACAGCTTGCCCTTGCGTACGGTGATACCTTCTTCCCTCGGTAGATCGACAACAATGACACATTCGCGCTCTTCGCCTGGAGGGAACGCGAACTCGGCGCCGTGAAAGCTTTGGCTCGTAATGACGGCCGTGACGATCGGTGCTGGGATCATCGGCTCTTGACCCTCGGGATAGATGATGCGTAGTCGTCGGCAGATGGACACTTTCAGATCAGAGACCTGCGTTTGTCGACCTCTCAAGTCAGCTCAGTTGCCCTCACCCCCGCGTGCAACTCGTTACTCACATGCTTTTTGGTCCCATTCTTGACCCTAGCCTGGATCGTAATCCGGCCCTTGCCAATCGCACCTAATTCCGTATCGCGGCGCCAAAAGAGTCTGACAGGCTTCTCATCCCAGTCCCCTTTACCCACACTGCACGTTACATCGAGCTTGCCTTCCCCACCGAGTCGTAAGCTCGCCGCCGCTCTTCCCTCTTTGGCGTCCCACCATACTCCGGCTTCCCAATCGGCCCACTGAGAGTCACATCCCAGAAAACAGACAATCAACCTCACAAGCTACTGTGTTGGGTCCTCGATCATGACTCACCCTTTCCACGACGGGGACAGGACACTTGACGGATCGAACGTCGACGCTACCGCCGAGGACAGAATTGGCAAAAGCTCGAAGCTCGTAGCGCATCGTCGCGTTCGTCCCAAGCGTACATGACGAAGGCGCTTCTTTGGGAAGTTTGAAACTGAACTTGAACTTGGTCTTGCCTTTGAGCGCGGGGTAGTACCCCTTGTGGCCGTTGATGGGTTTCGAGCCGGGCACGACGGCGTTGGAAGGGGGTAAGGTTCCGCCTTGGAAGTCGATGCGGGAAGAGAGGATTCGTCTTGTCGAGGTGTGATTTTGAGATCGCAGTTCTAAAAGATGTGAATGGGTGAAATATGTAATAGTCAGTGCTAGGTTCCTGCTCCTCGCCTGGACCGAATCATGTCAAGCTTGCGGAGTCAAGTCGGGCCGGCTCGAAGCACAAGCGGTAGCCGCCCGGAGATGTACAAGCGCGCAGAAACCCATCCACGATGATGAATGTCGTGCCCTGTAGCCTTTTCCCATTCATGAGCCTGTGGTAGCCCAAGAGGGCATATGACGCGTGTTGGACTGGATGAGCCGACGAGTTGAATGACGATCGCAGTCGACGCGTCGGCGATTCGTGGGGGATCGCTGTCCATCCCTCGCATCGTGGCGAGCGTCCATAGACCGTGATTTCACCGGTGGTGATCATCCTTGCAACTCATAGTGCGTCGAATCCTTGCCCAGATAAGCACCGAGCTCGATCGCAAGCCGTGCATCGCAGCGCGTCGCTCGATTCGTCCGTCCGTTCGGCTGCAGTCCTCGTCCCTCCCTCCGCGCCAAGACCTTGCAAGAAACTGACCTTCAAACCCCGTAAACTCGACACCCACCTCCCCCAGCGCCAACAAATCCGTGGCGACCCCGACCTCCAATACCCCCCTCACCGTCTCCCCAGCCAACCACCAGCCCGGATCGATCGCGATGTTGAGCCTGAGCACACTGTCGTTCAGCGTCCCCGTCGACGACGGCGAAAGCGGCAAGGAGGACCCCTTACCCGCCTCGGAGCGATTCACCGCGTTCGTCGATGATGATGATGAAGCGTGGGCTATACCTCGTTCGGTCATCGAGTGCATCAACGCCTTGGGGAGACCCATGTTCAGAGTGGGGTTCCGTCGGGGTTGTTCGAATTGGTCTTTGATCTCCGAGTCGTGAGTCGAACAACCGCGCGCGGCCGAAAGGGACGAGCCCAACCCGCGTTTCGGAACTCGCCGAACGGCGATGGTCCGTGCGCACCATCAACCACGTACGGGCGACAGTTTACGGGCGACAGTTTTTCAGGCGAACAACATCAATTTGTTTTTCTATACAACAACGTTGCAATGCAACCAATCCCACTATGCACACCTCAAACATAAAACGCCTCGACCTCTTCCAAGACCTGCCCCGCCTGATGTCGCACCAATCCATCCTCGTCCGTGCCCTTGACGTACTCCAGAACAACCCTGATCCTCCCTAAATCGACATCCCACTCGTTTTCTAGTTCATTCCGCACCTCCTTCTTGGCCTGTTCTGCCGAAACAAAGACGTCCTTCGAAAGGATGATGGGGTTCTTGATGCCACCCGTTCCAGAATTGGGCATCTTCATTCCTCCTTTCCCGAAAGGCCTCTTCTCGTCATAGCCCTCCTCATCCAGCCCCTCTTCTATCGCTGCATACTTCAGCTTCTGGATCGACCTCAACGTCAATGACAAAAACAACAGCGCGGACCTTCTGAAAGCCGGATGGTTCGTGTCCTTCGAGGTGGGATCGGGCGTCTCTTCAGGTCGTTTATTTTTGTCCGCGTTGTCCGAGGCCGTCTTGAAAGGGTTCGGTAGCCTCGCCGTTCTTTCCTCCTCATCGTCATCAGAACTAGAATCCTCCTCCTCGACTTGTACCTGCCTCTTCTTCCTCAGAGGCCTCGACTCGATACTCAATAACGTCAAACACGCCTCCACAACCACCCCAACCCATCCCTTGACAGCCTTAACCTCGACTTCAACACAACTCGCCAAAACAGTCAATGCCGAGCTCCTCAAAGGCGTCGGCAAGTCCCGTCCTCTCAAAACCACCAACAACGTCGGCACGAGATCGGCCACGAGAATCGATAGCGCTTGACCCGCTCGTTCGATCACTTGCGTCAACGTCTCGGCCATCCTCAAACGTTTATCCAATTCCGCCCGTCCGCCTTCGTCCTCGGGGATAGCCTTGATCCCTTCACTCGACCCTCCTCGATAAACCATCAACAACCTTCGTACGATCTGCTTTCCATACACATCAGCAAGTGACGAAAGCCCCTGGATCGCATTCAGATAGAGGAACGAATCCTCTTCCGAAAGGGACTGGACAAAGATGTCCAAGACTGCCGGGACGAGCGCGGGATCGGTCTTGAGGAACGCGTCTCCTGAATGGACGAGCGTCCGAAGGAGGGAGAGACCTTGGGCTCTGACGGGTAGGAGAGGATCTTGGAGGTAGCGGAGAGCGAGTTGGTACGTCTTGCGTGATTCGCTGTAAGGAGCCGCCTTGGATTCCGTTGCCCCAACTGTGGTCGACGCGTGAAGTGCTTCCCTAGCAGAAAGGACGAGCTTGGCTTCTCTCGCCAAGGAAGGGACCAACTCCGACTTGGATTTCTCGGCGATCGAATCGAGCTTCTCGTAGATCGTCGACATGAGCGCGTTCGAAGAAGGTGAGATACTTTCGTTCGCTTCCAATAGGGCGAGGAGGAGCGTCAAGGCCGTCAGACGCATCTCGTCGGCTCCGACACCAGGGATGATGGGTTCTTCGCCGTTGTCTTCTTCGGAAGCCTTGCTCGGGTCGTCATCGATGAGATTGAGCTTGAATATACTCGGACTTTCCTCCTTGTTGACTTCCTCGGTTTTGACACCGGTATCCTTCGTTTCCTTCCCATCGTCCTCATCGTCCTCCAAGGCGTGTGCAACGAACCCAACGAGTTGTTCCGGGTTCTTCAAGATCTCGCTACCCATCTCTTCCACCATTTGTAGTACCAACTGAAGCCTCGTCAAGCTCCTAAGCACCCACAAAACACACAAGGTCAACTTTCAATGTCCATCCTCGACGCCGATTTGGAAGTAAGATGACTCACTTCTTGGCCCCTTCAAATCCTTTCTCCCTCCCCAACACACTCAACTCGTCCAACCACCTAATCAGCAGCGCCCCATTCAACTCCCCATTCCCACACTCCTTCAACCACCCTACCACACTCTGAGCATCCACTATCGAGTCCAAGTTCGCCTCCTCTTCCCGCTGTTTCACTTCCAAAGGCTCGAGCACCCGAATCGCTATTCCCCCCTTGGCCGAGGGGTCGACGACGAACTGCGCTTCCCTTCCCCCATTATCAAACCCGAACACCTCCCCTTTCTCCATCCTCTCAATCGCCCTCGAAAAGATCTTGACGCCCTCATCGGCCAACCCTCCTTTGAATTCCATCCCGTTTCCCTCCGTTTGACAACCTACGATCGATTTGTTCCACACTTGTAACAACGCTTTAGTCTCCTCGTCGAAGCGCGGATCAGCAGCACCCAAAGAAGGATGGGTCGATTCGAGGGATGGGTTGAGGGAAGTGTAGAGACTCAAGAGCGTTGCAAGGATCGGCGAGAGAAGGTTGACCAAGAATGATGAATAGGAAGGGGGCGCGTAGAGGGTGATCCATGAAAGTCGAGTGAGGCACGATAGTAGCTCGAACGGAGTGACGGCGGGTGGGTTGACGTCATCCTCCGTGACTACAGAGGACGGCGAGGCGCACGAATAATCAAAAGGCAGACAAGCCGCGTAAAGTTTCTTGGAGGTGAAGAGGGCGCAAGAAGGATGGGGCGGGGTGATGATGAAATGGGAGAGGACGTAGACGGTGATTCGCAGGATCGTGGCCGGAGGTGGCGGGGTTTTGGATGATGATGGGTCCAGAGAAGATTGGATAGCCGAGTCAAGGATGTCAAAGAGCTGGTGTAGTGTTGAGGAGTAATAGTCCTTCGAAGCGTAAGGGGAATCGGTTAGCGAATAGCCGTGAAAATGACCCGTGCTTTCCAGCCTACCTCATCTTCAACATCCCCCGACCGAGCCCTCAACAATCTCATCACCAAATCCATCTTTCTCGTATCGACGTGATCCGCCGAGCCCGCTGCAGATCCCACCCCGACAACGACGACTAACAAGGATCGAACGCCTCCCGTGCGCAAGAGTTGTCGCGAGAGCAAGTTGGCGATCGTCGGTTTGATCCAGTCGTTTTCTGTTGAGAATGTGGACAGTATGGCGAGTAGGTTTGGGATGATGACGGTGGGTGGACGACTGGGGAGGAGAAAGCGGGCGATGAGCTTCCAGTTTTCTCCGTCGACTCATTTCTTTGGAGAGAAAACAGTCTTACCTGCCAAGTAGTGCGTCCAATTGGTTCTGATACTCCGACCTAGGGGGTTTATCCACATGCTTTGTCGTCGACTTTGAGAGCTGCACCAACCCACCAATCAAAGGTAGTAACACCTGAGGGATGATGAGCTGCTTCATCTCCCCATCCGCTCGGGGCCCAATGAGCTCCAACACGCCGTGTACGAAATGCTCCAGTCGTCCCTGACCATCAGGTATTGTTTCCTCCTCGAGGATCTCGACGATCTTGCCTTTGTTGGGTGCAGTAGGGGATTGCCGAGTCGTCATCAAAGAAGTTGGCAAGATTCCTGCGGCGACGGATCTTGCGATCCCCCATCTTGCGACGATACCGGCAAGTTGAGAGACGACTTGGTTGTCCTTGACGCTTAACTTGGGTGGCGGTGGTGGCATGACTTCACCGCGTCCTTTCGCCGGGGTAGGAGGTGGAGCGGTCTCCTTGCGCGAAGTCGTTTCTTGAAGCAGTTCATTGACGTTGGCGAGACTCCTTAGAGCCGCTCGTGCGGTCTCGCGTTCCAACTCGTCTTGACGACTGATTTGATCCAACGACTCCCGAGTCTCCTCCCCCCTAGCTATCAGAGCATGATACCCGTCCAACCTGCGCTGCAACAACTCATTAAGCTGCTCCTGCCTGTTCTTGCTCGATGAGGTTGCTGACGAAGGCGAACGGAGCTTGGTCGGGGGTTGGTCTAGGCCTAGTAGAATCGCACAGGCTTTGAATTCGTGGCGCAGCGTGGTGTCGGGCATTGGAAAAGGGTCACGGAGCGCGACGTGAGCCGACCACACGCACGAGCTGCGGAGCTGAGCCAAGCCGGGCAAATGACGAGTCCAAGTGGGGGAGCCCAGCAGGGGAGCGCTGCCTTTGGTAGCCTTTGGTAGCCTCTGGAGGCGTTTGGTTGCGAACCTGCGGAGCCTTGCGGAGCCTTGCGGAGCCTTGCGGAGCTTCACCCTGCTTCCCCATTCGACTCAGCTCAACCTCGCCCCACCACCTCACCTCGTCCCCAACACCGCAACAGTCGTGTACCTCATTCTCCTCCGGGGCACCCTTCTCCGGAGATGGACGACGACAATCCGTTCATGAGGACGTTCGTGCCTCAGCTGCCTGGCTCGGCCTTGCATCAGCAACTGCAACTGCAGCAGCAAAGGGGATATCGATTTGCCCATTCATCATCAAAGGTAGAAGAATTCCGAGCCAGTGCAGTTTACTCTCAAAGCCAAACCAAGTCCTATCTCTGCTCCCGCAGCGCGACCGCTCCACCTCACCCATATCCTCCACATCAAGCTCCACCTCCCCATCCCGAGCTCCATCCGAAGCACCTCTCGAAGACCCTTTGGACTGGGGCGGAGACGTCACGTTGGACCGAGAACGCAGTCATGCGGATGACCCGGAAGGCGGTGATACGGCGACGTTCAGCGCATTGCAAGAGCATAATGTCGGAATGAAGATGTTGCTTAGATTAGGGTGGACCAAGGGGAAAGGACTGGGCAAGGAAGGGCAAGGTAGATGATATCTCGCTGCGACGACCATCTCCAGCAACAAAAGCTGATGCTGACACGCTTCCTCTTGCCCCCCACCTCCCACGCAACAGGCCGCCTCGTCCCCATCGACCCCACCGCAACCGGCAACCTCCTCGGCATCGGCAAAGCCGCCCTCGACACGCGCATGCTCGAAGCCTCCTCCAACCTTTCCTCTCGACCACGGGAACTCGAATCCCAAAGGATCGCAAAAGAGACGCCCGATCAAAGGGAAGCCAGATTGGTCAGTCTTCGGAACCGCAGCACCGCAGGCGCATAGTACATGGGCTGATGGCGATGCGTGAGCGTCGAACATGCACAGGCCAAAGCCAAGTTTGAAGAAAAAGTCAAGAACGAGGTTGCAGAGACGTTGAGGAAATTCAACTGCGATATTTGCAACAAATCGTACGTACTCACAGCGTGATCTAAAAGACCCTTCTCAGAAGATGTGACTAAACCGGTATCCCCGTCCGTCGCTTTGCTCAGCTACACAACGGTCGGCCAGTATGACGAACACACCAACTCGTATGACCATCATCACCGTGCTCGAGCCGTCGCGACCAAGCAGATGCAACTCGATCGAGCCAAGGCGAATGGTGAAGCCGACAAGAGGAGGGAAAAGGAGCGCAAGAGAGAGGAGAAGGAGATGAGGAAATTGATGGAGAAAGCAGGGGTCAAGGTACCACTTGCTAATGTAGTCCATGTGACTGCAACGGCACCTGTTGTGGTCGAAGCGAAGAAGGTGGAGGAGGTGAAAAAGAGTGGGGCTGGCGGATGGGCTAAGTTCGGAGGAGGTCGCTTCGCTCCCGTTGGACCGAGTTCATCATCTTTAGTCACATCGACATCAACACCCACGTCTTCATCTTTCAAACCTGTTGGTGGCTTCGCGCCGATCGCATCAACATCAATGGCAACATCCTCCCCCAAACCAGAACGATACGATTCATCCCTCGCGCCTAAAGCCAGCGGATGGTCAAGCATCGCTCCCTCCACAGCACCGACAAGTTCTCACAACGCTCATGTCCCTGCTAAAAGTGCACGCATCACTGCGCCCCCTCGTTTCCGAGCAGGGGGCACGATCGAACCTTCGCCGGTGTTCGACGCGGCCGCACCGATGACCACGGCGCCTCGCCCGCCTCGAGATCTACCGCCACCACCTCCTCCGCCGCCGTCGGTGCCTTTAGGCCGACCCCTTCCGCCATCCGTAGCACCCCCTCCACCCCCATCACCTCCGCCGAACGCGATAACCACGACAGTATCGAAACCCCGATGGAACGTCCTCCCCTCTTCAGCCCCACCTCGAATGCCAGCTTACGACGCCCCGCCCCCACCACCTCCACCACCCTCCAATCCTCCTACCAATCCAGGATCTAGGTCCCCGTTCCAAACTTCCCCTTGTTCAACGTCCGCCCCCAGCTCAAGCTTTGGTGGAGGCTTCAAACCTGCTGATATGGCATCTTCATCATCAGCTGCCCCACCTTCGAATCGCGGAGGTTTCGGCTCGGGCCCGCAAAGGAGTTTCAAGGCGAGTTTCAAGCCGATCCCGAAGCGTTGATGGGAGCACCTTGGATTTTAATCATTGTGTTCGTAGGAGTATCGTCTTTTATCTTGTTGTCATGTTATTTTACGAAAGGAGAAGTACAAACTTGTCTTCGTTTGGCCCCCACCTCACTGCGACCGCTTAGGGGATTTCACTTCGCCATCTTTGCCTTCACTTTCTCCTTCCACTCCGTCTAACTGTATCGACTCCGTTTTCGACGTGCCTCTCTTTGCCCCCCTCTAAACAGTCTCGGCCCTTTCTCTCCTCCTCTTCGTTTCGAGCTTGCTGGGCTAAGTTCCTTCAAGACGGAATCGAACGCACCTTCAACTCGGGCACCGTCAAACCCCGTTCTCCTTACCCAGCTTGAAGCAGCTTGACGGCCTTCTCGCTATTCTTGGATCTGTGGACCCCTTGCGCGTTCCAATAAGCCTCCGCAACTCCGCCTCCGCAGAGGCTCAAGGGCGTGGGAAAACCCTAGCAAGCTGTTGATGCTGGTGTTGTAAAGTGATCGATAAGCAATGTAGGAACGTGCGGCGCGGGTAGTGGTCAGCCAACAAGGCCGGCCCGTCCGCCGTCGCACTTCTTGTCGCGCGGCGCGGTGGCGTCGTTCGCCGTCTTTTGAAAGGAGCTCCCGCAGAAGTTGTACGTTTCCGGCGCGGGAGCGGGAATTGCCCAATGAGGCGCTGCACGACGCAATCAGCGTACTCTTTCGAGGTAGTCTTTGACTTGTTTTGCACAGTGATCCAAAACACCATATCATTATTGAAACACCTTCACATCTATATCGCCGACAGTAAACAAAAGAGGCAGATACAACTCGACGCAGCTCGGCACGGTCGACAGCTGCGCCAGGCCGTCCGACAAACCCCCATAATCAGGCCGCTCCGAGCCGAGCTACGCGCTGTATTGCCTCTTCAGCTTCCCCTACAATCCGCTTCACGATGGTTTCGGTCTTTGCAAAGTCTTCGCCTCTTGAATCTTGTCCGACCAAAGTCACACTTGTGCCTGGGCCGATGGAAAATAAAAGTTGAAGAGCGGGCCTTGGTCAGCGACCAGCTCGCCCACCTCGTCACCGTCTACCACAACAACGACCCCACTCACCAGCCCAAACGATGATCCTCTCGGTATTATCCTCCCTGACCGCTTCCGTATACTTCCTCTTCCCTTCTTCACTCGCAACGTCCTCCACGCTCTCCTCCGTCGTCAAATTCCTCACCCCCCTCCCATCGACATGTTCGCCCCACCCCAACGTGCCCCTCGCATGATCGAAATTCATACTCCGCACCGTCTCTTCCCCCTTGGCGGAGGTGATGCGTTTCTTCTGACCTTTGGAGTAGGTCGCTTCGATTGTGGGGAGAAAAGCGGTTCCCATGACGGCACCCGAAGCGCCGAGAGCGAGGATCGCGACGAGTTGAGCACCGGTCGCGATCCCTCCACTACCGAGGAGTAGAGGGGCCGAAGGGAAGGTCGGTCCGAATTGGGCTGCGACGGTCGGGATGAAGGAGATGATGGGGAGTCCGACTTTGTACGTCGGACCATGGCCACCTGATTCGAGACCTGTGAAACGGGAGTGGCGTCGGGTCCGAGAAATTAGTTCCCATTTCTCCAAGAAGGCAGATTTTTCGGCCCGATCGCACCCCCACCCCTTTGCGCGCCCCTAGATCCCCTCTATAACGTACCTTGAGCAGCCACGATATCGACCCCTTCCCACTCCTTCATCTGCAACACCTCATCCACAGATCCCCCGGCGACAAAGACCGTCATTCTCTTCCTCCTCTTCCCTTCCTCGACCCCCTCCCTGACCTCCCTCTCCATCGCCTCCTTCTCCAATGCTCTAATCCTCCCAACCCATTCCTTCAAGTCCGCCCCAAAACTCAACCAAACCCCCTTCACCTTGGCCTCCACGATCGTCTCAAAAAACTCCTCCGCCATCTGCGGTTCCCCGTGCGCTTTCTCAAACTTCCAACAAATCAACCCGATCCCGAAAGGGATCGCATCCCCTTGCTTCAATCCCAACGCCTTTCGACCGATCTCGATTTGGTTCTTCAGTTCTTGCAAGGGTGTATGACCACTTGCGATGAAGCCGAAAGCACCGGCTTGGATCGCCGCGGAGGCGAGGAGACCTCCTGCAGCGCCGGCCATGGGCGCGACGACGATGGGGTGCTGAATGCCCAGACGGTCGGTGAGGGCTGTGCGCATGGTGGTGTAGGGTAGATTTTAGCGTCTTCTTGCAGATTTGACGGGGCAGTGCTTGGAACTGAGACGCAGTTGGGAACGAGAGAGAGAGGGGGGCTCAGGGACTCGATCCGTGAAAGTGGGGCCCGCGCCTCGAGTTTTTTTTTTGGTATGAGTTATCCGAGGTTCCCCCGCGGGCAATGACTTCAATTCACCCGCCGAGCTTTTCGAGTCCTATGGCTTGACTCAGCAAATCGGGCCGCAAGAGATTATCAATTTGCATTTTGCGAGGGAGGTGTCTTGATGCTGACAACGATGTCAAATAAGAGCTCTGAGCAACTGCAACGTGTGCAAGGAAGTGTTCCATTTCGTAAGGCTTACAAAGTCCCCTCAAACCGAACATTTCGTCGATCAAATCGGAATTTCATTTCTTTTATCATCCAGCTTCTACGTCCGAACCAGAACAAACATGCCACCGGGAAAGGAGAAACCCATCCAGAGTCCAACCCTTCAAGCCACCCCACCCCATTCCTCCTCTCGAGAAAAAGAAAAACCCCCGTACCTCTTTCCTTTTTGAAACGCGCGTTTGCGAACGAACCAAAAAAGCTATTATAAGCGGTCACATTGGAGAGAGAGAGGTTTCAAGACCACAAGAGAGGGGGTGGGGAGAAGAAAAAAGAGAGGTCCTTAGGAAGGGGGAGCGTGACAAAGAGACAAACAAAGAAAGAAGATCGAAGTCCCCCCTTTGATTGCGCGTTTCCTTCATCTAGTTCTCACTGTCAGCCAACTCCTTGGCCAATCGCTCGGCCTTGGCCTTGACGTCGTCCAAGTTGCCGACCATGTAGAAGGCGTTTTCGGGGAAGTGGTCCATCTCGCCGGCCAAGATCGACTTGAACGACTTAATCGTCTCCTTCAGGGGAACGAGCTCACCCTTGATACCGGTGAACTGTGTAAAACGCGTGGAGCCCAAGGTAATCGATCAGCAACACGTTCTCGACGTGACGGCCCCCAGGACACCAGAGCGGGACTCACGACTTCAGCGACAGCGAAGGGCTGTGACATGAACCTCTGGATCTTTCGGGCACGCTCGACCGTCATCTTGTCCTCTTCTGACAACTCGTCCATACCGAGAATGGCAATGATATCCTGGAGACCCTTGTAGGCTTGCAGGATGCGCTGCGTGGCGGTCGCGACGTCGTAGTGCTCCTGTCCGACGATGCGGGGGTCGAGCATGCGCGACTTGGAGTCGAGGGGGTCGACGGCGGGGTAGATACCCAACTCGGCGATACCACGCGACAAGGTGGTGGTGGCGTCCAAGTGGGCGAAGGTCGTGGCCGGGGCGGGATCGGTCAAATCATCGGCGGGCACGTACACGGCCTGTACACAGGTGATGGAACCCTTCTTGGTCGTGGTGATTCGCTCTTGCATACCACCCATGTCGGTCGAGAGCGTGGGTTGGTATCCGACAGCGGAGGGGATACGACCGAGCAAGGCCGACACCTCGGAACCGGCTTGGGTGAAGCGGAAGATGTTGTCGATGAAGAGGAGCACATCTTGTCCGTCGTCGTCACGGAAGTACTCGGCGATCGTAAGACCGGTCAAGGCGACACGGGCACGGGCACCTGGGGGCTCGTTCATCTGACCGAAGACGAGGGCGGTCTTGGACTTGTCGTTGTTCAATTGAATGACACCGGTCTCGATCATTTCCTTGTACAAATCTGGAGGCCAAAGAAGCGGCGGAGGATGCAGCAAGAAGACGGCGAGGACGAGGAAGCGCGTAAGGAAAAGGGGCAAGGCACGAGAATGTGAGCACACGAACTATGCACGCTCGAGGACACGCCGCAGACGGAGCGAAAAAGGTTCATATCTAGACTCACCGTTACCCTCACGAGTGCGCTCACCGACACCGGTGAAGACGGAGAAACCACCGTGGGCCTTGGCGACGTTGTTGATGAGCTCTTGAATCAAGACGGTCTTGCCGACACCGGCACCACCGAAAAGGCCAATCTTTCCACCACGAGCGTAGGGGGCGAGCAAGTCGACGACTTTGATACCGGTCTCGAGGACTTCGGGCGCGGTCGATTGGTCGACGAAGGCGGGGGGTTCGGCGTGGATGGGTCGGTAGGTGGTCGCCTTGATGGGTCCACGCTCGTCGATCGGCTCACCGATGACGTTGATGATGCGACCGAGGCAGCCGGGCCCGACTGGGATCATGATGGGGTTTCCTGTGTCGACGACCTTGTGGCCACGGACGAGACCCTCGGTACCTAAGGAAGAGGAAGAGGGGAGGGCAAAGGGAGGACGCGCATCAGCAGGGCGATCACGCACGCAGGCAAGGGCTCAAGTGGACAACGAGGAGTCGACCCTGAAAACCTCAAGATCATCAAGCTGACTCACCGTCCATGGCAATGGTTCGGACGGTGTTCTCTCCGAGATGCATGGCGACCTCAAGGACGAGGCGGTGCTCGAAGCCCTGGACCTCGAGGGCGTTGAGGATGGGGGGGAGATCATCCGAATCGAATTGGACCTGGTGGGTTGCAATGAAAATCAAGTGTCAGTTCACGTGCTCGTCCGTGTGGATTCGATTGCTGCACTGAGCGGTGGTATGGTGTCGATGCGCGAGACGGAGAAAATGATGGGCACGAGGGGTGAACAGGGCCAGGCGATCGGGAGCAGTCGGGGCAAGCGAGGCCCAGCATTGCGAGCTTCCGGCTGCCGTGCGCGCGCCAGATGCGCGACGATGCGCAACGATGCGCAACGATGCGCAACGATGCGCAAGCGCAGGGGCGAACACGCGGCCAGCGCCGGCGCCAAACGCCAGCGCGCCAGAGTAAGGCCCACGCCCGGGAATGGAGCGGAGCGGATGGGCGGACTCACATCGACGACGGCACCGATAACGGTCTTGATCTGACCAGTCGCGCCCTGTTGAGCCGTGGCGTAAGATCGGACTGGTATAGAGAGGATAGAGAGGACGATGGGGCAATGATTAGCAATGCGATTCGTGTAGCGGAGCCTCGGTCGGGGGTGGGTTGGCGGAAGACGCAGGCGGGCCAACGAGAGGTCGCTCCCCCGTGCTCCGCTGCCACGCCGAGCACACCATTCTGCGTCCAGCGTGAGTCCAGTACAGCGTACACAGCTGCCTGGGTCTGGGTCGATCTGACCAGGGAAGGGGACGCATGCCACTCACCCGAAGAGGCACCGGCCTTGGCGGACTGAACAGCCGCGATGGTGGGCTGGGGGGCGGCGGCCTTGGTAACCAACGTGCGAGCACCCTGCAAGAGCGCGGGTTTGGTCGACGCTTGCTTGGCAGCGCGTCGGCTGACCTGACGCAGCGATCGTGAGACGCCGTGCATGATTGAAGAAGGAAGAGGGGGTTACGGGGTGGGATGCGTAAGAGCGAACGAGACGGAAGCGAGCGAAGGCCAGGCAGCCACTGGCAGCCACAGGCCTCCAACAGCCTCCAACGCCCGGCCCGCGCCCTCCCGCGCCTGCCCGCGCCAGCAAGAAAATCGCCCTGATCGTCCCGGCGTGCTGGCAGGTGCTGGCGCGGCTGGCGGGCTGTTGGCTGCTCGCGCCCGATGGTGTGCCGGGGCAGCGCAGCACGCCTGACACGCTTGAGGCGACCTGAGGATTTCGCGACCGAACAAGACTTGTCCAAATTCACTAAAATAACTTGGTGATGAGTTTTAAAAGTTCAAAACATCGAACCAACCTGGATTCTCTCATCAATGTAGGCATCTCCGTTCCGCGCCTGCCCGGGACTTCGCCGCCGCGGCGAATCTGCGCTAGGGCCTCGCACTACTCCCTGGAGTTGAGTGAAGAATTCCGAATATCGTTTGCTTCTTGAAGGCAGTCTACCAAGATAAGCGAGCTGATGTAGGCATTTCAGCTGACTTTTATTTGATACACCTGCGATGGATCGCCGCGCCCAGCGTCTCGGCCGAATTCTTCCTCGACTCGACCAACGCATGGGCCCAATCGAGGACCGTGTCATCGTCAAACTGTGAGTATCATGAGATGTGTTCGAGAGTCAGCATCATTTCGACGATCACTACCTGCGTGATCTAGTCGGAGAGACGAAGTCGCAAGATCCCACCACGTACCTTCTCAAACTGCTTCAACGTCACAACGTTCCCAATGACCTTATTCCTCTCCTTCCCGACCTTCTTGGCCCAGTTCGTCACTTCTTTTCCGATTTTCTGCGTCGCCTCCCGGGATTTGGTGCGGAAGTTGCGTAGCCTTTTGACGTGTTTGGCGTGGTCAGTCGCCTTTGTGGAGGTCAGATGCTCCGTTACGATCCCGAGGGCGAGGTCGAGTAGACAGTAGGCCTGGGCAGTGCGATCGGTAAGTGCGAGCTTATATGGCTGCCTAAAAACTGATTGAGATAGTGCTTACCTCGAACGCATTCGCAGCAATGGATAGCACCTCCCACGGAAGCCGTGCCGAGTCCTCGATCGCAGACGTGAGCGACGCAAGTTGATCTGCACACGGATGGAGGCGAATTTTCTCTCGTCAGACATGACATCATGAGTACCAAACAGAACCAAATACTTACCCGAGAAGAAGGAGTGTGCTAGCTGTTCGGGCTTGGGATCGTCCAATGCGGCCACAAAGACCTTGCCGGCCAGCCGCGAAAAGTCGACCATCGCCTTCTCGGATGGCAACAACTGCAGGAAGCGATAATGGTCAGCCACAAATTGACCTATATCTGGAGCTGATCCACTCACTTCCGTCGAGTCGAATGCCTGCTCGTCTTCCCCATCGACAACAGCGAGAGGATCCAAGAACCGCTGATAAGCTTGCGCGATGGCCGTCAACCACTCCCGTCCCGGTCTTGGGCCCAATCCCGTCTGATCCCAGATCGACGCCTCGTCTTTACGCTGCAGATTTGGGATCGTATCAAAATCACGATTATCAGAATACCGGTCCGCATCGCACGATTGTAAAATGGCCTTGAGAGGATCGGTGGTGAACCCTAGGGAAGGATTGATGACGGCACCACGCAGAAGTTGAATGCGCAGACTCTCAATGATCACGAGATCTCTGGTGTACGAGTTGCTCAAGCGCGTTTGAAACTCGAAAAAATCCTCGATCTGTGCGGTAAGGACGTGTAATGAACGCTCCTGCGCCGAGTATACCTGTAGCTTCACTCAGGCGTCGACTGACTTTGGAAAAGTTGTGAAGCATAAACACGCGAACGACCATGTCGGCTGCTTCGTCAAGCCCAGCACCATACCACTTGTTGGCTTTTCTCAATTCGTCCAGAATACCGGCATCGTTCGCCGACGTGGTGGCGCCTGCGGCATTGGCAAAAGTCGAACCCCTGGTGGCAGCGACGTGGATAAGCGTATCGAACTGGATCGACTTGATCCCCAAGCTCCTGTTGAGATCCATCGCTATCGAAGACGCTCCCAATTGCCGCTGGATATTGATTGCCAACAACCTGATCTGGTACTTGTGTCTGGATCGCTGCAGGGCATAATCGAGGACGAGCAAGGCCGATTCAAGTCGACTTCGGTCACGATCGAGATGGTAGGCTGAGACGAAGGCTTGCGCGGCCAGAAGAGCAAAGTCGTCCGCCGGCTGGAGATCAGTCGAGTCGAGGTGGAACCCAAGGGGTAGCACCTGGAAGTATCGAGTGAGGTAGGAATGGGCGAGGATGACTTGGGCTTCAGCCGAAGTCGACGACGGAGCGAGGAAGCGTGCGATCTTGGCGGCGTTGATGAGCGAATACGCCTGCTTTTCCGTCTAAAGGGAATGGTCAAATCTAGTTGAGCGAAAACCCGAAACTTCTCTGATGAGTACAGAACTTACGAGATCACCAGCACTGTTGCCCCTCTCTTCCAATTTTTCCCTGGCCTGTCTTGACTCCTCCTCGTCAAGGACCTCGAGGTATGCTCGCAGGTCATCAAAGCAGCACATCTTGCCCTCGAACCGCTCGAAGTACCTCGTCACCAGCTTTCCCAATCGCTCCGAGCCCTCGTCCCATTCTCTTCGCCGATTTTCTCGGGCGATCTCCAAAAGACCAAGCAGATACCCTCGTTCATGAGGTGCCGAAGAGGCATGAAGCCCTTCGGAGAACTGTTCGAGGAGTTTCCGGGTCTCAGCGACTAACTGCTGTCCCTCCGCAGTCGGTGACGACCGAGGTGTAAAATCCGACGAATCGGACGAGCCAGCAAAGGCGAGGGAAGAGTCGTCAGCCATAGCGAAAGCGGAGCGGATGAGGTAGAGGAGGGTGTGCCAATTGGTATCCCTGTGAAAGCGGGGCCAATCAAAATGTGAGCTCGTGCGACCCAAGATCTGCTTTCGCCGGAAGAGAACTGACCCTTCCTCTATCCCTTTCTTCATCCGTTCCCAGCCCGCCTTCCACTCCCCGCTTGCCCTGGATCCGTGCTTCAACTCGACCTCCCGTCTCCAAATCTTCAGTCCTAGTCCAGTTGCGCAATACGAGTCCGCTTCGGGTGATGCCAAGTGCCGCAGTAGCCTGGCCGTAGGTGTCAGCTCCCCCGTCGAACGAGGGATCGAGGGAAAAACTGATGCCGACGTCGAGTCCGACGGCCAGTGTACTGCACAGAGTTCAAGGAAGCGTGTGACGAGATAGAACTCGTGATCGGATTCGTATTTTTGGTCCTGGTCGCTGGTTGCTCCTTCCGAGGTTGGCTTGAAGTGGGTAGCCAACTGTCGCTCGGCCAAAGTCAGCAGCACCTCGTTCGTCTTGTCCACGTCCGCCCCTGCTGTTGTTGGTGAGCTGCGGACCCGCAGGAGGATCGCCGCGACCGACCACCACAGGTAGTGCGTTTGGTTCGGATTGTTTTTGTGCAGCCGTATACTCGTCTGTATACCGCGTTAGAGCAGAGAGACGGATCAGCAACTGAAGAATCTTTCATGGTGAGGTTCGGGTCAGACGAACCTGCTGGGCACTCTTGTAATTTCCCGAGCGGACAAAGGCTTGGAATGCTTCGATGTTGACATCTTCCTTATTTGGATGCCGCTCAACCGCGAGGCTCATAAGCGCATCGACCTCTTCATGAGCAGCGTCTGTTGCACAGTTCAGTGTTACAGGCGTAAGTGAGCCTGAGCTTCTGTCCGAGCCAGCTGTGCCGCGATGGTGACTCTCACTCTACTCACCTTTGTCGTCGTTCACCGCAGCTATAGTACACGCGAGTACCAACAGTGTCTCGGGATCGCCGAGCCCGGCTCCGTTCGTGTGGGTCTTGATGTACTCGATCGTCGACTGAATCTCCTTGCGAGCCGAATCAGACATCGGTCGAGGTCCACTAAGTGCCAAGCAGTTCAGCGCCTGATGGACCAAATAATGAGTTCAGTCGTTATATTCTCAAACCAGGATATACCTCTTTCGAACTGACTGACATGGGCCAGGTAGTGATGCGGCAGCTTCTTGAGCTGTTTCGCAACCGCGAGCTGGGCCGTCTTCCAGTTGTGTACCTCGAGTGCAGCTGTACCGCCACTCAAATGTTTCCCAAATCAGCTCATTCCATCAAATCCATGTCGAATTAAGCTGAGCCGACTGCGGATCGAACGTACCACAGATGGGTTGAAGCGCACGAGCTTCGGCTGGTGCGACCGACTTCTTGCGGTACAGCACTCCATTCACCAGGTGGGATAACGGCATCGCCATTCTGCCAACTCTCTTCAAGGCTCCGTTTGCTGCTCCCCGTTTGCTGGAGCCTGTCGAGCACGTGTATGAGTGGGGGAGGGGGGGGGGGGAGGATGGTGACGAAGTGCCGCGAGCTGCAAGTGGGGGGAAAGTCGGTTGGGCTTGGCTCTCTCACGGTAGCTCACGGTCCCCTTCTGTCCCCTTTCTCGAATAAGTCTGGTTAACCTTCTCCCACCGATTTCCTGCAAATCCGGTGCAGGGCTCTCAAACTCGCAGCCTCAATGTAGATGTTCTAGGATGCATCTCAAATTGCATACTGCGCCCCGAAACACCCCAATTCTCCAAGAAGACAGCATAAATATCTACTCGGCGACGATCAAAGTCGCCTTGCCTGCACCCGTACCCATGCATAAAGTCGCGACACCGACCTTCTTGTCCGTCCTCTTTAATTCGTAGATCAACGAACTTAACAGACGACCTCCAGTGGCCCCTAAAGGGTGACCGAGCGCAATCGCTCCTCCCTTGGGGTTCACCTTCTTGATGTCCAAACCGAGCGTCTCAATGACCATCAAAGATTGCGAGGCGAAGGCTGTGAATGAAAAAATATAGACAGTCAGGACTTCATCTTTTGGGCCAGTGGGAACCCAGGAACGTACCCTCGTTCAGCTCGAAGATGTCAACATCATCCTTGGAGATGCCGAACCTCTCAAACAACTTCGGCACTGCGTACGCGGGTCCGACACCCATGATCCTCGGCGGCACACCAACAACGGCCGAACCGACCCACTTGGCCAGAGGCTTCAAGCCCAGCTTTTCCGCGACGTCCCTCCTCACCAAAGTCAACGCACTTGCACCATCCGAGATCTGCGACGAGTTGCCCGCCGTTCCGGTTCCATCGGCCTTGAAGGCGGGCTTCAACTTGGCCAGCGACTCCATCGTCGTCTGAGGTCGGATGCCTTCATCTTTCGAGATCGTCTTAATCTCGGTGCTCTCCGGCTTGTCGCCCTCTGCCGGGGTGACCGATCGAACCTTGATGGGCACGATTTCTTCGGCGAGGTAGCCAGCATCCTGGGCGGCCTTGGCCTTGGCGTGCGAAGCGCAGGCGAATCTGTCCGACAGAAATAGACATGATTAGACATCAGAACGATATGCTCATTTTCATCGAAGGCGAGGGGGCAGGCGCGCAAGACTCACTCGTCTTGTTGCTGGCGCGAGTACCCGTGTTCGGCGGCGACATTTTCCGAGGTCATGCCCATCGGCATTAGACAGTCCTGAGCGTCCTGGGACTCGCTCTTTTTGATGAAAGGAGAAATGTTGACAGGGATCGCTCGGGTCTGGATTGAGTGTGAAACACGATGAGCAAAGAAACGGTGTCAGCTGGCCAAGCGCGGTACTAAGTAATACGGAATCAAAAGTGGGGCTCCGAAGCCAAGGAGGACTCACCCCGTAATCTCTCGTCATGTGCTCCACACCAGCGGCGACTCCCATGTCGATCATACCACTCTGGATGGATTGAGCGATGTCGGTCACAGATTGTAGCGAGGAAGCGCACTGTCGGTTGACGGCCTTGAATCCAGAGACGATGGGGAATCTTTCGGTCGTGGGGGCGATGGGCCGCGGCTTGTCAGCGGAGGTGCAATCAACAGCTTCGTTGAACACCAAGATCACGGCGAGCGAGTCGTAAGCTTACCCAGCATCCAGACTAGCCAACCTCCCCGACTTGGCTCCCCCCAACTCCATCAACACCGTGCCGACATGGATGTCCTCGACGAGGCCGGACTGGACATCGACGCCTTGCGTCTCGAGCTTCTCCCGTGTCGACTTCAAGACGTGCGAGAGTAACTCTTCCGGGTACATGTCCTTGTAAGCGCCACGGAACTTGGCGATCGGCGTTCGTAGAGAGGTGACGATCTATGGGAAGCGGTTGCCGAGGTGAGCCGCGGCTAGCGTTCGGGATCCTCGGCTTCGGCAGCGGCGTCACAAGGTCATGTACGGTGGACTTACCACGACATCATTGGCGTTCTTCTTGAGGATATTGGAGAAAGAGCGGCGAACGACGGTAGCTTGAACCATTCTGAGGGACGGAAGCGAGAAAGCGCGGGACAAGTGTGGGGTGCCGAGCGGAGTGCAAGAGCGAAGGATTGTCTTCCGGCGACAACTTGGCAGTGGTGCTCGACCCGCACGAGCTCGCACGGACCACCACCGCTGGGCTAATAGTTCAGAGCACTTGTTGCGAGCGCCAGTCTCAGTCGGCGTTGTATGTATCTCGAGTCACAGAAGAGGATAGGACAGCGTTTTGACTCATGATCACTGTACCATACCAAAAAGGAAGTTTGCCACTCTAGCCGATGTTCAACTGAGCCCTTCGACCAGGGCATCCTCTGGAACCGAGGGTGAATGTCGAACAAAAATGTTATGAACATACTAGAGCAATGCCGGACTCGAACCGGCAACCCTCAGATCTCACGTACTCGCGTTGGGACACGATAGTAGAAGTCTGAAGCGCTAACCATTGCGCCAAATGCCCGGGGTAACCCCTATCTTGCACAGCTAGCTCACACATTAGCAGTTTTGCCATACCAATCCGTATTAACACTTTGCGCAGGGGGGCGGCTTCGAAACAGCCCGACCTAGACATCGTCCGATCCCAATGTGTTGGGCATAGATATCATGAAATGTAAACTCAAAATCACTTGACATGATTTGCATCGCCTTACAACACCTATCAGGTGGTGTCAACTGGGGATTCTCACGCGGCTTTGATTGCATTTAAACGTTTGTGAGTCTCATGGAAATCTTGCGAACCGTTCGCTTTCACAGCGGAACGCCAACACCCGAGACGGTCACGTGCTGCCTCACATCCCGCCCATCTTTTCCACCTCTGGCAGTGCTCTAGCGCTGGCGCGATCTGGTGCATGGTGCCCCACATGTACCACAGATGACCGGTAGCAATCATCGGTCTCGCGCGAAGCTATGCCAAGGTCTTTTTTACATCGAGTCTGCAATGTTACACGTCGGCTGTTTCGCTCGAAATTTGAACATTAATGGTTAGGAGTCCGCCGGCGATATCCGAACCTGTCGATCGGCTCGCGTAGACGACGGCAAACCTTCGCAAATGATTCGGATGTAGCGGAGCCGATAACAACGTACGTATAGCTGAAAATTTCGTTGTGCAAGAACCTCAAAGTCCCATCGAAAGCTGGCATGGTAGTACGGTGGATGCCGCACGCGCTGAATCCAGATGTAAAATCCTTCAGCTTGCGAGTCGATGATGCACGTCCTCACTACATTCACTGGCTTTGACTACAGTGTGTTGACATCAGACTTGATGGATTCGCACACTCTCTTGCACAAGGCAGTGAGTTGGAGATAGTCCGCCAGCAGGAACATAGTCTTGGGATTGACAAGCAAAGCGTCGGAGATGAGGATGCGATATTCTTTTGTGCGTCGCTTCCTCGCGAAGTTGGCCGGTCATATTTGGAGCCAAATCCCATCTCATCATTCTCAAAAAATCCACAACCTTCCGACCGACTGTCGACTGGCAATTGCGGGCTGTGCACAACCGACGTCGAGCCCAACCATGTCTCCGCAGCCTGATGAGGCAGTGACCCTGCCAACCCACATCGATCTTTGCGGCAAGGTCGTTCGCCCAATCATTCTGCGTAGCCTTTGTGGTTTCTCAACCTAATAGGCACTCCCATCAGATGTGCCACCCTCTTGCATGGAGGTACGGGGGGCCAACGCAGTCTCGCCATCAGTGTATTGGACAGGGGGCACAGCTTTAGCCTCCTAAGGTCATACCTAACCTCGTGTGGGCGCTCCAAGCTAAAGCGACGATTATCCGACGGGCGTATGCTACGCCCCCTCGTTCGATTGTGACGCACACGCATGCACTGGGTACTTCAATTGCTCATGACGGGTCTGCACCCTTTACGCACAAAGTCGAACAAACGCTGCAGCGCAATGTAGAACGAAGAACAAAGGTATCATTCCCTCCTCGAGCGAAATCTTCACGATCTGCTAGTCTTGTTGATGAGCTCTAAAACAACGGATGCGATGAGGCAAATAGGTGGGAGTGATAAACGAGAGGAATATAATGAAAGAGTAGGGTCGTGAAGTTCGATTACCTTGGTATACAGAAAGGCCTGATGGGCATGGGTGGAATTTCCACATCCACCGCGGAACGTGGAAGGGGTCAAACAAAGAAGAGGGTGACCGGGATATCGAAGGAATGGGTGGAGTACTGAAGATAGTTGGCAGACGATATGTTTCGGACGAGTTGGGTTAGAGAAGTACTGAACAACAGTGGGATATGCGAGGATGTAGACGAGGCGTAAACGAGCGAGGCGACGGCGGGGTCAGGAACAGAGGATGCTTAGGCAATGAGGAAATGAGCTGGCGAATGACACCCTTCACGGTAGCCAGACCTATGGGTACACACCGCCATGCCTCAGCTCTAGTCATACCATATTGTGAATGAAGAGTGTACTGACCTTGACGGACTGATCGACCGATCCCGTCGCAACAACGTTGACATACTGAATTGTTTCGGTTGACGCCTCGGAAGTCCCATTCTTGCCCATACCATTTGTCGTCGTCCCGTTCGTGGCTGTCGACGAACTCCCAGGCGCGGGTGCTCGTCCCCAAGCAAGACATGTGACAAAATGTGAGTGTGCCTCGAGTGTCTTACTGCATCTCCCTGTCACCAAATCCCATGTGCGGATCGTCTTGTCGTCCGATGCTGAGAGTAGGAACTTGCCCGACGGATGGAACACCAGAGCCCGAACCCAGTTGTCGTCTGTAAGTAAACACTTGCGAACGTCAGATTCGGGCGGAGGTGAATATCCTGCACCTGTTAGCAGAAGAACTTACGCCCGACAAAGGTCTTGAGGCATTGCCCACTCTGTGTGTCCCACAGCTTGATCGTCTTGTCCCTCGACCCCGTCGCCGCGAATGCCCCCACAGTCTTGGCATCAGCTCCCTTGGGTGACTACAGTGAAGGAGCAAGGCTATCAGCATCGTCGTTCCAGTTGGATTTAGGGAAGTGGATAGATGCGTACCGTCAATCCTGCCAGTTCACGGATTGCTGGATATGCGGCGATAGGTGCGAAGACGGCGACCTCAATTACATGGTCGTGCCCCCTCAGCTCCGTCTTGGTCTCCCCTGTCTGAGCATCCCATATTCTCGAAGTCTGAAATTATGGTCCACCAGATTAATCAGTACCAATGATAGTTTTGGAGTAGACGGTATCATGGACTGACCTGGTCCACCGAACAACTGATGAGCTGCCTCCCGTCCGAACTCGGCAACGCGCTCCGAACCCAATCTGCATGACCCGAGAAAGTCTTGACACAGAATCTAAGCGATGGAGGGATGGGGTAATCAGCAAGAGCCTTCGCGGAGTGAATCCGATGCAAGGTCAATCACTCACCCACTCGCGACCTCCCACACCCGAATGGTCCGATCCCGACTCGCCGAGATGATGAAATCGTCGTTGGGCAAGAATCTCGCTGAGCTAATCGAATGATCATGGCCATACAACGTCTTGACGTTCTTCCAATCGTTGTTGGTGTCCCAGACCTTGAGCGTCAAATCGGACGAACACGAGACGAGGAAGTTGCCTTTGGAATCGAAGTCGACGTCCTGCACGGCTTTGGTGTGGCCTTTGATAGTGCGTTCGAAATCACCCGTCTCCCAGTCCCAGACCTTGATAGTCGAGTCTTCGGAGGCTGAGACGACCTGACTGAACAAGGGGTGGAAGGCGACTCGTGTCACGGGCGAACGATGTCCTGCAAGCGAATGCCGTGCTGGTGCTCGGGGCAGCCAATCGGGGGAGGACGCCGAGGGTCGCCTTGAGGGTGCTGTCGATAGCTCATCCTGGAGCTGTGCATTCCGTGTCTCGAGCTCCATGATCTATCGGGAAAGCCGTCGCCAAGAACGGTTGGTTCAGCTTGGCTGCCCTGTGGGTGTCGTGGTGGGTTTGGGCATCTCTGACCTTCTTCTGCAGTCGGATAACACTGGTCCACTTCTTCTCCAACAGCCCTGAATGTTTGGCCTTGGGATCGATCTCGAATGAAGCTAAGTTGGCTTCCTCCTTGAGGACAGCGAACGTTTGCGTGTATCCGATCGTATTGAGGTAGTCCAGCATGGACTTGTGGCTGCGAGGGGTCGAGGGAGTCGGGGAGAAAGCAAAGAAGGGGTTAGGGCTTGGACCTGACGCGGCAAGGGTGTGAGAGAGTGGTAGGACTTGCAGCTCATCCTTTTGCCGTTCACTGAGCACGCTGACCATGGTGGGTGGGGAGGGAGGGCGAGGAGGAGGGCGATGACGATGACGATAACGATGACGATGACGATGACGATGAGGGCCGACCTGACGCGAAGTCGGGGTTGGTCCACGAGATTACGTCTTGCTAGAGACGTGTCTATACGGTGGTATAATAATCTCTCCGAGAGACGCTGGACTCGACTATGATTCACCCAAACGGGCGGCTAGTTGATGACCGAAGCCGACGACGAGCGAATGATCACGACCGCGCCCACGATGGGTCGTACGGAGACGGGCAAGGGACGGCAGGCGGCAGGCAGGCGGCAGGCAGCACGTGAGTCGTGAAATCAGACGTCAAGGACAGACGAGCAGGTTGATGGACAATCGCTGACCCAGACAGAGTTGAAAGATCCCTCTTGAGACGGAGGCAATGTCGACCAGGCAAAAGCGGCGAGTGTTGGACTAGAATCGATGGTGAGCTTAGGAGCTCAACGCTGCTCGCCGCGAGTATAGTGTCCGTGCGACCGACGCGACGGGGACGGGCGACACCGTAAATGAGACGCACTGATGGACGCACTGCAGTCGCTCGGACGCCTGTGGTTTCGAACCATTCCGTAAAGTACGCGCAAACTTTCTGCCCGGGCAAGCCGTTTTCGCGTCAAACGAACAACAAGAAAATCGCAATTATCTAGTTCGGACGAATTAGCAAGCGCTCTCGACCTAGCTCGACCTAGCTCGACCTTCGGCTCTCGTACTGCTCTCGTGCCCAGTCGCGTCCCTGGCAAGCGCCGTTTCGAGCTCAGCCACCCTTACCACCGCGCCAACACGGCTACACAGCACCTCATCCGTTCCGTCCCGCCTCTGTTTGGTCGAGCAATGTCGGCCTCAGCATCGACAGCAGCCAACTCGACAGGCAAGAGGGGCGCCTTTATCGTCTTTGAAGGGCTCGACCGGTCAGGCAAGACGACCCAGCTCCAAAAGCTCGTGGACAGGTTGCAACAGGATGGTGTCGATGCCGCGGCGTGTCGTTTCCCAGGTGTGTTATGCCTCAATATGAGCTGCAGAGTTCTAGGTGGAGAATGACAGCTTAGGCGCGACGCGTCAGACCTCATTCTCATCTGACCCCCACTTGCGATCGCCCCCCACCCAGACCGGACCACCTCGACGGGCAAGATGATCGACTCGTACCTCGCATCCAAATCGGACCTCGACGATCGAGCGGTCCACCTTCTCTTCTCTGTCAATCGTTGGGAAAGAGCGTGGGTTATTGCAGTTATGTGGTCTTCTCAAAGTGTCGACAGAATGCGAAGCTGATAAAGTCCGAGTAAAATCTGCCTCCTCCCGAACTCTTTCTCACAACTCAAATCTCGCTACGCGAACATAAGAAAGGGTATATTGGACAATTTGGAACAAGGAAAGACCATTGTGTGCGATCGTTATGCCTTCTCTGGGATCGCCTTCAGCGCTGTCAAGGTCGGTCCTCGGATGCCACAGACCTCGGTTCTGCACCCATGCTAATTTTCAAGCCCACCTCCATGACTCCCCAAAGGGTCTTTCATACGAGTGGTGTCTCTCCCCCGACGTCGGTCTCCCCGCTCCCGACCTCGTCCTCTTCTTCAACGTATCCGCCAAAGTTCAAAAACAGCGCGGTGGATTCGGCCAAGAACGCTACGAAACGACCGAGATCCAAAAGAACGTTCGAGCGATGTTTGAGAAGATTGGGAAAGATGTAGGGCATAGTTGGGAGGTCGTGGAAGGTGATCGGGGGTTGGAGGAGATCGGAGAGGAGGTTTTGGAGAGGGCGAGGAGAGTTATTAAGGGAGAACTGGGACCGGTTCGGGAGTTGTGGAAGGATCGGTCGGGTAAGGCGTAGCCTGCAAACGAAAAACTTAGTCCCAAATGACTCTTGCGCTCCATCTCGAAGGCGTGATCGTTGACAACTCGGATCCAGGAGGGACTGCTCACTTTCTCTCGTCGTTTGTCCGATCGAGTTTGCGCTCCTATAGTTACAACATCATTCACTACACTTGCTTCGCTCATTAATGCTTGGTATCATTCACTTCGCTTGCCGCATCCACCCTCACTGGTCGACTTTTGAGCTTCTCCAACTCGGCAATGACCGTACTCGCGGCCTGTCCGTTCGAACTCCAAGCGACTGTATGATCGGACCTCTCCAGCGACCTCGCCATATCCCCTGCGTGGACGTGCGATATCCAAGCTGGGCTCGGATTGACCAAGAAACCTCCTCGAATGCCTATCTCCACGATCTGATGAAATTGAAGCACTCTGATCAGCTCTTCAGCTGTTTCCGCCGAATGAAAGGGTTGACCATTTGCTTACCTGTTCAACGATATTCTCCAATTTCTCCTCTCTCAACAACCCCTCAGTCCTCTCCTTTCGTTCCTTCTCCAGATCTAACGATAATTGCGCCAGCCGTTCCTCATGTGCCTCCAATTGGTCCTGGACCTGATCTCGCCGCTTCCCCTCCGCTCGTCTTGATCGCCAGTTCTCGGCCAGGACTGTAGTGTAGGCGCATTTGCTTCAGTCCAAATCATTTCAAAGATATTCTTCAGTGTAACACTAGAAAGGCAGCTTACTTATACTTGCTGCGAAAGCAAAGAGGAAGGTCTCGGAGATAAAGTTGGCGCCAGCGTCGATCGCTCTAGCGTCATTCAGCGGTCGTACCACCACCGGATGTGTTTCTCCCAACAAAGAGACTCGCACTGTCACGATATGGAACGAGGACAGTTAGCCATCGAGCTCGCCAAATGGACGAGAGCCGGAGATGACGAACTCCTCATTTCCGACCGATGCAAGAATTGTGCGAACGAGATGGTCATTTCTCGGAACCGTTCATGTTCCTGTATTATTGAAATGTCCCGATATCGCATTTGAAGAAGGAGAGATCAATTAGGCGGCACCGTTGAATGACGTGGTCAAGCTGCACTAGCACGTTCCTCGTCGACGACGACGACCCGGGGAGCGGTTTCCTCACCTTGGCTTGCTTCTTCAATCGATTTGCTATAGGCTTGCTCAACGTTCTTAGGAACAGCGAAGCGATCTTGACGCTCGCCATAGTTGGCGTTCTGTGGGGAGCTGGCGGATTGCCCTCCGGAAATGAGCTGGACGGAGTTGAACAGCTGCGGTGCGACGTTCTACGCGCTGACCGTCGATCCGGCCTCGTTCGGCAGCGTTCGGCACCGTTCGGCATGGCTGCCCGCGCCGCCAGCCGAGGCGCGTCGTCATGCCAGCTCGGTATTTAAAACCGGGGTATGACGTCTTTATACCACAGTGCAATGATTTCACCAAGTGCTTGACGCCTTTTCATTCATTTCACAACATATGCCACAGTCGCGACCGCGGGCTAATTGAAGTCAAAAGGGGGTCACTTCGGGACGAAGGCCGCCGGAGTGATCGATCGGATGGCCCCAAAATCCCGCCGTCAGAAGTTCGGCTTCAATCGGACCTTCGCCAGTGATTGGGGTCATAGTACCGCTCCAACGGGTAGCATCAGGAGTCAATTCCACGCATGTTCGATTACGACGAAAACCGAAATTCGCCATCCGAATTCAGAAAGGCGGTCAGTAGAACTTTGACGACCGCTACATCGGACTTTCTCACTCTCGCCCTTCCTTCATCGGCCGTTTGTCGTGTCCGGAACACAAAGTCGTGTTACCACGTCAGCTCTATTCATTTATTCTTGTCATGTCGTCGCATACAATGCATGTCGCCAGTCCACCTCCTTTCTCGTCTTCCATCGAATCGGTCGAGGAGCCTCCCATAGACATTCCCATCTGGGGGTCCTCATTCGCCGCCAAATTCGAGCACCTCATCGCGGAATTTGGTTCGACCGTTGAGGATTGGGAGAGTGGTGAGTTCGACTGAAACATAACACCTTATTCAATGCGTTATGATCGCTAGCTGATCGGATCCTCTATTTTCGCAGCATGCGCGGTCGCACCGGACTTGAAGCAGAGGACCCTCGATCAACTTGCCGACAAAGGGCGCCGCGTCATACAGTCTTTTTGTAATAGGTGCTCGTCCCTCGGCCATGATCAAGTAGTGAGTGTGAACTACATTTCCTCATAATGTAGTTCTCCGATCACACCTCACCTTATCTGCTGTTGCCGTTTCGATAGCAACAGGAGCCACAGGAGCCACAGGAGCTCGCAGAAACCGTCGTACCAAAGACCCCTAACGCACAGACCCCTCCGGCCGACTCGGAACCGAGTTCGTACGACCATCCCCACGTCGCCCTCGAGCTCGATGAGACTCCATCTCAGGCGTCAGCACCAAGTTTACTGTCTAGTCCTCAATCGTTTCTGGATGATATTCTCGTGGACGATGTGAGAACTGCGATCGTGCCAAGCTCGCAGGATGAGGCCACCCCTGTAGCCTTCACCTCGCTCACCGCCGCGCTTCGTTCGCTGTCGCCAAGCTTGACTATCCCTTCGATCCCGCAACACGCCCCCTTGACTCTGTCCACCCCCCAATCAGTACATTCCTTCTCGACGATCACCACTGTACCCAGTACCAATGCCGAGACAGTCTACGTGCTCCTGATGATGAAGCCATCCCCCAAGTTTCCTTCGCGGAAGGACGGCCGTGAGCAGCTGTGCCCGCTCGTACTCGTCTCGAACATTCCGGCACATTCCCAAGAGGGTACCGCTCGTGATTTACTCGTCTTGGCCCATGAACCGATCTCAAAGGAAGACGAGCTACCGACGGAGCTGTTGACGGTCGTCAAAGACTCGCCGACGATGATCACTTTGGCCCCCGACGGGACTGTCGTCGACAACGATGCTGCGGACACGATCGTGTTTGGGTTCCCACCCGGTTCAATCGTCATGACTCGACCGATTGAAGAAGAGAAAGGGATCGTTGGCAAATCGAGAGAGGCGGCGGCAGGAACGCTGGATTCACGCTTGGCGTCTACCTTAGAAGGAAAGGGGTTCATCGAGCAGACGCCGTTTCTCCCCACGATCAGGAAGCTGGAGGTCGGTAGCACCCCCTGGTGGAGGTCACAAATCTGTCGTGGTGATGTAGGTCCTGTTCAGGCTTCTCCGATTTATGCGGTGTGCAATAAACTGACACTCTCCTGTTACCCTCGGCAGCACGGCCGGAGCAGCTCGACGCCCGGTTACTGGCAGGGAAACGCACGCAACGTCCGACGCAACCGAATTCTTCGTCACTTTGCAACATGCAAGCAAGGGATCGTCGCTCCTGAATTGACGGCGTTCGCCATTGCCTGTCTCAAAGCCGCCGGGCCTGCGAAAAAAGCGACGGTCCATCGTACCTGTCCGACTTTCCAGTTCAGCTTGCCACCGTTTAGGATCACCGAGACCGACGATTGGAATCCGCTCGGCGATCAGCAGCACGTGCTCTCGGTTTGAACATGAACGAATTTCGGATCGTTGTTGTTAGGATCTTATCAAGACGTCTCTTATAAAGCTTGGATCCTACATCACTGTTGGTAAAATAGTCGTACTTGATTCCTTAAATTGCTTGTTTGTGCAGGAGCTTGGCGGACAAAGGGTCGGAACATGTGCAATAGCACCGCCTTCTTTTGGCTGCCGTTTTTGGATCAGATCGGCAGGTCAGTTAACCCAGCCAAATGAGCTCCCCCGCGCGGGCGAGTTAAGGCAGCTTTTCTGTTTTTTGGCCCGGTTGGAGGTTGGTATAGGTTGGGTGCACCAATGCCCTCCCCACCCCGTCCCACCCCGGCTCAGTGCACCCCAAATGGTCATAAGTAATAAAGGGCTACTAGTTCGTGTAAGACTCACCATCATCACGAATAACACTTTCCGAAGACTTGTAAGTTCGAATTATGTCATAAATGTCATACAGCTTGTCGTACTCAGTCCATTCAATTCGTGTAGTTCCATATACCATCAACTGATATGTGTACGACAGATTCTGTGTAGACCTTTTCGTCCTGTTTTAATCTTAGTTTGGATACGACCGAGGGAGTACACACCGTGTCTATGATTGGGCCCGAGGGAGGGATCGGTGCTGGTCCCTGGAATCCTGGATCGGTCCTCGAGCAGACAAACGCTTATTCTGAACGGTGTGCACTGTGTATAGAAAATGGATATCTAGTGAAGCCCCTTCGGACGGTCGACTTGGATCCAGCGGCAATCAGTCCTGCATCAATTCCCAGAGAGTAATTGAACAGGCAAAATTGAGGCGGGGCTGTGCCTGGCTGTGCGGCCGCACGCGGAGCTCAGATTGGCGAGCGCTCTGCGTCTCTCTGCGTGAACACGTTGACCTCTGCACACTCACGTCAACGCGACAACGCGCACCCTTGACCCACGCCACGCCCCGCATCTCAATACGTTGAAACCACCCTGCGCCTGTTGAACGAACATCGATGCTATTGCCGAATGGAGGTATGTGGACGCGTTTCCCCGCCTCACATCCCCCTTCATGGGCCTAATTGTGTTGCTCCACCATGACGCGACCGTCAGACATACGCGTGGGATCTAGGGAAGGTTCTCCAGCAGAGTCCATTTCCTTTGGCGCTCATCCGAGTGAGTGCTCTTGTCTGGTGTGCCAACTAAGATCCCTTGTAGCAGGGCTGAGAGCAGAGTGCCGGTCATCGACCTCATCCTTCTATCTACTCAATCCTGCCGGACAGCTGAACAATTCTCTGTTCTCTCACACCTCTTGCAGGTCGGAGGGACGATCAAAGCGGTCGAGCATCCTCACAAGCCAGCACAACTCTGGATGAACCGTCTCCACGCCCGACTCGGAAGAGAAAGCGGCGCATGCCCGTGCCCCAAACCCCTTCGTCCGACTCCGACTCTGACGAGCCCAATTGGGGCGATTCCAGTCACTCCTCGGCTGACGACAGCGACAGTTACAGTGAGAGTGAGAGCGAGTTTGAAGATGTCGCGATCGACCATCGAAGAGCTATCAGGCTCTGGACGGCCATACATGGCTCGCATCGGAACGCGACCGGTCGTATGAGTCAAAGAAAGTGGACCTCGCTGAAGCACTGGGCCGCTCGAAGATATTACTCGGAGCTCAAGATGGCCGCGAAACTCGGCATACCCCATGCAAGGCTCGTTCAGGCCGTCAAAAAGTTCAACAGCCTCGCTTCGAAGGGCAATGCGTGGTCTAGATTTCTCTCGGACCCTGTAGTCAAGGTTTTACACCAGCGAGCAAGCAAGGGTGAGTCGGTCCTCCGGGCGCTTCCGGTCATGCCCACTCCACTCTCCTACGCTCTCGCTTATGCTTACCGCTGCGTCCGCAATATCTGTTCTTACATACCCTGGGTGTGTCAAACGTGTTCAGAATCGGATCATTCGAAATCGCAATCCATCACCAAACTTGCCGCTCAACTCTGGAACTTCCTGAGAGACCAGGGGGACCTCGGATCTGCCCAACTTGGCGAGGACGATGAAGAGCTTGTTCGCGCGGCTTTTGCAGCGGCAGAGGCAGGAAATAATACGACTTTCACTTCGATAGTACCACCCACCATCATCACACGGTCGCCATCCGACATTCCTTCCCCAACTCGGATGGAGCAATGCAAAAAGTACATTGCAGAATTGCGAGACCTGGCGCAACGCATGTCCAAGCTGTACGGAGTGGAAACCCTGGCCTTCATTGTCCCTCGTTATCAAGACGACGTATCGCCAGCGACGAAGGCAACCGTGCATTCGATAGGTGGGCTCAGATTTGCAGCTCACTGCAACGACTTCAAGGATCCATCCGGCAATTCCTTGTTGTCTAATTTTGCTTCCAAGATGAGCTGGGATGAGACACTCAAGGCCAATGAAGCGACAGATCTGAAAGAGGGTGAGCTTTTCATCGCAGATTATGCGCGCATGAGACCACGTTACCGTTACCAATTATGTGACATATGTTTTCGTCTCATCTATCAGCAAACACTCGCTCGATGGACAGTGCTACTCGCGGCGTTCTTGGCAAATGGCACGGCATTCTGTTCCGCGCCCAACTCAGTAAGTAGTCTGCATCTGATCGGGCTCGACTCCGTGCTAATCATTTCCGCCTTTACAGACTCTGCTCTCGAGACTATACATCGCCGTTCCGACACGGGATCATCGACAGGCGATTTCACACCTCAGAAGAAGATGATATGGTCTACCCAGGGCTTGAAGGCACTGGGTGTCAAATTGCGGATCAAGCCCGGAACGAAGAGTAGATACGAAATGGCTCTGCATCATAGTGCAGAGACATCGCCCAAGCAAACCGTTGCTCAGCTCAAGGCTATCATTGACGACCTCCGTCACGGCCACCTTGCTATCGTACCCTCGGTGGACCCGAACGACAATACGGAGGCAGAGGCAAGCGACGATGACTCGAATGGCGGAGAAGGACCCCTGAGCCCAAGATTTGGTGGAGCCGGGGACGAAGGCGGAGAGGTACGCGGCGGAGAAAAAAGCGGAGAAGAAGATAGAGAAAGAAATACCGAGGGGGTGGCGGAGGAGACCGGAGGATGAATGAAGCAGAACATCGTCGATGGATTGAGACTGTTCTTATGTCTTTCTTTGGGCATATTATGCTCTGAGTCGGTCTGCAAGATGACCGATATTTGTTATGTCTCTGTGGTTTGTGGCGCGTCTTTCAGTGTAGATCCTTCAGTTTAGTTTCAGATGATTGTCATACACGCATACAGCGTCTCAGCTGCCATCTTGATTGTGGCAATTAATCTTAACAGGATTGTAAATTAACATGATCAAAATGCTCATTCTGTCAGGCTCTGCCAAGATCACTGGGCATACTCGACCCCCCCCCCCCCCCCCCCCCCCCCCCCCCGCCCACGGCCCCCCGGGACTGTTTCTTACGTCACGGCCCGGGGGCCCCTGTGTGCTCCGGGCGCCGGAACCTGACCAAGTCAGCGGCCGGCATCCCGTTCATCTACGGCCCCCCTTCCAGAGATTAGGCTGGAGTCTTCCTTCGCAACCAATGGTCCCGCACCTTTGTCCTACAAGGACTCGGGGCGCACCGCATGGGCCGCAGCACAACGGTGTGGCGCTCGCATCCAGGTAAGGCGACATCTCTGCGCATCTATTTACCCTTGGGTCAACGAAATTAGAATGGCTCTCGGGCCGACGCATCTCCTCTTTCTTCTTCTTCTTCTTCTGAACTTGTGATATACAACCAAATGGCCATACACCTTTTCCAACTTCGACCTCATCGCCGTTTCTTGCGCCTCCCGTTTCAAACACACTTGGGATCCAATCCCTCCTAATCATTCCTCATATCCATGCTTCGTCCGAAGGCGCCGTACTATTGACCGTGTCTCGTTGCATAAGTCTGTTTGACCTTTTGGCCTACCATTGTCTTGTTCCCTTAGATACAATCTGACTTCACCTTCTGGTCGGACCGGTTGCCACTGCATAACTCTCTACTGCCTGCGCGCCGCAAAACCGGACGGTGGATAACTGTGAGGTCATTCGTTGGGACTGCAATACAGGGGTCAGACGACAGCTCGACCTCTCCTTTCATGTCCCATCCTGAATTCACCCATCGTCGCAACTATAAGACCCAACTGAAGACCAAGAAGACGACCGTCACAGTGATGACAAGACGGTATCTCCCGTCGAAAAGAACTTTGAAAACACCCTCCCGGTATGGGTACTTTCAGTCTGACTCCAACACGACGTGTTGTCCACCTTGAGTTTGAACCCTGATTGGTGTCACAAAAGACTATATGACCTGCCATCACCGAAAACCACGGCGGGGCAGTCGGTCGGTCGATATTAGAAGGAGGCCCAGGCCACAACAGCGTGCAGAACTCTCAAGCCGCCTAATGCGATGAGAAAACGTAGAGCAACGACAGAGCAAGGGGTGTATAAAGGTGAATCTGACTCACTCGTGGCTTCGTTCAGTCATATACAGCGCATTACTTTGGGCATGGGTGACTATAACTTGCTGCAGTTCGACTGTTGAAACGCAAGCGCCGTGACGACGTACTTCGCGTCGAGATTACAGTGAGCGTGTGAACTGCGCAGGAAGGAATTGCGACAAAGCAGTGCGCTGGCTCTTAGCAACTTAGCAAGGAGTTCATTAACGTGCCACCAATGTACAATTCATTATATCATACAGAAAAAGACTGTTAGGGGTGATCAACTTCTGTATCTTGCGTCTGAAAAGTCATCAACCAAGTTCCGAGGCAAATACTCAATGGACCTGGTCGAGTGTGAGGCTCGGAGTGGCCGTGACAACACTACAGAAGACCTTTGTACGACGTTGGAACTGTGAGCCGGATCCGGACTTCGTTCAAGTATACATCAAAATGTAGTCGGCAGTGTTGGAATATGATACGTACTTTTGCAATCCCTGCTGACTGTTCGGGAAGTGTCACCCAAGGCACGACACGGACTACGCATGTGACTGACTGGCAGGGAGAGCGGTAAGTTCT